CAGACGATAGGGTGGACAACGAAGATGAGTCATTCCATTTACCCCTACAGAAATGGTTAAACGATTCTGCGACGAATTGCGAGGCGTTATCAGTTACTAAGGTCTCTGGTACTCCGAAGCAGCTAAACAGGGTAGATAACTTGTGGATTGTTTCTGATGTACATTTAGTAAATGCATCTACGATAATTAGAAACATTTTTCCTTCGATTTGGCCAGCAAATTCTGAGTTGATGATGTCGTTCAGAAGAACGATCAAATCTCCACGTCCAAACCATGCAGCTCAGAAAACAAAATTTCAGCAAAAACAACATAAAATTTTTCTTGTGGTACTTTACATTATAGCATACTAAAGAGACAATGAACTGATGACATTTTGGCTTAGGTGAGTCTATGGTCATGGAGAATATTGGGGTAATGTTCCAGAGTATGATGGATGTCTGCGAAGTCATTTCCTGCCGTCTGAGGTTTTTCGATTGAAAAGCCTCTGAAGGCAGTCCCGTTGATCTTCACAATCGCGTCGGCAGATGCATCCAGTTCATCTACGCGTCGTTTTAAAATGAGACATGCCATGCCTGCACCTAACGGGGAAGCATAGACAAGAAAAGCTTTTCGATCTGACCCTATTCAAAGGTCCGTTGACTAATGAATTCTCTTATTCGTAGCTACATTTTTGCTGCTGAGCCACGTTGTAGTTCAATGTTGTTGTGGGCTTAATCTTACTTTTGGCGGTCAGTTAGGAATCCAAGTTTAATAATACAAATTGTTGTAGCGTTCCGACACATCACTAGCTAACCTATAGATATATGGTGCACTTCATTATCAGTATTGCTCTAATAATAGGCCTAATCCTTAAATTGTAGATTTGTCATGATATTACTTCCTGATCTGATTCTATGGCATTACGAAAATACTAGCCACAACGTACTTTTAAAATCGCGCGGTTTAGCTTTCACTACTCCGCCTAGAGTCCCTCCGGAGGCTACTGCCGGTCCCAATCCCGGATAAAGGAGGAGGGTTTGGCATGGGGTTAGCATCCCCATCCCGTAAAAAACTAACTCGCTAAAAAAACGCTAACCAGGAAAAATTATTCAAACCTTTTAACATCTGCCCTGGGAGTCAGAAGGTCTTCATTTAGAAGAACTATGACGCCTCATGATGAAAGCCGAATTCCTTCGGAAGTTACGAGGCCGATGCCCCTTCTGACAACCAGAGCGACCATTTATTATGGTACATGGAATGTTCGTACAATGTGGGACACCGGGAGAGCCTTCCAAATTGCTGCAGAAATGAGAAGATACAACCTAGTGTTGCTTGGGATCATTCAAACACATTGGACGCAAGTTGGACAACAACGACTAACTTCAGAAGAGCTTCTGTTATACTCCAGCCAGGAAGAAGAAAATGCCCCACATACACAAGGAGTTGCATTGATACTGTCCAAACAAGCGCAAAATTCGCTTATAGGTTGGGAATCTAATGGACCAAGGATCATCAAAGCCTCGTTCAAAACAAAAAAGGAGGGCATTACAATGAATATTATCCAATGCTATGCGCCTACCAACGATTACAATGAAGACGCTAAAGATCAATTCTACAATAGGCTGCAGTCAATCTTTGAGAAGTGCCAAACAAAGGACCTGACCATTCTGATGGGAGATTTCAACGCCAAGGTTGGAACGGACAACACTGGATATGAAGACATCATGGGACGACATGGACTGGGAGAAAGGAACGAAAATGGTGAGAGATTTGCAAACCTATGTGCCTTCAATAAACTGGTCATAGGCGGCACCATATTTCCACATAAACGCATTCACAAAACCACATGGACTTCACCGGATCACACCACGCAAAACCAAATCGACCATATTTGCATCAACAAAACGTTCAGGAGGTCTATAGAGGACGTGAGAACCAAGAGAGGAGCTGATATAGCATCAGACCATCACTTGCTGGTCGCCAAGATGAAATTAAAACTCAAGAAGCACGGGACAATGGGGCGGACAATATCACAAAAGTTCAATACGGCCTTTCTTCAGGATACTAACAATCTCAACAAATTCAAGATAGCCCTCAGCAACAAGTTCCAGGCCTTTCATGATCTACTCAATGGAGAAGGAACTACTGTGTAGAGCGACTGGAAGGGGATCAAAGAGGCAATCACTTCAACATGTCATAAGGTCCTGGGTCACAAGAAGCACCATCACAAAGAATGGATCACTGTTGATACACTGGATAAGATTCAAGAAAGAAGGAACAAGAAGGCAGCAATCAATACCAGTCGAACAAGAGCAGAAAAAAGCCGAGGCACAAGCTGAATACACAGTAGTAAACAAACAAGTGAAGAAAAGCATCAGAACCGACAAACGTAAATATGTGGAAGATCTAGCAAAGACGGCGGAAAAGGCTGCAAGAGAAGGGAACATGAGACAACTGTATGACACAACAAAGAAACTGTCTGGAAATCGCCGCAAACCAGAACGACCAGTGAAAAGCAAGGAAGGTGAGGTAATCACCAACATTGAAGGGCAACAAAACAGGTGGGTAGAACACCTCAAAGAACTCCTGAATCGACTAGCTCCACTGAACCCACCCAACATCGAAGCAGAACCCACGGACCTCCCAATCAATGTTGGCCCACCAGCAATCGAAGAAATCAGCATGGCCATCAGACAAATGAAGAGTGGCAAATCAGCAGGATCAGACAACATTCCAGCAGAGGCATTGAAAGCAGACGTAGCGGCAACTGCAAGGACAATCCACTCTTCAGCAACATTTGGGATAAAGAACAAGTACCAACAGATTGGAAAGAAGAACATCTGATCAAGATACCAAAGAAATGTGATATCAGCAGGTGTGATAACTACAGAGTTATCATACTTCTCTGAATACCGGGAAACGTTTTCAACAGGGTATTGTCAAACAGAATGAAGGACTGCGTAGACGCCCAACTTCGTGACCAACAGGCAGGATTCAGTAAGGATCGATTGTGTACAGACCAAATCGCAACTCTACGGATCATTGTGGAACAATCAATTGAATGGAATTCATCACTCTACATCAACTTCATTGACTACGAAAAGGCATTTGATAGCGTGGACAGAACAACACTATGGAAACTTCTTCGACACTACGGCGTGCCTCAGAAGATAGTCAATATCATACGGAATTCCTATGATGGATTACAGTGCAAAATCGTGCATGGAGGACAGTTGACAAGGTCGTTCGAAGTAAAGACTGGTGTTAGGCAAGGTTGCTTACTCTCACCCTTTCTCTTTCTTCTGGTGATCGACTGGATCATGAAGACGTAAACATCTGAAGGGAAGCACGGGATACAATGGACATCTAGGATGCAGTTGGACGATCTGGACTTCTCAGATGATCTGGCCCTTCTATCCCAAACGCAACAACAAATGCAGGAGAAGACGAACAGTGTAGCAGCAGCCTCAGCAGCAGTAGGTCTCAATATACACAAATGGAAGAGCAAGGTTCTACGATACAACACAGAATGCACCGATCCAATCACAATTGACGGCGAAGATTTGGAAGATGTAAAATCTTTTACATATTTGGGCATCATCATTGATGAACACGGTGGATCTGATGCAGATGTGAAGGCGCGGATCGTCAAAGCATGAGCAGCATATTTACAACTGAGGAACATCTGGAACTCAAAACAACTCTCTATCAAACAACACCAAGGTCAGAATTTTCAATACAAATGTCAAGACAGTTCTACTGTATGGGGCGGAAATCTGGAGAACTACGAAAGCCATCATCCAGAAGATACAGGTGTTTATTAACAGTTATCTACGCCACATACTTCAGATCCGTTGGTCGGACACTATTAGCAACAACCAACTGTGGGAAAGAACAAGCCAGATCCCAGCGGAGGAACAGATCAGGAAGAAGCGCTGGAAGTGGATAGAACACACATTGAGGAAAGCACCCAACTGCGTCACAAGACAAGCCCTCACATGGAATCCTCAAGGCCAAAGGAAAAGAGGAAGACCAAAGAACACATTACGCCGAGAAATGGAAATAGACATGAAAAAGATGAACAAGAATTGGATGGAATTAGAAAAGGAGGCCCAGGACAGAGTGGGTTGGAGAATGCTTTTCGGCGGTCTATGCTCCATTGGGATTAACAGGCTTAAGTAAGTAAGTAACTGTGAGGTATTATGCACGCGAGTCAGTTACACGTGCTCGTGAAAGTCAACTTCTGTGTAGCGGAACCAAGCTTCCATAGCGTCTGGTTAGATTGACATGAGTTGAAAGTTGTGGGACAAAATGGTTTTAGACTTAAATAGCTTCTGTGTCAGTTCCGTCATGATGAAGATAAGATATACCGATGGACGAGGAAAACAATATCCGAAAACATGTAAAGATCATCGCAACTTGAGGAAATAAAAATTGGAAGAATGATATGTAATGTTCCATAAAAAAGAACTCATACTTTACTGTTTAATGTGTTAGTTCATGTCTATCTCACCCCCGAAGATGCCACAGATATTCGCAGTTTGATAACGCATTTACACGTAAAATTTTTATAATCGACATATGCCACCACAATTGATTCAGAAGCCAGGAATGAAGGAGTTCGACAATATATTTGGAAAACTGTCGATATAACGGGAGCCCTTATGTCTTAGCTGCTTTGTAGTCTCAAGGTATGTGAAGCACGGCAAATGTGCTAGAGAACTGAAGAGGATACGTGACCAAACGCCTTCAGCTAGGTGTGTCTGATAAAACTAATGAGGTCATTATAAATGTTGAAGACTCACGGACTTATTTACTTTGAAGACTTATCTACCGCTACACTACTTATTTTTATGATTTGTCTACCTCTACATTCTAATGAGATCACAGAAACCTGTTCTAGATATACCTTTAAGAAATATTGTGTATCCAGATCAAGTGAAATGTGTGTACCACTCGAAAATCTTCTACAAATACATATTTAACTTGCTACGTCTCTTCGTCAAAATATGCAAGTCTCCATACGCTAACCGCTATTTTTGAGTAATGCGTTGCAGGGAATGAGATTGTCACTGTTTATTCAGTTGGCTCTATTCATTCGCTATACTTTTTGTGATTATTATGATGTCCTTGGAGTATCTAAATCTGCCTCAAATTTGGAAATTAAGACGGCTTATAGGAAACTAGCGAAGAAATGGTAAGTTTCGGAAGTCCATGAGCTTCGTTTATTATTGTAAACTTTCAGGCATCCGGATAAGAATCCCTCAGATAAAGCAAACAAAAAGTTTATTGAAATAAATGAAGCTTATGAGGTAGCATTCCATTAATACGAATAGTTTTTCTACCCTATTTAGGTACTATCCAACTCTAAGAAACGACATGAGTATGATACCTTCGGAAAAGTTCATTCAGACGGGAGTGCACCTCCCCCTGGACATTATCCATACCGTCACGAATTTGTTCATTCTTCGTTTGAAGATCTTTTTGATTTCTTTCCAGGGTTCAACCGTGCCCCACAATTCTCAACCAATGTCCTTGTAAGTCCTATTATAATCTGCAGTAAATATATTGCAAGAAGTACTATCAACTGTCTGGGAACATATGAGTTCGGGAATCAGCCTAGTCTACTCAGTATTCATATAGGCTTGTGAGTTTATACATGATTGTAGTTACGCATCAAAATGATGTAAATTATATTCAATTATGTATAACTCAGGGTTATAGTTTTCCATCACGCTTGACAATTTTGTTTTCTTCACTAGAACCAACACTTTCGTATCGGCCTTTACGTTGATTAGGAAGTGACGGAATTTGGCAGCAGATAATGACTCGCTTGTTAATTTTTTATCTCTTTTGTTTTTATTTAGAACTTCGAAGGTAAATTCGATTTTCACGTAAATATAATATCAAGGTTACTACTAAATTTCGATAGTATGTTAAAAGGACGAAGATTATCAAAACTGTGTGACATATTGAGCAGCAAATGACATTATCAAGAAAACAAGGTTCATGCTCCATCGGAAACCTAAAAGACAAGAAAACGATTGCGTCACATCCCACTGTGTTTACCAATTTAAATGTGTGTGTGATCACACATAAATAGGGATAAGTAATTGTGATCTGAAAATTAATGTGTATGGACATGTACGTAAACGGTTGTTGAAACAAGTAGAATTGGACAATCCAATAAGAGTAGAGGATTGCCAAACACAAAATTGAAACAGATCATAAGATTGATCTTAACTCAGCCTTTGTGGTGTTGTACAGAAGTATAAGATTGCGTACACTGGTAATATTAGCTTAATATCCAGGGTGATGAGGTTTTAAATTGTTTTCTCATTATTTCTTTATTATCCTTATCTCCTCTTACCCACCATTTCTAGTCTAATTGATCTTTTATTTTTATATATAAATGTTCTTAACAAGTATACGTGTTATCAAATTGTTCAGAATGTGTTGCGCTAATGTATCACATAGCTCTGATAATATTCGTCTTCTTGTTACTAATAAGTCCGCTTAATCGTCTGTGCCTCAATATCTGAAGCTTTTGATTGGCTCGTCCATAATTTATAGTCTTGCCGAAGTAATTTCACCAGCAATGTCGAAGTTAACACATTGTAGGTGCCATTTTGAAGACATACTTGGAGTATATTGAATATAGTGTTGTTTTCTCTCAGATGGAAGGTGAGGTTAAGAAGCTGTCTCTAAAATAGCGTATTCTTTTTCATTACTGTGTCTTCTGGCCTGGTAATGTCTAAACAATGTGAAGCAAAAATGAAAAGTTATCACTAATAGAAAGGCTGATTGCGATTGCCTACAAGCAGTTGTTATTTGCATCCTATAGCCCCCAAGTGCCCTGGTATGACCGAGAGTGGGGTGGGCCAGCCTTCCCTCCCGAAATGCTCTCACACGGCCACGCGTATATAGCCTCTGCCAGGGAAGTCTTACTCACTGCCTTCTCGTGGCGAGAGTGTTGTTTACGAAAATGAGAGGACGAAAAGCGAATGTCCGGCGCTTTAACCGGATCCAAAACCAATGGTACACATGGGCTTTATTATCCTGAGGGGAGAAATGGCGTATGAAAAAAATCGTTGGTCACCGGCTACCATGGGACTGCATCTCCTTACGATGCTCCACTGCCTTGTGGATCAGACCTTTAGGTCGAAGGCTCCGGGTGTGGCCCCCTAAGAAAACCACCTGCTTCGATCTGGGCATCCGAGCATTATCACAGCCCACACACAAATGAAGTGACTTGTGTGGTGCATATATATTCGGTGCCCCTTTGTATCAATGTTTGTGTTTAAATAATAATATTTCAATAAACGTGTCATTTCGGATAATATTCGAAGTTGTTCGTCACCTAATAAAGTTCACGAACAAATGAGTTTACTTTATTCTGTCGATCTTGTTCCTATTGGTATTTAGAGCCTTTACTAAACCGCATATTAATTTGTGTATGAGCAATTAGTTGTTCTTAGTCAGCATGATTTAGACTGATTAGTACGATGTTAAACAAATCTGTCACTTGCTAGACAGTAGGGAGGGAAATCATATTTTCAAAAGTTTCAGTGACTTAAAGTTTATGTAAATTCAACGTTTCGCTTGGCCGTCTGATACAATTTTTGTCAAGGAAATATAATCAAACATCAAGATTATTGATAATCCTACATTAACTCGGCGTCCAAGTACTCCGAAATTATTCATTCAAATTTAAAAGTTATAATAAATTATTGTCATTATTTATTTTCGTATTTTTATTTGCTATTGTTTCAAGAATATCGACTTTCGAAGCTATCGCCTAACCCATCTCCCACGATCTCGAACGGTGCCTTTGTTTATATTTGGTTATTCTGATTTTTGTTTCCCTTGTCGTCAAGTTCGTCCCATTTGGTCACAATTAGCAGATGAGCTTACTCCGTTGGGAATTACTGTGGCTAGTGTTAATTTAGAACATGATTCTGCATTGCGTGAAGAGCTACGCGTATTACATGTTCCGAGTGTGACGATAGTTGTTGATGGACAGGTTAGCTCATAGATGTTTTTCGGTTTTTTCTGAAAGGGTTTATTGTAGATGCAGGTGTCTTTTCTGGTCAGTAAAAGTTATCACTTGTATTTCACAGTGAATGGAAAATAAAACTTTACATAGAATAAATAGTATCGTTGGTAAAAGTTCATTTTGCATAATTTTTATGCAGACAATATATGTAATTATAATCATTATGCGGCGGTCGCTTATTGTTTAAAATACTTGACTTTCAGTCAATAGGTCTTAGTCTCCGACCACACTCTTTTAAAATCGATCAGAACAACCAGGTGGTATTGATTAGCCTCACAAATGTAACCAAAAGTCAATCACAACGTTGACTGAAAGCTGAATACATAAACATATACCTGTTAAATATGTTAAGTTTTGTTATTCATATATGTGATATCAGCTGATGTACACAGTCTTTTTTCCCTTTAAGTTTTTTGCTGTACTTTCTCTGATATTACTGTTATGCTGCTCAGAGGAAGTTACACTGTGAGTACTGATCACGCGATTGTTTTCTTTTAGTTTAGTGAACTGTGGGGCGTGTTTCTTTGATGAAAAACTGTGATGCAGTTTCATGAAGTTTAAATTATTCATTGTCGATCATTAATTGCTTACGAACAAGGATATTAATGACGAAGGATACTGTCCACTTACGAAAATAACTAAAATGGGATCCCAGTTACTAATGTTTATCCTACTTTTATAAATGGTGTAGTAGAAAGATATAACAGGGTCGTTATTGCGCTTTATGCTGGTTCATATATGATGAAATCTCAAGCCACTGAGTTAAATAGTCTTTAGTGTCCCAACAAAAGAGTCACTCCACGATGCTGTCACTAACTGATCGCCTTTCGGATTTATCCACCAAACAGCAGCATTGGATCTTGCTGTAATGACATGTTTAGGCCACCGATGTTGTTTCACAATCGTGACACTGATGGAATTACCATTACCAGACCTTGCCATCACCCATACGTTCTTGTCAGCATATATGAATGATCTTGTAGAGGCAATACTGGTAAAATATTGAGTCACTGAAAATCCTCTGCTCTGAAGTGTCAAGTTTCACGATCATATATCAGAACGTTTCTCACTGATACACTTTGTATAAACAATTGATTCAGCCAAAGTAACTGAAGCTTAATTTTAACCTCAAAACTGGTGGCAGTTGAGTTATATAATGTTTTAGACAAATAAACTACGGCTTCATAATGTTTACATAATAAACTTCCATTAACCAAGCAACATTCTTATAAAGTCATTTTTGTAATGCTGATACAAAGGAAACACTATTTCTTCAATCATTTTTGACTGCGATAATCTTGGCTTTTGTTCTTTATTTATTGGAAATCTTCAGGTCTCTTATTACTCTCGAGGTGATTTCAGTCATAATAGTCTTATCGATGCATTAAGAAGTGCAATTATGCAATCGAATCCTTCACGGTCTAAGGCGTTACCAATATTTCTTAGCACAACAATCGATACACCATTAATACAAAGTATTAATGATTATGATACATTTGTTAATACTTTTCATTATGGTTGGCGTCGTGACAGTCGACCCAGAATGGTACTTATTAAACCATTAACTTTACCACCGTTACGGTATTGTGTGGCTGCTTTCAGAGCAGCAGATCATTTAGCTGCTGGTTATATTAATTCTGAACCTGGTAACGATCATAATCTTGCTAAGAAATTCAATGTGAATCCAAATGAGGTTAGTCCTAGTGTATGTGTGTATTTACGTATCTGTATTTAAGTATTTATATAAATTTATAATCTGGTTTACACTATAATTTTCATTTTGTCTCACATTTTGTATAGTGTCTTGAAGTTATCATTTTCTGCATGTATGTAGTGCTTTTGAATGAAATGCTTTGTATATCTATCATCACCCACAAATGTCCTGGTACGAATGAGGATGGAGAGAGTCAGCTCTCCCTTTCGAAATCCTCTCACATGGTCACGCGTATACAGCCACTGTTAGGGAAGTCTTACTCACTGCCTTCTCACGGTGGGGAGAGAGAAAAGCGAATGCCCGACACTTTAACCTAGTCCGTGGATACGGAGGATCCATCTAGGGGAGATGGGAAACCCTGATTCCAAACCAATAGTGCACATGGTGTTCAGTATCCTGAGGGGAGAAATGGCGTATCAACCAATCGTTGGTCACTGGCTACGTTGGGACTGCATCTCCTTACGATGCTCCACTGCCTTGTGGATTAGATCTTTAGGTCGAACGCTGCAGGTGTGGCTGGCGAATGAAAGTTTTAAATATTATATCATGAATTCGAAGCCTTTCTCATCTAGTTCGATTTCACTCATAATATAGTGGACGCTAGTCACAAGATTGTTTATAAGTAGGATGTAGCGGAACATGACATCGAAGTTGTCACAGTTGTCAGCCGGAGTGAAGAGTTTTAGTGCATCAAAAGCGCAGCGTCAGCATAAGACTTCGAGAACAGACGAGAAGACACTTCAGATGATAGAGCACATCGAAATATGCAAATTGACGATTGAATGCTATTGATATGTATTATTTAAATATTTTGTAACTTCTCTCAATAAGTATGAATACCTCCTGTCTATTGTCGTGTTTTACAATGGGACTGTTTTTTATACGTTCTGTTTCATAATAAGCCACAACTTAAGATCAAAATGCAACTTAATCCTGGTTCTTCAAATCTTAAGGAATTGTACCGTTTTATCACAATATTAAAATCTTTTACTTTAAAAAAAAATTTCTAAACCTGGATAAAGGAATTTTCCAGCTCTATTTAACTTGTTTTAAAACACTTATTTAGCCGTTGTTGTTGTATAGTAAATATAATCAATCTAAACTAGAAACGATCTTTTTCATCATAGGAGACCTTATTGATATATCATGAAGATTCAAGCATACCTGTCTATCGTCAATCAGCTACAAAATTATCACCTACTTTATTGGATAATGCAATGTTAGCTTATAGTCAATTAAATATCCCTAGAATATATAGTCGTGCACGACTGTTGGATTTATGCCCAACTGATGGAAGTAAACCAACTAGTAAATATGCTTTAGAATCAGATAAACATTATAATGATCATTCTAATCATCGTCATTTATGCTTAGTATTATTGTTAAATTCAAAGTTATCCAATGTTGAACAAGTAAACAGTTGGGGTGATATATGGTTAACTATGTTACGTCATACATTACAATTATCTCAAACAGACTTATCAAAATTATATCATACAAATCAACATAGTTATCATTTCATGCCTGTACATATTTATGTGGATCGTCAGATTAGTTTAATGCAAAAATTAAGTACATCTTCTACATGTTCAAATGAATCGTGTAATTTACTTAATGAAGGTGAGTTAAAAAACTGCTTGATTGACTAAATTAAATTGAATAATCTATAATGGTTCTACAAATATTTTATTAATGTTTTTATTTGTAGTATAGTAATTTCTTTAGTATAACTAAAGGATTAGCATAAAATTTCATTTGGGATTTCGTAGTCGGCGTGTGTATGTGACTCCTAGTATATTTTAACGCTCCCACTATTGCTTGAATGAAAAAAAATCACTGCCGAAAATCCCACACTATCCGGAGAAAAGTTGGCTTGGTTTCCCAACCGTAGCTGTTGCCTTGAAGTGGTGATTGGGCTCTGTTATTATAATAATATAATCAAGCTATATTATCTAGAATACGCATTTCTTAAGGTCCTAATATTCCAGGTAGGTTAGTTGGAAAAAAGTCTTGACGCAACAATGTAAAGGTCCATGGGGAATGTCGTACTGCTTACCGTGCTGGAGTATAATGGGAGTAAGTTTTCTCCTCAAACAACCCGTCTATGAGGCGGTGTTACCTTCTCACGCAAAAGTAGGAATGGGAAAAAGTTGACGCTAAAAATAACAAGACTTACTTTACCCTACCTAGAATTAAGTACTATCTAATACCTAGTTCCTAAATTTTTACGTGATTTGTAAACTCTACCTCATCTGGAGGTTTTATCATTTATCTACATAGTTCTTGCATAATAAAATGCACTGATGCCATTCGGTTTTCAAAATGTCGACATGTTTACTGAAATTGCGTTTGTTCTGTGCCTAACTAGTATGGAATGGGATTGATATGGTGGCTATGAAGTGGTTAAATCATGCTTGTTCAGGGTTGTCGAAGTGATAAATACAAAACTGATTGATGTGTGGGTCCTAGCAATACGATGTGACAGATGTATAGCTGTTATTGAGGTCAAATTATCTATATAAACTCATGAATGCACTTATACCAATATACAAAATAACCGACTAGGATAGTGAGTTTTTAATCACAGTGAAATGACTTAACATTTCGTATTTTCTTTCCTTTTCTTTTCTCTTACACTTGCATCAGTGACGTTAAATTTTTGTTACTGCTCGATTATCATTATATGGTCATGAACTGATACTTGCACATTCTCTCTACTTTTTGGGCTGAAAATGTATTGCATAAATTTATCTGTAACGCTGTAAGCATCTGAATTGCTGTATTTCAGAATATCAGTGATTTTCATGAGTTCGTTTGATGTCTTAGTTATCAGTCAGCTAGTCAGTCAATCATATGCAACTTAAAACCTACCATGCACATACATCAGTTGAAGTTTTTACACTGTATCAGTACAAAAGACAAAATTATCAAGAATAACGTCAGATTAGTAGAAGTAATAACAGTAGCAGTAGAAAAGACTAGATCTAGACGATATAATTCGAGATGAATGTGAATGAGTTTATTAAATTAAAATGCATCTAAAATAATCTGGAAACCCAAGGTTTAAGTGGTCGAAAATAGTGAATAAATATGTTCCCTTGAGAACTGTTTTGAGCCATATCATCCAAAATTTCCAATCATTGATTACGATAATCATGACTACTTAAGTCAAGTAATCTGAGCCTAGTCGCACGAACTGTAGACTCACTTCAAATATCGAGAAACTTTGTTGTGTCCGTTAAACCTCCGAAAATTCTTACCTGTTTATAGTGTTTTCTTCAAGTTTTTGAGAAATTTCTTCTTTTTTTATACTTTAGATAATATGGGCCGTTTAGCATTAATTTGGCGTATCAGTTCAACTGAAACAGTTTATCAATTTCTTCCCACTAATTCAATGTCTCATCCAAGAATTCATTTAAATGAAAAAATGCTGAAACCAAATGATTTAAAAAGTTTAATCCTGAAATCTACTAAACAAATGTATACTGCTTTAATGAATGATTTAGAAAATATTATCCAGACAGTATCTATTATTGACAAATTAATTAATCCAACAAATCATTTCACTCATTCAATTGATAAAGTGGTATCTCAATGGTATCTACTCAAAGATTGTATGATTGAGGAATTAATGATTGATGAATTAGTAGCGTCAATATGGATTAGAATGAGAAATAGGCTGTTACAGATTCTTGTGGATATTGGACATTCAATGTTTGAGTAAGTTTATTTTTTTTTCTTTCTCTTCTCAGTAGGTTAGTTATTCAAATATATTGTTCTCTTCTCTGTTGACATTAAATTATGCTGAACAAGTACATAGATTACAGTTACATATTTCTTTTATTGTTTAAAGCATTAAATCAGCTTATTTAAAGAACGAATACGTCGTCAGGCGGAAAACCAACTGCATAATTACACTGCAATTGTAAAATATAAAAACAATACATTAAATGCACCACTTTTGCATCTTCGTTGAGTTGTCCCCTATAAACTCTATTGTGTTATTTATTTATTTGAACACATAAATATTGGTACAAAGCGGAACCGAATACATATGCACCACACAAGTCACTTGATTTGTGTGTGGGCTGTGATACTGCCAGTGTTCTCAGACCGAGGCATATGGTTTTCTTAGGGGGCCACACCCGAAGCACTTGACATAAAGGTCTAATCCACAAGGCATTTAGGCAACGTTAGGAGGTGCAGTCTGATGGTAGACGGTGACTAACGATTGATTTATACGCCATTTTTTCCCTCAGGACATTGAAGGCTATATGTACTATTGGTTTGGAATATGGGTTTACCATCTCCCATAGATGGATCCTCCGTATCCACCAACGAAGTTAAAGCGTCGGAAACACGCCTTTTGTCCTATCGATTTCGTAAACAACAGTAATGCCACGAGAAGGCATTGAGTAAAACTTCCCTGGTAGTGGCTGTATGCACGTGACCATGTGAAAGCATTTCGAGAGAGGTAACTCTCCTTACTCTCGGCATTACCAGGGGATTTGGGGGCTTTCCACATTTTTCTCTTCTCCTTATTTTCGTCTTCTGTCAATAAGAATTTTATCTCCAATCCTTGCTGCATACTGTTGTGTCCTAAGCCCCATCAAATTTCACGTGACTAAATCGCCGATCGGAACACTGACTTACACACCCTTGACGTTGTGTCAAATCAAGGATGCGTTAACCAGTACGAGCAGCTCAATGTAAACTCTGAGTTCTTATTGGACCTTCTCACCTAGCCCTATAAATTTGAGTCCAGAATACAATCTCAGCTTCCACTGTATGAATCATGTATTTCAGACAAACGTAGTTTGTGTGCAAGCAAATCAGACCGTATCATATCATGAAATAGAAAGTAATTATACAAGATCAAGACAAAAGTTTTTGTGAGTGTGAGAGACTGTATAAACTTTTAGTTAGAGATATGTTTAAGAATACAGCTTATTGACTAGGTTGACTCCAACAACCTGTTCGTCACACAGTATATTTGATAGGTAAAGTATTATAGAACTTTCATACTTTTGCTTGCGTGCGTGGGTTTTAATGTATTGACGTTTCGTTCTACATATGTACCCATCTCATTAAGGAAAAGGAAGCCTAGATTAGCATTTAAACGAGTGGGAAATTCTATTGCATTTTGGTGACCTAGTAATGGAAGTCACATGAATAGAAATCAACACATACAATTGAATGTGAACCACTGAAGGGTGTGACAGCAAATTCAGTGAATTCATCAGCGAAAACAGATATTACAGATGATGTGCCGTCTGCAGTTGCGTAGATGTTGGTAACATAAACATATTTGTATTTTCAGAAGGGGTTTGTGGAGATTTTAGAAATTTTCACAGATTTAAGTCATGAGTCAGTTGAAGCTAGACCACCATTGAAAACCTGGATTGGTTTAAGTTAGACATTAACACCATTGGATGCCGGCTCAGTGGTCTAGTGGTTAAGTGCTCGCGCGCGAAGCCAGTAGGTTCTGGGTTCGAGCCCCGCGTGGCGCGGGATCGTGGATGCGCACTGCTGAGGAGTCCCATACTAGGACGAAACGGCCGTCCAGTGCTTCCAGGTTTTCAATGGTGGTCTAGCTTCAATTGACTCATGATTTAAATCTGTGAATATTTGTATTTATTTAGATGTTTTGGATGGCATCTTAAAGTTAGACAGTCGTTAAAATCATTTGAAAACTTGAAACATGCAAAGGTAGATCGACACCACTTTACGTTTACAAACGTAGCTACACTGCCCCCAAACGACTTTTTATTGCTTGATCGATCCTGACGATAAATATTGAAATCAAGTAGTGATACTAAGAAATCGTCCTGTAAATCAGTTAACCCAGATTCTTGAATTGTGATGATACCACATTTACGATACATGCTTTGACTTAGTAGGAATTGAATATAGTCCACCTTGTTAAATAGTGATCGGCAGTTAGAATTTAACAGCTCGGGAATCGGCATATGAATTATATCCATTCTCTTCAATACATATTGCCAACTACCACGATATCTCTTATTGTACTTTTTTGTAATTTATGTCCTATGCTTTTCATAAACACACCTCTAAAGGTTATGCGATTAACAGACATAATGAGTTGTTAAAACAATAAAAAACAGATAATCTGTTGAAATATTTAGATGGCAGAAATAGGTAGCCCAGTTATTCAAGCAGACCGCCTAATAACATCTTTTCTTTATTAGGTTGTAGTAGTTCTAATTGTACTTCGAAAGAATGTAGTTTGATTTTTAGAGAGATTATATTTTCGTGTAGTGAAAAACTAAAATATTTACGAAAATCAGAATCTAAGCGATGACTGGATTGTTTGCATTGTGATGAATTCTGAGTCATATCATACAATGTCTTTAAACACTAGTTGTGCTTATCTGGCTGACCCTAACCTGTTTGCAGTATGTCTGTCTAGTGGTTAGTGAATTCTTGGACTGGTTCCGATTTTCGATTTTGTCATCGTTAGCATTTTTCCAACTTACCTCTACGTCAAACATCATCATTGCTCTAAAGTATATGCAGTTGTTTGTTGTATGTACTGCATTACCAGATTACCTCAATCAATTGTGATTCACCAATATGTCAATCGATTTCTTATCATTTGCCTGTTACCATGCATTTAACATCAGTATCTCTCACTCTGTGGACCAAAGATACACGAACAGTGCCTTGATGTCATTTATAACCAAATAATCATAACCTAGTATGTATATATATGTTTCATTCTTTAATCATTCTACCATATTAATTTTTCTCTTTGGTATTTTTCTTTTTTACAGCCTTGTAAATCATCCTTTGGCATTTGTTTTCTCAAGTTTTATGATTATCATCGGTTTACTATTATTCAGTTTGATATCAACACTTGTACAAGCAACAAAAAATGAACAACAGAATAAATGTACTACAGAGAAGCGTTACTACGAAACAAATCAAGATGTTAATACATCATCCTCATCAAACAGTAATATTAGTGATAAAAATAGTAGTAGTTGTGGTAATAATAGCGGTAGTAGTCAGTGTAAATTTACTGAAGGGTCAGTTGTTTTGTTTTATTTCTGTTTTTTTAATTGTTTGATTGCAACGTATATGGTTTTCATCAACCAATTGATGTATCATTCAGAAGAGCCATTTATAATCAAGGAGCACTGTAACGCTGTTTCGATCTAGTTAGATATTCCTTATAGTAGTGTACATTTATGATTCATTCAAGACTGTAATAAGGTGTTTCCCTACATCAATAATGATGAATTAGTTTTGATAATAAAAAATAATAGATTGATTCATCAACATATGTTTGATCATAGCTTAAAGTACATGGAATATTTTAAATGGTTCCTTTCTTATATCCGTTTTATTTGTATATATGTCGATGAGGTTGTGAATCTTCATCGACTGAGATGATTGGGCCACGTGTTACATATACCTGAACACCGATTATCACGACGCACAATGCTGACTAGTGTTAGGGATGACTGGAAGAAAGTTAGGAACAGCCAAACCAAAGCGTGGCATCATTCCTCGAAGTCACTAACTTCTAGTCTTAGCGATGTTGGTAGATGCAGACTACTCGGTTGGGGTTCTTGTGACTATCGTAATCAATGGTTGGAGACTCTTGGTGACATAGCTCGATCACAATAGTGTAGGTGTATACACTCTCTGTCTTCCGTTAAACCATGACATTAAAATTGCTTTGTATCTTTCTTTCTACCAACTAATTCTTTCTTCCCGTACTATATCGTTATATGCAATCTTTCTTTTATATATCACCACCTCTGAATTAACTACTTTTATGAATCTGGTGTTCATCTTGCTTTGCTAATGAGGTATGGCATCTTGGACCAATGCATATATGTGTTTGGTCCTACGTTGTAACTAAGTGACTGTATATATGTAAAGACTGAATAAAATCGTCTTTCCTTAATTATTAACTGCCATTTATATTTATTGACAAGGAATTTTGTACAGTTTTATTCTTTATGACATTGTACATCGCATAATATACTTGGCATATAAATTCTATTGTTATCGCATCTGTTTTCTCCAATGAACTAGAAGAAAACTGTACCGACCATCATAATGGTCCCTCTTAAATTTTGCAATAATTAACTTCACAAAGGGTTATAAGCGTTGTGTAAAAGCACTTGAGTAGATACTGTTTACATTACATACTGATTTTGCTAAAAAAACACAACCGAAAACAAGAAAATTCAATGTTAAGTTTATAAAATTAAAAAAAGTAGTGTCCCCATAATTGTAGGTAGACATCCATTATCTTCTGTTCCTTCACTACTTCACGGAACTTCCTATTTCCTAAATTTTTGGTCACAAAAACTGAAAGTTCAACGAGTAGTTTTAATCCATGACTCGTGTGGTTTTACTATAGAAATACAAGATCTCAATTTACAAATGCTACGAATGTCCTCAAAACTTCCTTTTTTTTGTTTGATTATGAGCTCTGAAATCCTGTTATAGATTCAAAGCCTATATTTTTTTGTCATGGGGATTATATCTTTTGATCATTAAATACGTTACCTTTTGGTGTTTTGGAGTAATAAGACAACAATGTCGTTAGAACTTACTAAAAACTGTTGTAAGTGTGTAGTCTGAAGTTTTAGCTAATAGTAGTACCATAAATATTTATTGTTTTGCATTTATGTCTAGGTCATCTGCACTTATTCCTATCGTCTCATTAAATCCTTCCACATATGACCGTCTTGTTCGTGATGCCCCTAAAGGTTTCAGGCTTCTAGTATTATGTGTTCGTGGAACTACTCAAGATAATCGATTACGTGATCAGTTTGACTTCAAAACTCGTCGAGTTTGGTAGGTTTGATTGTTTTGTTTTTAGTTCAGATAAATACATTTTAATAAAATTATTTCTATATCCATCACTTCACAGTGTATTCAGTTTATTTATTTCCTCATACACACTAACCTCAGGATATTATAGTCTGGTTTTGTGGTTAAGATGGTTAACCAAATTTATTTTGTACTGTAGAGGTGTAAAACTGTGGAAATGAGTGAAGTAACCAGTCAATGTATTATTTCCAAATTGATTCCTTTTTAGTAATTCGTCCATCTTTCTGAAAAAAAACGATGTTCTGTAAAGCTATACTGTTCTCATGTTCCTTGTCACCGACGAATTTAATATCAGAATGGACTTTATTTATACACTTCAATAGCTTTTATATACTGACACTATTGTCACACACAGTATGTTTTTGTTGATTGAGATCTTGAACCGATTAATGTTAGGTCACCATTGAAAACCTGAAAGCATTGAACGGCCTTTTCGTCCTATCGTGGGAGTCGTCAATAGTGCGCACCCACAATCTCGCTCGCGGGATTCGAACTCGAGGCCTTCAGTCTCGCGCTGCAAAAAACCAGTTTGCTTCAAGTTTTTTTTTCTTAGTTCGCGTGAATTTTTTAAATTTATGTTATTATCAATTATCTCAGTTAACTCGATATTACACCTGTCCTATTATACATTCTGTTTACTCACTTTCCGGTTGGCGTTTTTTAACGCCCAACCCTCCTCCTTTATTCGGGTTTCGGACCGGCAATAGCTTCGGAAGGGCTCCAAGCAGAATCATACATTCTATTTACATCATTTATTTCTTTATATTGACTGTAACTCGACACATTCCAAAGAATTTTCGCTATATCTTTACTTTAAAATGACCTTTGAAATTTACACATAACACATCTTGGTCTTATTTAAACCTTAACCGATGTATAAGTGCACTATTTCAACTCATTTAGTTTAGGCTTATTTTGATCAGCACTGTAATACTTTCATGTTTTGTAAATAATCCACAATTTAACTATTTATTTCAGTTGATATGTTAAGCCTTATTTTTATTTTCATCTGAACACATAAATAGGGGTACAATGGAGCACCGAATACATATACGCCACACAAGTCACTTGATTTGTGTGCGCTGTGTTACTGCGCGGGGGCCCACACCCGAAACCTTCAATCTAAAGATCTGATCAACAAGGCAGTGGATCAACGTTAGGAGATGCAGTCTGATGGTAGACAGTAACCAAAGATTGATTCATACACCATTTGTTCCCTCGGGATCCTGGAGCCCATGTGCACCATTTGTTCTGAATCAGAGTTTTCCAATTCCTTCCGTGTCCACCAAACCGGTCAGACCACCAGATATTGACTTATTGTAAGGTATTTAAATCGGTGCTAAAATGGTTATAAGAACCACTAACTTTGTGTACAAAAATGCAACTACAAATTAATGATAAATTTCTATCCGATCAAACAATGTGTACATTATTAGTGGAATTATTATTTTAGTTTTATTCTTTTTTTCATAATAATTTTATTCTTTCATTAGTGGAAGTCAAATTCAACGTGCTTGTCTTTCTATGGATCGATATTCTGGTTGGCTTGGAAAATTACTTGAATCTATCAGATCTAATATACCAATACATATTCGTTCTAATAAAACTATGCGAAAGAATAGGAATGTGAATGATACTATTGATGATAATAATAGTGGAATTTTATATATTAATCCAGTGAACTGTGTTGGAACAGTTGTCGCCGTCAATGGTTATCGTCGATATTTCAATCTTTATCATCCTTTAATTCCAGGTTCTCAAAGCAGTTCTGATGAAAATTCTGTAAGTGATACATAAATTGAAGTTTTGATGTTTTCTTATTCTAAGTTATGTATTACAGAGTATTAATTTAGTTATACAGATGAATGAATTCCTCTTGAAAAGTTAAGGAGCACTATCTGATTAGTTCATCCATAGAATGTAGTGCAGTCAGTCCCCAAATGCTCCGGTACGGCCGAGAATGGGGAGAGTCCACTCTCCCTCTCGAAATGCTCTCACATGGCCACACGTATAAAGCCTCTACGGGGGAAGTCCTACTCCCTGCCTTCTCGTGGCGGGAGTGTTGTTTACGAAAATGAGAGGACGAATAGCGAATGTCCGGCGCTTTAACCGGATTCCAAACCAATAGTGCACATGGGCTTTATTATCCTGAGGGGAGAAATGGCGTATGAACCAATCGTTGGTCACCGGCTACTATGGGACTGCATCTCCTTACGATGCTCCACTGCCTTGTGGATCAGACCTTTAGGTCAAAGGCTCGGGTTGTGGCCCTCTAAAAAAACTCCTGCTTCGATCTGGGCACCCGGGCAGTATCACAGTCCACACACAAATATGGTGTGGCGCATATATATTTGGTGCCCTCTTGTACCAATATTTATGTGTTTAAATAATAATAAATAAAATAGTTATTTTAAAAAAGTGACTCCTTGTTTCACAATTCATGGTATAAGTTAGAGAATTGGAGATAGTGTCAATTTACTTGTTACATACAATCTGTAGAGATGGAATTAGGCATTTGATGTGATGAATACTATCTTTTTTTACTGTGGTGACATAAACTAATTTTCCACCATTATTTTAAACATTTTGAGTAGTATAAAATGGCATTTCGGATACTCGTTGTGCATGATATTTTAATTTCGTACAAAGACCTAAAAACTGCGCTCTGAATTCTGATTGACTCATTCCTAATGTATACTTCCACTGTAAGGAACGTATTCGAGAAATAAGAAGGATATAGTAACTTTAAAACTGAAAATTGAAGAAAAAAATAATGAATACATCTACTCCACCGTGATCGATTCTAATCTATGCTACTTATAGTCTTCAACCAGTGATCACGATTGATGTAAGCATCCCAAACAGATAATTTTCGTCTAGTGATATTGCTTAGTACATCAAACAATTACTTCATGTAATAATACCACGTCTATTTTTATGCAAGTCAGCATAGTTCATTGAAACAAAAGGTATTTGGAGATGTGTTTAAACCACGTTAATTAATAGTGGTTTGCTAGCTCGTTAATCGATTTCCCACCCCTACCTGGGGTCCTACGTTTAACCACATCACTAACCATTTAGTCGTTCTATTCTACGAAGGTGATTCTTCAAAAACATCTATCACCAAACAAGCAACCCATACTTGTTTACTTCATACGCGATATCCCATAGCTATAAAGAGAAATCGAGCAGACTACTGCTTAGTATACTTTCTTTTTGATATCCATATCGATATCACATTTATGCCACACCTGATGCATGTTTAAAAAGTCCAAGCAATCTTCTTTAATCCATATCATTGTTTTGTTAACCAGTGACTCACCGTTACTAATGAAACTTTCTAGTGAAGTGATCAAGTTTCTCATGTACTTCATAATCCATAATCAGGTCATATGTTGATTCAAACCAGTCCTAATGCAAACGTTTGCACTTCTAGGAAGAGTATTTCATCCTAAAGTTTATTGAGTTGTAACTTGATAAGTTCCATAGATTGAATTTTGTCGAATTTTTAATCAAAATGAGACATTTCTTAAATAAATGCATATTCTACATTTCAAGCATACCAACTATTATATTTAAAACATGACACAATTACACATTAAATTTGTAATAGGTTGATTGATTGAATTTGTATGCTTCCGTTCTTCATTATCACCTAAAACTCAGTTGTCTATGTTATTCTGTATTCTTTTTATCCACTTTTGTGATAACTTCTTTTTGTAGACTTTAAGTATCATTTTATGTATCATCCACCTCATTAAGCTTCTAAAGGCTCTCTACTCGAACACAACTGGTCTGGTGTGTGAGGAAATCTCAGCACAGATACAGAAGGCTCGACTAGCTTTTGCCAATTTGCATCATTTATCGCGTAGGCGAGATACCCGTTTACCAACCAAATGACGGGTTTACTGTACAGCAGTTCGTTCCATCCTGCTTTATTGCAGTGAAACATGGCCAGTAAGAGTAGAGGAGATTTGTAGGTTACTAGTATTTGATCATAGGTGTCTTCGAAACATTGCTCGTATATCCTGGGACCAACGAGTAAGTAATGCAGTTGTTAGGAAACGAGTACTAGGTAAGGATGGAAAACCAATTGATGAGGTAGTGAAACTTCATCATTTAAGATGGCTAGGACACGTGGTACGTATACCCAACCACCGACTGCCTTGACGTGCACTGTTTTATGGTGTAGGAATAGGTTGGAAGAAAGCTAGGGGCGGCCAGACCAAAACACGGCACAAGTCCATGAAGTCACCGAGAAGTGGACTGAGCCGTGTTGGTAGGTGTAGACTACCTGGTTGGGGACCGCGAGATGATGGAAACCGATGGTTAGACACCTTGAATGACATGGCTCAAAATCGTTTACATTGGCTCAGGTGCATCCATTCTTTGTGTTCTCCTAAATTCTATTCTTCTGAATTCTTCATGTCTCTTTTTTTTCTCTTTCCAAATTTATTCAACTGGATAGCATCTTCAAATCATAATGTTTCTGATTACTGCTTATACTTTTACACTTCTAGCGCAATGGGTTTTGAATGGACAATTGTATCTCTGTGCTAATGTGATATGTCAACTCGAACTGATGTACGTACGTACGAAGTTGTGCGTTGTTACTGAGTGACTCACTGACTAGTTGATACTTGTCCTCATACAAAGAAAAAAAAACACTAAACGCTCAATTACTATTGTTTTCTGTATGTTTTGGAAATATTTTTGTTTTTATTATTATGATTAATGGCTTTATTCAATATTATATTTTGGTACAATATAGAATTCTCAGCACTTTATCTTCTTTATCTCATTTCAATTCTCTCTCTCTCTCTCTCTCTCTATATATATATATATATATATATATATATATATATATATATATATATATATATATATATATATATATATATATATATATATATATATATATATATATATATATATATATATATAGGAATCAGATGAGGTCGAATCATTAACAGTTGAAAAACAAGGTAAACGCTTACGACGTAGACATATATTTGGTCGTGCATTCGGTTTAGAATCAGATGATGAAGAAGATTTCAATCAATCTAATATTAGTAACAATCATTCACATTTAAAGTCAAGGCATCAAATAAATGATGGAGTATTATTTGAAAGTGAATTATTAGATGGTTTATCCAATTGGTTAGATCGTCTATTTGAAGGTTCATTACCTCGTTATAATGTTCCAGAATGGCCAATAGGTTTACTTGGAGATGACAATGATGATGATGATAATGATTAAATTGTATAGGTTATGTCTTATATGCCGTGATAAACGTTAATGTTTTTATTATCATCTAACAAAAATAATATGATTTCATTCCATTCTATATCATCTGTAAAAATATTCAAATTGTTCATCTTTTTTTCTTGAACCTTATTTTATAAAATGGAGATCCGTGGATTATTTTAAAATTGTAATTTTAAATAAATCTTCAATGTAGATATTTCTTCTTAGAAAGAAGTACACAATTTTACGTAATATTTGAAGTTTTAATGTTTAATGAATTGTATTCATCATTGTAATTATCGTATCATTTTCTCTATTATATACCTGTCTAATAATTTGAGACTTTATTTAATTCGCTGAATATAAAGCATTATATATTTTATTCGTATTTGAAGCTTATTTCTACCTTTTAGTCAAATCATACTTCGTAGAAAGTTTTATCTTTCAAGTTGTCCAGATGTTTGGAATGTTTCTTGGGCAACGTGTTTCATTGATTTTCCATTTGTAACAATCGAAGTTCTTGGTTTGTTTTTATCAAACTTCGGTTGAAAAACTGAATAGTACTTTCGGTCGTCATGTGGTAGCGGTTATTATTAAGAAATCATAGATTTGTAATTGATAGTGTGAGTCGATAATAAGTAAACGAAGTAGTTTGTTTAATTGCTAACTAAGTCATTGGTAACAAATCAACAGGTTGATGTAGATGTGCTTCTTTCTTACCAACCCAATTAGTTGGCGATCCAGGATCTAATAGATATTCGTGTCTATTATATTTGCAAAATTTATCTTCAAAATTTCAGGCAGATATATTTTGACTGAATGTTGATCACCCTGAGTGCCTACACCAGTCCTGAAGTTATAACTTAGTAGGTTATTGTACTGCTGTTGGGTTTATGCCGACTATCATTTATTCAGTATTAGGTAATCTGTCCCACTAGAAACCTACTGGGTACATCAAAGACGGAAATTCTAACACTCCCAATTCACCAGAGACTAGCTGATAAATATGTTACTCGGACCTATACTGTGTGCAACTCTAGGGGTGTCCATTTTTCTTTCGTTTGGTTTCTCGAGGAGTTACACCTAAGAACAAGTTCGAAATGTCTAACCGATAATGTGCTCTTATGCTCACTGGGTATCTATGGCCATTTGAATTCTAAATGTATATTCGACGAAGAACTGCGACCAAATAATTTTTACTTAGTTTTACCAAAAGAATTCAAGTAGACAACCAGCACACCTCAGAAATAAGTTCTGGGTTGGCTTTCTGATATGTAAGCATTGTGACGCAGTATCGAAAGCCTTTGTTAAATTGTGAGTGTCCGTACTACATCTTCATGATTCCATTTTATGGTTGCAGAATTGCGATTGATGTATTACTACCTTACAGAATGACCAGTGCTAATACGATAAGGTGTCAGAAGATTCCTTCGAACGGAAATTAGTTGACTCTATTATCACATTTGATCTAGTGCGACTTATGAGTAAAGCAACCAGGTACAACCTGGACTCCTAATCATCCTTACTAGATCTTATATTGACATATTATGGGGATAACGCCACAAACCTCTATTAAATGCTACCCCTAGGTTGAAGTAATCATGCAGTCATAGTCTTTGGTTATCACATCTCTTTTAACACTGTGAATGTGTCAACCCAATTCAGGCTAAACGTCTGGAAAGCAAATATACAAGATATTATACGCTCAGCATCTTCAGTAGATCGAATAAGAAAACCATAATCTCTATTTAAAACAGCTTCAAAAGTATATTGAAATTTCTGCACAATGAATACATTACCACTTATTCCTTAAGCAACAATGAGAAGTTTGGGAAATTCTGTACTATGACTTGCACTTCTCTCGGTAATAGAAGATGAAGACGCAAAGAATTTCGGTTACTTGGGACTGATGAAACAAATACCAATATCTGGAAGCCCAAAATATTTTTCTCTTGATCTTCCGTAAGTTTATAAGGTTTGGGTAGTGTTTTACGAACTAATAATTCTTTTGTACTTGATTGATGCGGTAAAATTAAACACATCCAGTCAGTCAAGAACTACTGTTGGTTTTGCCATTGGTGATGACAAACTCTGCATTTCAGAGTTTATTAGATTGAGCTTTCCTTGTGACAATATGTCTCTATCCACGGTTTCGGAAAGTAATGTCCATATTCAGAAGTGATTAAATACCTCCCTTGATTCGTTTCATTACTTTAGTGTTGACACACGCAGTATAGATTCATACCTCAGTCGAATTCTTAACTTAGTGATGGTTGACAATTGTTTAGGGTTCCAGATATTCTTCGATTATAGATATGCTGCTTTTACTTTGTCGATCGTGCTCAGATATGTAAAGTCTTTTATATCTTCCAAATCTTCTCTGTCAAGTGTGAATCGATTGCTGCATGCTGTGTTGTATCGGAGAATCTTGCTTTTTCCTTTGCATATGCTGATACCTACTGCTGCTACACTAGTCGTATTCTCCTGCAATTGTTGTTGCGTGTAATATAAAAAGCCCGATCATCTGAGAAATCTAGGTCCTCCGTCTGCATCCTAGATGTCCATTGTATCCCGTGCTTCCCTTCAGATGTTTACGTCTTCATGATCCAGTCGATCACCAGGAGAAAGAGAAAGGGTGAGAGTAAGCAACCTTGCCTAACACCAGTCTTTACTTCGAACGACCTTGTCAACTGTCCTCCATGCACGATTTTGCAGTGTAGTCCATCATAGGAATTCCGTATGATATTGACTATCTTCTGAGGCACGCCGTAGTGTCGAAGAGGTTTCCATAGTGTTGTTCTGTCCACGCTATCAAATGCTTTTTCGTAGTCAATGAAGTTGATGTAGAGTGATGAATTCCATTCAATTGATTGTTCCACAATGATCCGTAAAGTTGCGATTTGGTCTGTACACAATCGATCCTTACGGAATCCTGCCTGTTGGTCACGAAGTTGGGCGTCTACGCAGTCCTTCATTCTGTTTGACAATACCCTGTTGAAAACGTTTCCCGGTATTCAGAGAAGTATGATAACTCTGTAGTTATCACACCTGCTGATATCACATTTCTTTGGTATCTTGATCAGGTGGTCTTCTTTCCAATCTGTTGATACTTGTTCTTTATCCCAAATGTTGCTGAAGAGTGGAGCATCCTTGGAGTTACCGCTACGCCTGCCTTTAGTGCCTCTGCTGGAATGTTGTCTGGTCCTGCTGCTTTGCCAGTCTTGATTTGTTTGATGGCCATGCTTATCTCTTCAATTTTTGGTGGGCCAACATTGATTGGAAGGTCCGTGGGTGCTGCTTCGATGTTAGGTGGTTCCAATGGAGCTGGTCGATTCAAGAGTTCTTTGAGGTGTTCTACCCACCTGTTTTGTTGCTATTCAATGCTGGTGATTACCTCGCCTTCCTTGCTTTTCACTGGTCGTTTTGGTTTGCGGCGATTTCCAGAGAGTTTCTTTGTTGTGTCAAACAGTTGTCTCATGTTCCCTTCTCTCGCGACCTTTTCCGTCGTCTTTGCTAGATCTTCCACGTACTTACGTTTGTCGGTTCTGATGCTCTTCTTCACTTGTTTGTTAACTTCTGTGTATTCAGCTTGTGCCTTGGCTTTTTCTGCTCTTGTCCGACTTGTATTGATTGCTGCTTTCTTGTCCCTCCTTTCTTGAATCTTATCCAGTGTATCAACAGTGATCCATTCCTTGTTATGGTGGTTCTTGTGACCCAGAACCTCATGACATGTTGAAGTGATTGCCACTTTTAACCCTTTCCAGTTGATCTCCACAGTAGTTCCCTCTCCACTGCGTAGATCGTTAAAGGTCTGGAATCTAATGCTGAGGACTATCTTGAATTTGTTGAGTTTGTTGGTATCCTGAAGAAAAGTCGTATAAAACATTTGTGCTGTTTTCCTCCCCATTGTCCAGTGTTTCTTGAGTTTCAATTTCATCTTGGCGACCAGCAAGTGATGATCTGATGCTATATCAGCTCCTCTCTTGGTTCTCACGTCCTCTATAACCCTCCTGAGCTTTTTGTTGATGCAAATATGGTCGATTTGGTTTCGCTCAGGTTGATCTTGAGTTTGATGTGTTTTAGTTAGTCTGTAGTCTAGTTTCGATTACCAAGTCTTAAATAATGTTTTCAAACATATAGGAAACACAAACCTATGAACTCTCTGCCTGTAAACCTGACAAGAATTGCTGTTTAAATTTAAAAAAACTCCGAAATGCTTTGTTCAAATATCTTTACGAAAACCGGACAATCTCTGAGAAACGATACTGCTTTAGAAAGAGTTATTCATGTCTCACAAACTTATAATACCACGAAAAATTTGGTGCGTTTTCGAAAATTTCAAAAATGCTTTTGACAACATTCCACACAACTGGCTGTTATTATCAGTCATTTACTTTCTATTCTATGTGTAAATGAACTGCCGAGTAAGGTCGAGACCCCAGTGCTAATATTTTTCAATGAGGAATAAATGTGGCTTGAAACAACTGAAGACCAAGATGCTCGTTCATTTCAGGCGGTCTTACATGTTCAAGGTAGTTGGTTAAAAAATTGCCGATGTCTCTCAACTCGGCTAAGCGTATCTGCATTCACATAAAATGATAAATATGTTCATTAACAGTAAGGAGTCTGTGTCCGAAGTTCGGTCTCTCGATGGTCAAGGGTAACATTGATCTACGATCTTAAAATCGATTCTCACTGTCGTGAGGTCGCAGTTAAGTGATTTATAGTCAAATGGGCTCCAAGGCAGATAATTACCAAGTTAAGCACTAAATTTTTCACTATATTATGTACAACTTTGATGAAATCCCAAATTGTAAACTGAGTTCAGGCTGCGAGCCCCTATCTGAAAGACGACTCAGTTATCTTGGAAAAGGTACAGAGGGTGTAATTTAAGCATAGAAAGAACGGCTTGAGAAGCTAAATCTTTTTGATCATTTTTATCGCTGATTTTGGTGTTTAGAGTACTAAGAAATGATTTTGAACCTGATATATCCTCTTATTTTCTTCCTACCGAATCAGGATAAAACAGGACATACTAAGCATTTGCGAAAGCTGTAAAAGAATAGAGTAACAGCGGCATATTGGTTTTAAAACCAAGAACCTGTTACAGATCACTAACGTAGATTATCCTTGTCGGTTGATTGTGGGCTCACTCCAGTTAGGCCAAACAGCGGCTTGTAGTGACTCACGTTTATTACGAGAACACGACTGGTTCAGTAAAAACAATTATTATTATAAACAGTTGTACCAGTGTTTGTTTTAATGTGCTTTTGTTTGTCTGTGCTAATGACAGCTATACATTGGGCTTCCCTTCTTGTTCTTACACTTCGATTGTAATTTCGCGCGAATTCGGTTACCTTCTGTAACCAAGCTTGTAACCTGGCACGATCTCGGTATCCCTTCGATACCACGAGATCGCCAGTGAATAAATCTTGACTTGGTCCATTTTCTGCCTTCTGATATTTGGCTTCTCGGGGTTTTTATGGAGTCATTTGGAACGAGCTTCTTGGTAGCGGTGTTCACAGTTAAACTCAACTCGACGCCACGCTACAGGCTAATGCCTATGGTGAATTATTCTTTGTCGTATCCAGGTACAACGGTTGCTTTGATGACTGTACAGCACAAACGACGCGATTAGGGAATATATTATTATGAGTAAGAACAAGGAACATAGTCAGACCACTGATGCATTGTCCGATCCGTGACGTGTAGTTAACAGTTGCACGTTGGTTGTCCGTGATATTGACGGGTATCGCTGAGCTGTTCGATATCCATTAACCCAAGTGCCTGATGATTTAGATAAGTTCCGGTAACACTTATTGGTACCCAAGGAGTGGTGTTCGATAATTAACTTGACCGATTTGAGAAGACACACGCTTTCAGACGCTTGCTAGAAAAAAGTAACACAAACCGTAAGCCTATTGTCATCCTCACACAAATAAGTTCTGTCTAATCTTTTTAAATCGAAGTGGGAAACAACCCTCGAACTGTTTCTATGTTGTTTAGGATTATTTGCAGTATATGAAATTTATATGACCCTGAAGTCCAGGCGGTATATACATATACAGATGGTGACCTTCAAATGAAGATTTTAGTCGATTGTTATTATTAGGAGCGTTTAAACCTACTAAATTACCATGAATACTGTTTTGAAATGTTTTTGGAAGTTAAAAAATTCTTCTTCATACGTATATCTAATGAATTCTTCATCTGACTTGTATTTTAGTTATCTGACTATAATTTGGAAGAATTTGTGACTTTATTATACAATTTCATCAGTCGCCGATTCGGGACATTCGAAATTCCACTCAAGTAAATATAGTCAGAGTTTACTATTCCATTTTAGATATGTGACCCGCCTCAGGGACTTTCTATTATTTCAATTAGTGAACTATAAGCATTCTCTCAATTTTCAGTGCTTAAAATCGAGTTCGGGATTTCCTGATCTTACTGTATTATACAAAATGATTTTCATACTTTCGTGTTTGGAAGTGGAAGCTTTTTGTTTAGATTATACTCAGTGTGATGGCTACTACTCTCCATCATGTTATCTTTGCAGCTTACACATACTATCATCAACTGTGCAATTTATATGCAAGGAAATTAACAGTGGTAGGTTAAAAATCACGTTTAAGTTAAAAAGCTGTGCTAGTGAAAGATGTTTGCGTGATAACATTTTTTATTATTGATTACAAGTTATCAAAGAATTAGACGAAGAAACAATGTGTCACAGCAGTCAAATAAATTCACAATTCTGCACATTAGTTTAGTGTTGAGATTATAAAGTAAAATATAACTTTAAATCCTGAAACTCTAAGGATGTGTAAATTCACTTCATATAAAATCTATTTGTTGTTTACGACATGTATTGTCATTGTATACTGAAAATAGGCTACAGATCATGACTATCTATTGTTTTTTCACTTTTAGTTTCCAAAATATTTGGAACGTTGTAGACATTGTTGGTAAAAATGTCTAAAGTTTATATATTAAGTCGGCTGTATATCCGATAAAACATGTCATGGGGAGGGGTTTTAGTTTTACTGTGTACATGTCTTTTTAATATGCCAAACGGAATGACAGTTAAATCATGCCTAATGATATGCTATGTTTTATTGTCAATCATTCTTGATTTCAATTGATTTATATGAACTTCTAAGTGGTCCTTCGAATGTCGACACAAATGATCAGCAATGGTGTTTTCTTCATTTTAGAATGATATACGTATAATATTGATACAACAGTAACATATACTGACTGCACCTTATAGCATAGTGGGTTTTATCACGAGCTTTGTATTTCGTCTACTTCATAGTGAAATCAATTCCTCAGAATGTAGAAATCACACAATCTTGTCTGATAGAAATCTCGATAGTCTGGCTCTTCTGAGCGCTTTTAACAACAATTTATAAATTCTCAAAGCTTTCTTCTTTATAAATAAGCATGAAACGTTTCGGATTTGTGATATGCCAGTGATTTTCATAGCCACTGGAAGGGTAGTAGTTGAGTACACTAACCACTTTGTATATATTGAACGTCTCTAAACACACCCGTTTGAAGCGAACGGCACTGACTTCGAGTCCCGGAGTGAACATCAACTCTGAGATGCAGGTACATCGAGGTGACGAGTCCCAAACAGGACGAAAAGCGAGTCCTGGATTCCACTGCTACCCACTATCCATCTTTGCTTATAACCCTATTCATGGTTTAGAATTTAAAATTCATGGGATTAAAACATGTATTTTTGTTAGTGATTAAACTTGTAACCATTATTTCACTTAACGATATTTTTTATTTTTATAATAAATAACTATATATATATATATAGTTATTTATTATAAAAATAGGTTTGTTCTAGTTTTCCGATGTACAGGCAAGATTTATTGTTTATGCATCCATCCCAACTTTTTCGACTTATTTCATTTTCTCTAAAAGGAATATATCTTGAACTGTGAGACGAAATTTGGACTTTCAGCGTTTCCTTTATATCTAGACCACTAAAGGGAGATTATCCCTCCAGAAGTTACTTATTACTTATGCTTTGGTACAATTCGTCTAATTTGATACTGACATTGACAATTCTATGTCTCTGTGACAGCGTAATATGGCAAGATGAGGATGGTGCACATGTTTGCCATGTTCTTGTTTATAATTGACTAGCACTTTGGTGTCAGGTTTCAAAAATATTATTCTCGTAAGGAATATTATTCCCTACCAGCTCATTGTGCATCAAATCTATTCTCACCCAAAATTTTTGTTGTTCAAATTTCTTTCCAGCAAACTTATTCTTCTTAAAATACGTAACTTAAAGTAATTGTATCTTGTTCTAGATTCACATGAACATCGAATTTTCTCGTCAGGCTGCGATTTCAGTAGGAAATATAATTGCAGGTGCTATAAGCACGCCTTAAATTTGAAAACCATTTGTAAATATGAAGAGAAAGGTAGTTCTTTTCAAGATGATGTATCATATTCAGATTTTATTACAGATGAAAATTCTAAAGGTCAATTTCCTTTAAAAACTAGAAAGCGCCAATATAAATCTGCAATCAAAAGGAATATTACCTCATATTATTTCAAAAAATCGATTGAAAGAGTCAATTTCATTAATCTCTTTCCTGATTTTGAACAGTAAGTATATTTTCTTTGTGTTTACCGTCTATATATATTCTTAAAATGTGAATAAGATGCTTCTAATAGTTGAGACCATGAGTCGATTGAATATAGACCACCACTGAAAACCTGGGAGCACTGGACGGCCAACTCGTTTTATTGTGGGACTCCTCAGCAGTGCACATCCACCATCTCATCTCGCGAGATTCGAACCCAAGACCTATCCGTCTCGCGCACGAGCGATTAACCACATGACCACTGAGCTAACCGGCATCCAACGGTATTAATGTCAAACTTCAACCAATCCACGAAATTGAGCGACACATCCATCATTGTCATCAGTGAGTTACTATCTCACAACAGACCCTGTTGAACTCCACTGATCAATACTTCTCACTAGAACTCCATGACTGATAGGTCCTGGGTTCGGATCCCGCGAGGCGTTGTCGGGGATGCGCACTGCTAAGAAGTCTTACAATAGGACGTCCAGTACTTCCCGGTTTTCCATTTCGGTCTAGCTTCAATTGACTCATTATCTCAACTATTGGAATTACTACAATCTCCACGAAACTTTTTTCTGATAAATAAGATGATTTTTCAAATTTGAACAAAGAGGAGTTTGAAATGTTCAGTATCAGTTGCACAACGCCTATCGTTTTTTGTTTCGTTTTTCACCAAACACTCGAAACGTATCAAGCAACGGATGCTTTCCAGTGATTATTTCTGCATAGATTGTTTTTTCTGCCCTGCTTTGTTTACCTTGAAAAAATGTTATGATTTACGAATGATAGGTTGTAATATTCCTAAGATTAAGAGTTAGGTACTGAATTTCTATTTTATTCCTATGTAGTCTGGTACATTATTGCTATAATATAAATTAATTGCGTTATCATAATGCTATCCTCCCTTTAATTCAAGATTAGATGTGACATGGCCGTGTTTGTATCTCTACTATACGATTAGCTCAATTTTTTTCTCTAAATGGTTTAAAATTTACTCATGCGTGATCTAACTTAGAGAAGCAGTCAGCGCTTTACGTTTAATGTTACTTAGAGTGTAATCCAGTGCGAACGAAGCGTTTAAATCTTAAGATACACATGTTATTAGTAACATACAACATCGTTCCAGGTCCCGGCTGACGTAATCTTATTTCGTAAATTTTCAGTAATTAGTTACCTTTAAGGAGCATTAATTTACTCAGGTAAGTAGAAATTTGAAAGTTACTTTAATATTTTTTCGACACTTAATGGTATCCAATGATTTTTACTTGTAATTCAGTTCAATAGTCTAAAGGTTAAAAGCTTATTATGAGTTCTGAATGTCCCGAATTCAATCTGTGGTAGGTTTGTAATTACTCATTTCCAAGGAGTGCTATGTTAGGACAAAGCAGATGTGCACTACTTTCAGTGGTTGTCTAACTAAAGTAAGTTTGTGACATGAAAATTTAAAATAAATATTTGTGTTGTATTCACTGTAATGATAGTTGCCTGCTTTAATAGTGATTATGTCTGTTATAGAATTGCGGTATGTTCAGAAACTTTTCACAATTTATATTGAACTATTATGTTTTAATAAAAACCCATCGGAATGATTTGTTCAATATCTTTTTTAGTGAAAATGACATATCACTTACTGAACATAATCTTCATCTTTTTGATTGTCCAAAGTCTACATCAATTCCTCATCAACATGTTCTGTCTTCTAAGCATTCGAATTGTTCAAATATAGATGTGTTGAGGATTTATTTAACAAAGCATATGACTACAGAACTTCCTCAATTCTGCACATATCCTCATATATTGACTATTCTTTGTCAATATATTAATATGATCCAGTTTATCATACATATGAATGAAGAATATTCAATTCAATACAGTGATGTATTATCAACATTCAATATCAATATTTTAACAGAACTAGAAAATGTCATTATTTCGATTTATGAAAAGTTTATTAGGACTAAGTAAGTAAATTAAGTGATATTTTCTAACCTAGAGTTGTAACGATACTAATTACCAGTGATTCTTTGTAAAGTTTAGGATGTAAATGTTTTGTGTGCGTGTGTGTATGGAGCGATGTCCTAGTAGTTAAAGTATTTGTCCTTCAATAACAGATCTGTTGGTTCAAACTTGACCAATAGTTTTCTAGGTTCAGTAATCAAGTATTTTAACAACGGACTGTATTATCACTAACTAGTAACCAATTTCATGTTTGATCGTATTATTATCATCAGTATTATTAGTATTAGTATTATTAGTGATATCACTATATCTTGAAGAGAACGAGAACAAAAATTCAAAATGAATTAATGACGAATTTAACCGGAAAAAATGTTTATGTATTTGTGTTTTATAAGATTAAGTAAAGAATATTACAAATATGTATTTAATATGGAAGAACATTCGCTAACAATACGATAGTAACAAAATCCTAAGGAATCGGATACAAGCGATTGCTCAATATAAATACACTCTAATAATAAATAAGAATAAAGTAAACAAAGCTAAGTTAGTTAAGATAAGATTACTGATTTAGACGAGAGTTAAAAATGGTAAGTAATGATCTAATCGATTGAAAACAATAGTAGAACAAAATTATATGATGTAATGAAGACAGAAAAGAACACATTATATCGGGAAATAGAAGCAGATATGAAAAGGATGAATAACAACCTGAAAAAGCTGGAAAGGATTGCTCAGGACAGGGTTGTATAGAGAGTGCTCGTGGGCGGCTTATGCTCCTCCACGAGGGGTAGCAGGCGTCAGTAAGTAACTAAGTAAGTAATGAAGATAGATGTAATGTATTTGCAATGATTTCGTAATTGAATTTTAGTGATTTTGGTCGATCGAGTTTTAATAAAGTATTTGATCAGAACAATATTTTATAACCACCTACACAGATTTGTATTTTAAGAATTTAATTGAAACGATAGTTGATTGTCTAATTGATGTGTATGAGACAAAATAATTTTTCAGGTTGAGTACTTTATACACTGTGACACCATTCCATATTAACATTCACAGTTTTATCTTGAAGGTATTCAAATACTCATTTTCCAATCTTTCCAATTACTGCTTATACTTCTACTACCTATACCACTATGAGATTTGAATAGACAATTGTCTGTCTATGCTAATATGGTACGGTATGGGTTAGTGTATGATGAAATCTCAGCTCGCATTCGTTTGGCTTTTGCCAACTTACGTCGCCTATGGAGGAGGCCAGATATCCCTCTATCAATAAAAGGACGAGTATACTGCGCGGCAGCTCTTTCTGTTCTACTTTACGGCTGTAAACCATGACCATTAAGGCTAGAGAATACTCGTAAGTGACTAGCATTTGACCACAGATACCCTAGAGATATTGCTCGCATCTGCTGAGACCACTAGGTGAGTAATAGTCAGGTTGGACTCAAGGTATTAGGGAATGTTGGTAAATCAGTTGATGAGGTTGTGAATCTACATCGACTGAGATGGTTGAGCCACGCGTTACGTATGCCCAAACATCGATTACCACGACGCACAGTGCTAACTGGTGTTGGGGATGGTTGGAATAAATTATCGGTCAAACCAAAACGTGGCATCAGTCTATAAAGTCACCAACTTCTAGTCTTAGCTATGTTGGTAGATGCAAACTATTTGGTTGGGGTCTGCGTGACTATCGTAACTAATGGGTGGAGACTGTTGGTGACATGGCTCAGAATCGATCACAATAGTGTAGGTATATACACTCTCTGTCTTTCCTTAAACTAAGAGATTAAAATCGCTTCATATCTTTCTACGAACTAATTATTTCTTCTTGTACTATAATCCTTATATGTAATCTTTCTTTTATACATTACTATGATTGAACTAACTACTATGAATTCGTTGTTCATCTTGTTGTGCTAATGAAGTACGGAATCTTGGACTGATGCATATATATGCCTGTTCTACGTTATACTTAACTGAATTTCCTCTATTAACAGAATTAGATTATTATGCATTGGTTATCTTTTACAAACGCTTAATTATATTTATTTTCATATTGTTTAATTACACAATATCTAATATCAATAAACTTCTTTTTACTTAAGCTGTACATTCGTATATATAATTATATGGAAAATGAATGTCTTTAGAAGGATAGGAAGGATTGTATCACAAAAATGGTTTCTCACAGATTAAAATCATGAGTCAGTTAAATCTAGACCACCAGTGAGGACCTGGAAGCACTGGACGGCCGTTTCGTCATAATATGGAACTCCTCAGCAGTGCGCGTCCACGATCCCGCACCACGCGGAATTCGGAGCCAGGACCTACTAGCTTCGAGCGCGAGCACTTAACCATTCGACCACTGAGCTAGCATCCAACGGTGGTAATGTCTAACTTCAACCAATCCACGAAGTTGCAACACCATATACCATTGTCTTCAGTGAGCTGATATCTCACAACAGACCTGGTTGAACTCCACTGGTAACGGCTTCCCACTAGAACTCCAGGAGTATCTCTTGAAGTCAGTCACTAGTGAGCAGATGATTATTATCAGAAGGGTTTTGTGGAGATTTTAAAAATTTTCACAGATTGAAATCATGAGTCAGTTGAAGCTAGACCACTAATGAAAACCTGGAGTGGAGCGGCCTATGTAACATGCCCCACACGAGCGAGTAAATTTATAGATACACATTGAAGTAGCCCAAAGCGAAAGTTTGTCCTTAACACACGCCTCAAATTTTGTTCTTCCTTACCCCTTGATTAGTACGTTAACCTCATTTGTTATTTATTGTCGAATCCATTTTTGTGATACAATCCTTTCTATCCTTCTATAGACAAACTTTTTTTCTTTGTTGATTGTTCTTTTTTTTTCTTTTCAGAGATAATTCCCACTTAGTAACTGTGGTAATAATTTGTGAAAATTTATCGATTATATGTGATTGTATAAAATATTGTAAACATTTAAATCTCCCTCTCATTATCAATAATAATAATCATAATAATTTATTATTAAATTTTAATCAATGTTTAATTCAATGGTTTATTTCCATGGATTCTATTCAATATTTTCCTTTCAAAATTACTATAATTGATACACTTGCATATCTTATTCATATCAATCCTCAATATTTCTATATTGACAATCAATGGCATAATGAAATGAATAAATTTTTAATGAATTTATCATTTACAAATGGATTATACATGAATGATTGTTCATCTAATGTAAATGATTGTAATAATAATAATAATTATTATTATTATATGAGTTTATTTCATCAACTTCATCATTTAGATAAACAATTATTACATCACAATAAACAAATAAACAATGATTTAACTGTAAATAATAATAATAATCATGAATTTCCTTATTTTATTGTTTTATTAGATTGTTTTACATCACAAACAAACATTACTACATTACTTATTAGTAATGATACTACTACTACTACTACTACTATTAATAGTAATCTACCAATTACTTATTGTTTATTATTAAAATTTATGTATATACATATCACATCAATTACTTCTATATATTTATTAAATGATCAATATGTTGAATGGATATTTGATCTATTGTTTAAACTATACTACATAATATCACCATTCATTTCGAATCATTTCAGTACTCCTACTCCTCTTCTTCCTCCTCCTCCTCCTCCTCCTCCTCCTACTACTACTACTACTACTACCACTACTACTAATGATAATAATAATAGTAATAATAATAATAATAATTATTATTATATTATTTGTACATTTTCAATGAATTTAATTAAGAATCAAAAATTCAATTTATTAAAACAAATTTTCTATCAATTTATAAAGGATTCAAAATTCTCTAAATTAAAAATAAAATTTTTCTTTCAATTATTAAATCAATTACAATTACAATTGAATCTATTATATAGTAATAATAATAATGAGAATAATAATATTAATATTATTATTATATTAATGGATTACATAATAAATGATGTAATGATTCCAATGAAAGAAATCAATTCAATGGATTTCAATGAAAATCATTTTCTATTAGAATGTTTTATGAATTTAATTAGAATGAAAATTCAATCCATTCATTCTATTATAAATGATTCAATCATTAATGTAAATAATTGGAAAGTATACAATGATTTCATGGATAATCTATTAGATATAAATGATGTGAATCATTCATATTTGTTGTTAAGGTAAATCATTTATTTCATTATATAAATATTGTATATCAGTAGCAGCCTCTACCAGGGAAGTTCTACTCATTGCCTTCTCGTGGCGGGGGTGTTGTTTACGAAGTTGAGAGGACGAAAAGCGAATGTCCGGCGCTTTAACCGGGTAGGTGGACATGGAGAGTCCACCTACAGGAGTTGGAAAGCCCTGATTCCAAACGAATAGTGCACATGGGCTCCAGTATCCTGAGTGAAGAAATGGCGCATGAACCAATCGTTGATCACCGGCTACCATGGAATTGCATTTCCTTACGATACTTCACTGCCTTGTGAACCAGACCTTCAGGTCGAAGGCTACAAGTGTGGCCCCCTAAGGAAATCACCTGCTTTAATTTGAGCACCAGAACAGTACCACAGCCATCACACATATCAAATGAGATTTGTATGGCGCATATGTATTTGATGCCTCCTTGTACCAATATCTATGTGTTAAAATAAATAAATAATATTTTTTATGGTTTAGCATTAAATTCATTTGGTATTGTTGTTTTACTTGTATCTTTCGATTGTTGATTAGTCTCTTATTGGCATATGTGTATCCTATGCGGATTACCTCAATGTAGCCTTAAGTTACAAGCTTTTTAAGCAAATTTTCTTTCTTTTTTATCATTTAGAAATAAAACTTGAAATTGTTATATAAAAAAAGTATATCATATTGTCTAATCGAGAATGGCTTATTTTCAACAAGTATATCTATCGTTAGTATTGAAGAGTAATGAATCCATGGAAAATCAGTTCCTTTTTGAATGTTTTTATAATTACTAAACTCAATGAATAATTTGAACAAAGTACTGGATGGTGGCACAATTTTGTGGATTGGTTGAAGTTAGACATTAATATCATTGGATGCCGGCTCAATAGTCTAGAGGTTATGCGTTCACCGGCAACATAAAGGCATTGGGTTCGAATCCTGCAAGTAGGATCGTGGATAATCACCGCTAAGGAGGAGTCCTAAACTAGGACGAAACGGTCATCCAGTGCTTCTAGGCTTTTCATGGTGGTCTAGCATTAATTGACTCATGAACTTAACTATAGAATTTACTACCGAAAGCGAAAGCATCGACTTACTCAATATATAAATATCCATAGATGATTGAATTTGTTACTATTATTATCATACAAAATAGTAACAGTTATAAATAACTTTTCATATAAAAAGTGAACAATCAAGAGTAGAATTAAATGTTACTTCACTTGTGATTTGTCTGAGTATTCAAATTACTTTTGCATAGTCAATTAGTAATTTAATATATTGCGTAGAATATAGAGTTGTGCGTTTGTTACTATTCACGTAGTGTTGATGAGAACATTTTACTGTAAAGATTGAGTGGCGAGACTATAATTTACGAACGAACCAATCAGATTTGGGGTAATAAATCTTGGATTTCAGCGCGAAATTCATTCATCTATCTGGCTAAATAGCATTTTAACATGTTAGCTTATGTCAGTTTGTAATGAAAATCCTAAATCTATTTTCCAACCCTACTCATCAACTGTAAATCATAATTCTAATTTCTCACACTGTTTTACAACTCTTATATAGTCTTTGTTAGTAGGTGGATATTGTCGACGTCACTTTGGCGTCGTTCAAAGGTCGTCCATAAATTATAGTCTTACCCACTTAGCTTAGTGTTATCCGATGAACTTTTGATTTGCTCTATGGTTTGATTACCATTCCTCTATATTTATTCAAGCATAATTTCTTCCCATTCGATTGTTTATTAGTAATTATTCTAATAATTTATTGAGGATAACTGACTTTCTAGTTTATAATCATTTATTAAGGTACGTAGGTGGTGATGAAAACACTGATAATCTTAATAATCTTTATGTATTCAGTTAGGGAAAATATGTTTATTAACTTGACCACATAGTAACAAATGCGATATTGCATTAATGTCATACTATAGATTTGCACTGTATAATCACCTATTAGTTATTATTATCGTATTTGTCGAATCTGGTCAAATCCTATCAATCAAGTTGACATGTGACATCTGGTTTGAGTTTGATTAAGTAGTTAGACGTAATCGACGGGAAACACTGGATTTGTTACATACTAGTTGACACTCGTCATGAATGTGTATTTGCAGTCTTTAAAGAATTGGTATTCCTTCTTCAAATAGTTAAAACGGAAACTTGGTTGGTTGTTGTCTTAACGACCTAAAAGTGTGATTACAGAGCTCAACTTTTGTGCTTGACAATATTTTATAACTTGAGCATTACCTAAGGTAATAGAGTTTACTTGTATTTCAATTCTTTAGTGATAAATACAGAAATTTTGTTGACTGTTCAGCTTTCTTATTATTATTATTCTTATTCTTATTATAGATGTTTAGTTAATAATATTTTAACTGTTCAGTTGAATCGTCCTTCAGTAGTCTCCAGTGGTCACATTCAATTATCGTTAATACAAGAATACGAACTATTACAAAGTCGATTGATGTATTCCACAGCTGGCTTATTTTTTGATATTTTAAATGAATCAGAAAAGTTACTACACACATTGAATACAAAGGTAAAACATTTGTTATAATTCTGTGTATATCCGTGTGTTATCAACATCAATTTCGTCAATATAGAACATCAAATGTTGGCTATAATTAGATATGCACTTAATTGGATATCAACTCTGTGGTCTAAATGTTATTCATTCGTGCTCGAGACCAAAGTTTTCGGTTCCAACCATCTGTAGTAGAGTCGTAGATATGCAATGCTAAAGAGTCCTATAATAGGACGAGACGCTCGTATAATGCTTCTAGGTTTTCAGTGACGACCCCCAAATGCCCTGGTACACCTGAGAGTGGAGGGAGTCAGCTCTCCCTATCCAAATGCTGTCACATGACCACGTGCATACAACCACTGACAGGGAAGTCTTACTCACTGCCTTGTCATGGCGGGTGGTGTTGTTTACGAAATAGAGAAGATAAACAACGAATATGCGGTGCTCTAACCTGATTGGTGGGCACGGGGAGTCTACCTAGGGAAGATGGGGAACCCTGATTTGAAACAAATGGTGTACATGGGCTCCAGTATCCTAAGCGAACAAATTAGCGTATGAACTAATCGTTGGTCACCGTCTACCATGTGACTGCATCTTCGGCGAGATTCTAATTTAGGGACGACCTTTGGACGAATCTTAAATGACCTTGACAATTATTAGCCAATCAAAAGACAGTTAGTATAAAGTAAAAATATATTATAAGAAAGTAATGAATTACAGTGGATATTCTTCTTTTATATGATTTAAAAACTTGTTAAAATTTAATAAAGGTTAAGGAGTTCTGAATTCATAATGCATACGGTATAGAAACTCGTCCATAGGCTTAGGATTAGGGTGTCGAGATTCTAATTTAGGGACGAGCCAATCAGAAGCGTTTGAGCAATTTCAAGTTCACGGAACCAAGTTCAACACGTGATGCTAACATACGATCGGTTTACAACGGATTTTAGAGAATGGGTGTTTATTGAGAGGCTACAACCCTAACCCGAACCCCTAACCTAACCTTTAACCCTAACCCTATGGATGAATTTCTTTACCGTATGCATTATGAATTCAGAACTCCTTAACCTTTATTAAATTTTAACAAGTTTTTAAATCATATAAAAGAAGAATATCCACTGTAATTCATTACTTTCTTATAATATATTTTTACTTTATACTAACTGTCTTCTGATTGGCTCGTCTCTAAATTAGAGTCTCGCCGCATCTTCTAATGTTACTCCATTACCTTTTGGATTAGACCTTTAGGTCGAAAGCTCCGGGTGTGGCCCATTTAAGAAAATCACCTACTTCGATTTGAGCACCTGAGCATATCGTAGCACCCACATAAATCGAATAATTTATGTTTGCACCTATCTATTTGGTACCCCTTTGTACGAATTTTTATGTATTTAAATAAATAAATAAATTATAACCATACATCTTTTCTCCTTCTATTTTCATAGACTATTGAAGAAATCATATCAATTTGGCAATTATTAGCTTATTTTATATTAATCTCTCATTCAAATTGGTCAAATCCACCAATGATCATTCATTTAAATCAGAATTTATTTCATCATTCATTAATCAATGTTCAGAATTCAAATAAACATTCGAAAAAATCTTTTAGTGAACTTGGTATTTCATTTATAAGTAAAGTTATACAAGTAAAGTTTTATATAAATGAAAAGTACAATGATCCAATTACTGATGTAGTTGATTTACGAAATGTCAATCAATTAAGTTCTTTAATTTTACCGCCAATGATTGTTTTAATTGAAATGATACCAAATATAGCGGTATGTTATTTGAATATTGTACAATGTTTTTTGTTTTTATTTACTAGTTCTTTATTTATCATTCATTGTCAATGGGATTTTTATTCAATATTCAAAATGAATGGACACTGTTGAGAAGTCCCGTACTAGGACGATACGACCGTTCAGTGCTTCTAGTTTTTCTAATAGTGGGCTAGATTCAATGGATTCATGTTCTAAACTACTGAAATTACTATAATATCCACAAAACCCTTTCCAATATTCAATTGTATTGTTAACATCAACAACGTTCACTGGTTCACAAAACATTTATATTATTTCTGAAAGCGAAATATTAGTGTTTAAAGTATTCATTTGGTTACGTATTTGAACCCTGTTTTGTTTTCTAAAGTTTAACTAAATGGGTAGTTTCATGAATCCGTATACAAGCAGCTTAATTCAAATATTAATGTACAAATTGATATTCAATAGATGGGGTCCATTATATTGATTGAATATCTTCTCAGTCAGCTACAACGTAGAACCAGGGACATATATGCATCGGTCCAAATTGCCATACCTCATTAGCACAACAACATGAACACCGAATTCATAGAAGTAGTTAATTGAATGGTGGTAATGTATAAAAGAAAGAAAGATATAAAGCGATTTTAATCTCATAGTTTAAGGGAAGATAGAGAGTGCATACATCTACACCATTATGATCGATTATGAGCCATGTCATCCAGAGTCTCCAATCATTTGTTACCATAATGACGCGGACCCCAATCAAGTAGTTTGCATCCACCAACATGGCTAAGACTAGAAGTTAGTGACTTTGTGATCTAATGCCACATTTTGGTTTGGCGGCCCCTAACATTCTTCCAATCATCTAAGTGACATTAAATCTGTAGTCATAAAATAAAATGTATAAGATTATCATTTCATTGAGTTCGGTTGTAATAATTTATCTTTTGAAAATCATTACGGAGTACATTTTAATTCACAAGGATGATCGAGTCGACACAAAAAGGACTGTAATATGTAAGAAAATATTAGATTACATCATTTGAGGAAACATAATTTATAGATTGTTTTGTTTTTGAATTCGTCATAAGGGTTACAATAGTATGAAGCATAAAATTTCATACACATAGGTAGTAACGTTATAGAGTATCGGACTACCTGTTTGGGATCCACGAGATGATAACAACTGATGGTTAGAGACCTTGAATAATATGGCTCAAAATCTTTTGCAATGGCGCAGATGAATCCTCTTCTTGTGTTTTCGCAAATTATAATCTACTAAATTCTTCATGTCCCTTTGGCCTTGATGATTCCATGTGTGGGATTGCCTTGTGACTCAGTTCGGTGCTTTCCCCAATGTGTGTCCTATCGACTCCCAGCACTTCTTCCTGATTTGTTTCTCCACTGGGACCTGGCTTGTTCTCTCCCATAATAGGTTGTTGTTGATAGTTCCTGGCTGACGGGTCCAATGTCTTTTGCATACTTACTTACTTACTTACGCCTGTTACTCCTCGTGAAGAAGCATAGGCCGCTCACCAGCATTCTCCATCCAACCCTGTCCTGGGCAATCTTTTCCAGCTCCTTCCAGTTCCTATTCATCCTTTTCATATCTGCTTCTATTATCCGACGTAATGTGTTCTTTGGCCTTCCTCTTTTTCGCTTCCCTTTAGGATTTCAAGTTAGTGCTTGTCTCGTGATGCAGTTTGACGATTTGCGTAATGTATGTCCTATCCATTTCCATAGTCTTTTCCTAATTTCTTCAGCTGGAAGTTGGTTTGTTCTCTCCCACAGAAGGCTATTGCTGATGGTATCCGGCCAATGGATGTTGAATATCTTGCGTAGACAACTATTTATAAGTACTTGTACCTTCTTGATTGTGGTTGTTGTAGTTCTCCAAGTTTCAGCTCCATACAGTAGAACTGCCTTGACATTCGTATTGAAGATTCTCACTTTGATATTGGTTGAAAGTTGTTTTGAGTTCCATATGTTCTTTAACTGTAGGAATGCTGTCCTTGCTTTGCCAATCCTTGCCTTTACGTCTGCATCTGAACCTCCTTGTTCATCGATGATGCTTCCCAGGTATATGAAGGATTCTACATCTTCCAGAGTTTCGTCATCAAGAGTGATTGGATTGCTGTTCTCCGCCGTCAATTTGAGGACCTTGGTTTTCCCTTTGTGTATGCTGAGGCCTACTGATGCAGAGTCTGCTTCTACACTGGCTGTCTTCATCTGCATCTGTTCGTGTGTACGTGATAGGTGTGCTAGGTCATCTGCGAAGTCCAAATCGTCTAATTGATTTCGAGCTGTCCATTGAATTCCGTGTTTTCCTTCAGATGTCGAGGTCTTCATAATCCAGTCGACCACCAGAAGCAAGCGGAAGGGAGAGAGTAAACAGCCTTGTCTGACTCCGGTCCTTACTTGGAATGCATCTGTCAGCTGTCCTTCATGCACGACTTTGCACTGTAGTCCGTCGTATGAGTTCCGGATAATGTTGACAATCTTCTCAGGAACTCCGTAGTGTCGAAGAAGTTTCCATAATGTCCTCCTATCTACACTGTTGAATGCTTTTTCATAATCAATGAAGTTGATGTATAGTGATGAGTTCCACTCAACTGATTGTTCGACGATGATTTGTAGTGTTGCAATTTGGTCTGTGCATGATCGATCCTTGCGGAATCCAGCTTGTTGATCTCGAAGTTAGGCATCTACTACTATCTTTTGCATAGACAACTATTAATAAACACTTGTATCTTCTGGATGATGGCTTTCGTAGTTCTTCTGGTTTCCGCCCCATATAGTAGAACTGTGTTGACATTTGTATTGAAAATTCTGACTTTGGTGTTGGTTGACATATAGTTGATTTGAGTTCCAGATGTTCTTCAGTTGTATATATGTTGCTCTTGCTTTGCTTTCACATCAGTATCAGATTCACTGTGTTCATCAATGATGCTGCTCTAATATGTCAAACTTCTGTTGAATGCTGATTAGATTAGATGTTCCACATTGTTTAAAGGCCCCCTTTTTGACTTTTTTTTTCAAGGAATTTTCTGGGTCTCACCAATAAAATCACATAACTGTTAGCGGATAGAATATTAGCTTGAGTGACAGTTAATAATATACACTTGATATTATGATAATAAAAGAAAATAGTATATTCTTGTTTTCTACAATTAATATAAATTTACATACAGACACCATTTATATTTCTTTTCATAGTAATAATTAAGTTTTGATAGTTGCCTACTATTTTCTTCCTCCCTCCCTCTTTTTCTTTTTTTTACATTTCAGCCATTATTGAATGATGGGGATTCGCATAGTGATAATCATAGTAAATATAACAATTCAATCGATCAGTTATTCACTATACTAGAAGATGCTTTTACACAAGTGCAATTTATTAGAACATATGGTTTTAATAATTTTTATGAGTTCCTTGTACATTTTATTCAGTATAACTTTCATGAAAATTCTTTTATAAACAACAGTACTACTACTACTACCAATGATGATAATAATGATAAGATAACATTATCTAATAAAATGTTTGATGAACGATCCCGATTTTCTTCATCATTGACTTCTGACGAATCGATAAATAAAACATCAAATACTTGTACGGATAATCAATATTTTGGTAAGTCACTTGTCAATACTAATCAATTTCTATTAATTGACGTGTAACGTGGCCACTAGTTCAAGGAACTTGATACTGCATGGACTATACTAAAATTTTAGGTGGTTGAACCTAATCGATAGAAATTCGTAGACATGGATTGGTTGTTATGTGATACACGTGGGCAAGTTGTACTAATAATCTTGAGAGAATTAGTACTCCCTGAAGGATTCAATCTCATGTCTCTCAGCTTTTTAGTCTGAAATGTTACCATTGACATACTCAAGAAGCAGGCCTCCTGTCGACTAGCCTCAACTAATTAATAGATTTACGTTGGTGTTGTTGACTTTCCTGAGTTATATCATTCAGTTGGAGAGTTTTTATTGTAGTTCAGGACATAAACATTAGCGCTTACTTCATGTAGAAGTGAGCTTCTTAGTTATTCCTTGAGCCTTATACCGATTTGTTCTGGCGGGCATGTGTACGATTAATTGTTTTCGTAGCTATTTTTTATCTCCATTTATCCTAATATTCAAATTTGATCGACCCCAAACTATGTGGTTAAATAACCTCTTTTTCACGAGTTGATAAATCGAATATATGAGTACACGTTTATGCATATTATGTCATTGAGCGAAAAGTTTTATTCTCGAGAGTGAGTAGAGCAGTGGTTAGATAGTTAATGAATTTTCCTTTAGCTATTAAATCACCGATTCGGATTCTTTTCTACGTATTTGTCTTGGGGTACTCCAGTAGTAGCGTTAGCTCTCACAGGATGTGATTGTTTCGAAGTCGAGTACTTAAAGAAGTATTTTGTGAATTTTTTGTGTGTTTGTTTTGATAGTATCTAGTCGCTTAGAACGAAGTTATTAGAATGACAAACGGGCTGCTGGAAAATCGAAAGGTTGCATAGAAAAAACTGAAGGTATTAAGCAATGTGAGACTGTTGATATGAGAATACAATCAAGATTAATTCCATTTGATTAAATGATGAATCTTATTCTATTGAAGAGTAATATAATAAAAAATTATAGAACAATCACTCTTGGCCTTTGTTCTGAGCCATACTTGAGTTGCTCAATCTTCAGGACGGCAACTAAAAATTTATCATGAGCAAACAGATGCTAATCTAACAAAATTATTTTTCCCTCCTTGCTGCATTATCATAATGTAACCATTCTATTGGTATTTTACCTGATAATAGTGTTGTAAAGTAGTATGCTTTTCGGAAGCCGCTGTTTTCACATTTGTAAAAAAAACCCCGAATGCCCTGGTACGCCTAAGAGTGGGGAAAGTCAGTTCTCCCTCTCCAAATGCTTTCATATGGCCACATGTATACAACCACTACCAGTAAAGTTCTACTCACTGCCTTGTCATGACGGGTGGTGTTGTTTACGAAGTTGAGAGGATGAAAAGTGAACGCCTGTCACTCTAACCTGGTTGGTCGACACGAAGTGTTCACCTAGAAGAGATAGGAAACCCTGATTCCAATCCAATGGTATACAAAGGTTCCAGTATCCTGAATGAATAAATGGCGTATGAATCAATCTTTGGTCACCGTCCATCATTAAACTGCATTTCCTGACGTTGCTCCACTGTCTTGTGGATTAGACATCCGGGTCAAAGGCTTCGATTATGGCTCCCTAAGAAAAACCGCATGCTTCAGTTTTGGTCACCCGGGCAGTATCCCAGCCCTCACATAAATTGACTGATTTATGTTTGCACTTATCTGTTTGGTGCCTTATTGTACCAATAAATAAAAAAACAACAACAACGAATACTGCATTTTTATGTGATAGTACCAAGAGGATTATCGTCTCTCTTGTGTCCAAATTCAGTCTTCCATATCTCAGTATTATTTAGAAAGCTCTGCTACCGACTATACTGAATGGTTTGCGGGCATGAATGACCGAAGTAATATTTCTCTACAGTCAAAATTATTACTGAGAAACTGGGTTTTACTAGTGTAAAACACAACTGGTTTTAACGATTAACTATCCATACAGTCTTTTACACGGTTGCTAAAATCAACGATGAGTGAGCGTAGGTAAGGTCTACTAACTGCCTTGTAAAAGTTCAGAATAGCTGGTTAATTCGAAGTATATCTCCCGCTTATGGATACTGTTACGTAATTAAAAAATGTAATTTTTGAGGTATATATACCACTTCGTAGTTAAACAATCTAGGTCGCAAAGTTATTTCCGCAAATCACACATCTACATTAGCTCCATTAGAAACATTTTAATGAAACCATTCAAATTATACTTTTTGTTAACTACATCAGTCAGTCAGCTACAACGTAGGATCAGGCACATACATGCATCGGTTCAAAATGCCATACCTCATTAGCACAACAACATGAACATCGAATTCATAGAAGCAGTTAATTCAAAGGTGGTAATACATAAAGAAAGATTACATATAAGGATATAGTACAGGAAGAAGAGATTAGTTCGTATAAAAAAAGATATGGGGTGATTTTAATCTCCTGGTTTAAGGGAAGATCGAGAGGGTATACACCTATACCATTGTGATCGATTCTCAGCCATATCACCCACAGTCTTCAGCCATTGGTTACGATAGTCACGTGGACCCCAACCGAGTAGTCTGAATCAATCAACATGGCTAAGACTAGAAGTTATTGACTTCGAGGAGTGATACCACGTTTTGGTTTGGTAGCCTCTAAACTTCTTGCAACTATCCCCAACACTAGTCAGCGTTGAGCGTCGTAGTACTCGGTGTTTGGGCATACGCAACACGTGGACCAACCATCTCAGTCGACAAAGATTCACAACCTCATAACCTGATTTACCATCATTCCCTAATACCCTGTGTCTAACTCCACTATTACCTACCCGGTAATCCCAATAGATGTGAATTTAAAGTGTTTATCTTGTTCTCTCTCTCTCTGTATACCCTATATAATCAGTTATCTTCTAGTTCAATACTTTCTATTACTTTATCTTTATCAGTATATCATTCTTCTTTTCATCTAGAAAATTCTCCTTTTTTATCTTTATTGAGAATAGATCAATCAAATGATACAACTCAAAAGGATACAATATACAAGTATAATCCACAATCAGTACGATTATTAGTGTTTTCAACAAGATTATTTATTCGATTAACATTACATAATCTATCATTATTCAATTGTTGTCTACATACTAAATTATCATTATCTATTATGAATAATGTAAATGTTTCAATAAAATGTGAAAATCAATTATGGTCAAATTGTCTATCAATTATTATTGCTAATTATTTTAGTATATTTAAATCAGATATACATGGACCACATTCAATGGAGGATAAATATTTACAAGTAAGTACTGTTAGATCCATTAAGGTGCTTGGTACTTGTGTGATTTCGCCACAGGATTGAGCTGTATTATTCAGATCGTAGCGTTAAAGTCTACATAGTGTCTGGTTCTCTTGTGAAGCGAGATTGAGATGTACTGCTCGGGTTATAAAGTTTCAGTCTAGTTCTCTTGGAAACGGGATTGAACCGTACTATTTGGGCTATAAATTTTAAGCCTCGGCAGTGTCTGGCTCTCTTGTTATATGGGATTGAGATGTATTGTTTAGTTTGTTACGTGAAAGTTCGAGTGGTGTCTGGTTCTCCTGAAAACCGATGTAAAACTATAAGGGTATATTATATAACTGTGAACTATTAGATCCTGAATACACATATTTGTTTTTCTCATTGATCTCATAAACTCTAAGTGATGTCATCTTTTTTTCAGGATTTTTTTATGAGAATATAGAAAGTGTACTGCTGTTTCGAGTTGTATAATATTGTCTTCTACGTTAATAATGAACTGTGGAAATATGTTATAGATATCAAATTACACCGATAACACAGGAATCGACAAAAGGTATAATAATAGCTAACCTTAGTACATCATATTTAAATATGCCTCAAAAATATCGTAAGATGTCACCTAGCCTGTGAATGTAACACTTTAAATACATTTTTTTTGGTGGCCTAAAATTATGGTGAAATGTGGTTTATATGGTTTGTGCTGACTTACTCAACAATATAATGAATCAGTTCATTTTTGTATTGTTTGTTTGAATCTTCCTATTTGATGTTTAGGATTGCAATTGCACAGCCTCTTATTATCGCATATGCCCATCAGGTGCGAATTGTTCAGATATTGATTTAAGTCAAAAGGATTATAAGCAAAGATGGATAGTGGCTAGCAGTGGAATCTAGGACGCATGTTTCGTCCCATTCAAGACTCATTAGCTATATGTACCTGTAACCTAGATTTAATGTTTACTCTGGGCCTCGAACCCAGTATCGTTCACTTCAAACGCCATCGCGTTATCCACCTAGCTACTATGAATGAATTGTCTAATTGTACTGGCCGAAAACTTAGATACAGCGAACCAATTATTTATTATAGGTTAAAGCACGAAATGTTTTTGCAAAATATAAGAATACATCATTTACATACTCTCCTTGAGTTGTCCATCATTCTTCCAATTCTATTGTTATTCTGTTTTCCTTCCTCTTCTTTTTATTTGGATCTCTTGCCGATATTCATTTCATCTCCGATTCCTTCTATATACTAATTATATCGTTCCTCATAAGTCGCGCACATCACACAATAAGGTTATTTTGACTATATAGTAGCAGTATGATTTAAAATCTGTGGTGAGACTATAATTTATGGACAACCTTTGAGCGACGCTAGACTGACCTTGAGAGTATCCAATTAATAACTAGGACTAAATAAGGATTATGAACCTGTGTGAGGAATTATAATTATAATTTACAGTTGATGATTTTGCTTTGGAATTAGATTTCGGGTTTTCATCACGAACTGACAACCGCTGTAATGCCAAAACTCTGTTTACCCAAATGGATGAATGAATTTCGCTCCAAAATCCGAGACCTATTGTTCTATACGTGATTAGTTCGTTCATAAATTATAATCTCACCAAATCTGTAGTGAATACATTTCTATGAACGACATAAAATGTTGATTTCTACCTGAACTAATTTCTAGTTAGTTGGAGACTCTGGGTGACATACATCAGAATCGATCACAATGGTGTCGGTGTATACACTCTCTGTCTTCCCTTAAACTAAGAGATCAAAATCGCTTCATATCTTTCTTTCTACGAACTAATCCCTTCTTCCTGTACTATATCCTTATATGTAATCTTTCTTTTATATATTACCAACATTGAATTAAATACTTCTATGAATTCGTTGTTCGTCTTGTTGTGCTAATGAAGTATGGCATCTTGGACTGATGCATATATATGTCTGATCCTACGTTGTAGCTGACTGACTAATTGAAGTAATTTCTATCACTAATAAAATAGTTCGTTTGTTTTTATATCTTTTTAGATTAATATAAATCATTTAATTGAGGAGATTTTAAAATTAATGACTAATTTATCAAAGTGTTCAAGTAAGTTAACTTCTTATGTAACATTTACATTCAACTCAATTAAATGAAATTAGGTTTCTAATAAAAACGTTCATCTTTTATTGTAATTAGAAGTAACTATTTTTATAACTTGTGACCGCCGATTAGAGAGCAGTGACTTATCGATCGAAAAAATGACGCGTAAACTCGTATGAGTAGCTTAGAGTTCTGATTGGTCCTGCTTTCCGCCTAGCCCAGTCAGTTAAGTCCAGATCACAAGTTTCAGCCTCTGAAACATGTATCATGTATTTCAAACATACTCTGTTTATATATACCGATTAAGCAGGCCACATCGTACCACAAAATAGAAAAAGCATTTGGCCAACAGGAAAATGACACGCGAAATGAATATTGACCAGTAGGGAAACGATACGTGAAATAAAAATTGACCAATAGAAAAATGATACCATTTCAAGTCCAAGGATAGCATTATTCCGTGAACAAACTATGTATTTAATATTACTATGAGTTTGAGTGTACAGATATGCTTTTTTAAAAATATTTTTGAGCTTTGACTGGTTTACAATTTTATTAATATCACGAATCAAACTCTGTTAGATATCCATAGAAAATCAGGGAGCATTGAATTTCTGTTTTGTATTAGTGTGAGAATTCTTGGCAGCGCGCATCCATGCCACACTTCAGATCGAGGTGTTAACCTTCAGGTCTCTCAAAATGTGTTTAACCTATAGTATGTTGAGTCAGAGTTCAGTTATGTACATGTCTGGTTTCAACTAACTCGCAACATTGCCCAACCATCTTCCTTTTTTTGTACCGGTAACTATTTCATATCCAACATGATTTAGCTTCACCAATCACGTCTCATTAGAATCCTAGAATTTTCAGAAGGGGTTTTGTCGAGATTTTAAAAATTTCATTGATTGAAATCATGAGTCAATTGAAGCTGGACCATCATGGAAAACCTGGAAGCACTGGACGGCTGTTTCATCCTAGAATGGAACTCCCCAGCGGTGCGCATCCACGATCCCGCAGCCCGCGACGTTCAAACCCAGGACCTATCAGTTTCGTGGACTGGTTGAAGTTAGACATTAACACCGTTGGATGCCGGCTCAGTGGTCTAGTTGGTTAAGCGCCTGGCGCGAGAATGATAGGTCCTGGGTTCGTATCTCACGGGTTGCGGCATCGTGGATGCGCACTGCTAGGATGTAACGACCGTCCAGTGATTTCAGGTTTTCCATGGTGGTCTAGCTTCAATTGATTCATGATTTCAGTCAGTGAAAATTCTAGAGTTCTCTCGAAATTAGTTACCACTGAGCATGTGATGAAATTCAACAATCATTGCAAACCGTTATATTGGTATTTTACAATTGTTCGTGTTATAAGTTTCTTACTTATCTCTGTTGTGTACATTTTGTTCTGTGCGCAGTTTTAACCTCTTTTTTCTTCTCCGTTTTTTCTCTATATTCGATACTTCATCTCTATACACCTACGCACATATATATCTAGTTATTCGACTAAGCTGTTTAGATTTATTACGATGTTTCATGATACCACAATATATCCGACCAATTCAATTTTGTACAGACTATTCACAACCACTTGGTGTATTAAGTGTGAAATCTGTAAAACACTTTATGCAACTGATATTGAAAGATTTAAGACAAATACAAAGTATCGAAGGCAGTAACAGTCTTAACAAAGGTAATAACCATAAATACCAACGCACAAATACTCATCATGATGATGACCTTACAGAACAGGATACGAAGCTTTCTACCCTTCATGCAATCAATAGTATATATCCATACGTAAGTAGAGGGTTTTAATTAATTAATTGTTGTTGTTCAACTGTCATTTTTTATATTTTGATGTCAATTTATTACTTACGTATTGCGATGATTTTATTGCAGTAGGGATTGGATAATCATCGCGCTATATCACGAAATGATTGAAGTTGGATTTATAACATTGGGTCTAAACTAAGCTACTCTAATGGTTAAACATACGCTGCAAGATCTGGATATTCTGAATTCAACCGCTTATGCGTTCGTGGTTGTACATTATTGAGTATTAAGATGAAACGGCTGCCCAGTGCTACTTGGCTTTCAGGAACAACTCATCTGAGATCAACTTGTGATAAATACAAGCTTCATATTGTGATAATTTTTTATGAATCAACGATCATTGACGTGTTCAACGTTTTCCTAGAGAATTGATAAAATCTACAAAACAGATATTTACAATATGAATATCATTTTAAGTTATTTCATATCGGTAGATGTAACATTACAAATAAAGTTTATGTTTACTGATATGCGTTACTATGAAGAATCTGCAGCTTTACTTGTCAGTTTTATATTTTATCGAGAATTCGAATGTCAGATTCAAGGTTCGTAATATGTTGTCTAAGAGATATTTGTTCATGATGTGACTAACTTGCATATTTGTTGAGAATTCGTCGTATGAACAAACTGGTTGGTAGACAATACCATATCCACAGTGTAAGTGTACACTTATCCTAATGGATTGTCGTATGCTGATGCTGTTTCGTCGTAGTATGAGTAACCTTCATTACGAATTGTCTAAATAGGATCAGTTTGTAAAATAAACTATAGACTGTAACAATCTACACAAACCAACTAGACATTTAATTATTTACCCAAGTGATTCTTTAGAAAAGTCCTTCTCTAGAAGATTGGGTCGCTAACCTCCTGCCGAACTTCTCCACCTTTATCCAGGCTTGTGATCAGCAGTTATTCCATAAGGGATTCAGGTGGAGCTAAAACTTACAGAGCTACTACAACTATCATCGAAAAGGTACAAGTATTTATAAAAGGTTGTCTACGCAAGATACTCCATTTTCTTTTCTCGGATATCAGCAACAATCTAGTGTATCAGAAAACCAACCAACTTCCAGGTGAAGAGGAAAATATGGAAAGAAGATGGAGGTGAATTGTACACATTGTGGAAATCACTGAAGTGCATCACAAAGCAGGTCAATAACATGAAATCCTGAAAAGAAGAAGAAAAGCGAAAGACCAAATAACACGTCCTGGCATGTTTTATAAAGTTCTGTAGTTACGTCATTATTATTGTTATTTTAACACATAGATATTGGTACAAGGAGGCACCAAATACATATGCGCCACACAAATCTCATTCGATATGTGTGAGGGCTGTGATACTACCCGGGTGCTCGAACCGAAGCAGGTGATTTTCTTAGGGGGCCACATCCGGAGCCTTCGACCTAAAGGTCTGATCGACAAGGCAGTGGAGCATCGTGAGGAGATGCAGTCCCATGGTAGCCGGTGACCAACGATTGGTTCATACGCCACTTCTCCCCTCAGGATACTAAAGCCCATGTGCACCTTTGGTTTGGAATCCTGTTAAAGCGCCGGACATTCTCTATTCGTCCTCTCATTTTCGTAAACAACACTCCCGCCACGAGAAGGCAGTCGGTAAGACTTCCCTGGCAGAGGCTATATACGCGTGGCCATGTGAGAGCATTTTGAGAGGGAGAGCGGACTCTCCTCACTCTCGGCCGTACCAGGGCATTTAGGGGCAGTTTTATTTTCTTTTTCATTTTCTCCCTATTTTTAAGGTTACATGTCAAATGTTCAATTTACTGATTGACTGGATTCAAGCAAATAATGTTCTAATGCCAACTATATATACCATTTGGCCAAAATTATTAAACACTCATCTATTATATTGTCAATATGGACAGCTACATTATCCTATTCTACAATGTACTAATATATGCTCTCATCATTATTCTTATGCATTAGCATTTGAAGATAATCAATATGAAATTGATAAACACCAAGTTTTATATCAAAAATTATTAAATTATATTTGTCCATTATCAACCATTATTAATCACCGGAGTAATCAATCATTTTTGTCTACTTCGTTTAATTATACTACTGATAATCATAGTTTAGGATTGTCGACCTGGTTTTGTTTACATGGAAAACAGTTAAATTATATGGTGAGCCCTTTGTATTTCCCCAGTTAAATCGTTTTATTCTCTCTTTTCTTTTATAAATATGAACGATAATTGGTTCATTGTTGTATAGAGGAGATTCTAAACTACCAATTTATCTATATGAATAAATGTTATTTAAAATTTAAACGAAGACTTATGATTTCAGCTGTTGAAATCTCTATAATATCCACAAGAAAAAACCCATTCGGATACTAATCAGCATATGCTCAGTAGTGACTGGTTTCAAGAGGTATTTCCTGGAGTTCTACTGAGAAGCAGTGATCAGTGGTGTTCAACAGGGTCTGTTGTGAGATAGTAACTCACTGAAGGCAATGATGGACATGCAGTTCAATTTCGTGTATGTGCACTGCTGAGGAGTCCCATACTAGGACGAAACGACCGTCCACAGTGGTATATGGTGGCGTAACTTCGTGAATTGGTTGGAGTTAGACATTAACGCCGTCGGATGCCGGATCAGTGGTCTAATGGTTAAATGCTCACGCGCGAGACCAATATATATATATATATATATATATATATATATATATATATATATATATATATATATATATATATATATATTGGCGCATATATATTGGCGCTCTCTTGTACCAATATTTATGTGTTAAAATAAATAAATAAAAATAAATAAATAAATATATATATATATATATATATATATATATATATATATATATAATTAGGGCCCGTAAGAGCAGAGGATATTCGTAGGTTACTAGTATTTGATCATAGGTTTCTTCGAAGCATTGCTCGTATATCTTGGAACCATCGAGTAAGTAACGCAGTTTTTAAGAAACGGGTAATAGCTAAGGATTTCAAATCAATTGATAAAGTAATGAAACCTGAGACATGTGTTACGTATACCCGACCACCGACTGCCGCGACGTGCACTGTTTTATGGTGTAGGAGTAAGTTGTAAGAAAGCTTGGGGCTGCCAGACCAAAACATAGTTTAAATCCATGAAGTCACTGGTAAGTGGATTGAGCCATGTTGATAGGTGTAGACTACCTGGTTGGGATCCACGAGATGATAGCAACTGATGGTTAGAGACCCTGAATGACATGGCTCAAAATCGTTCGCAGTGGCGCAGGTGCATACACTCTTTTTGTTCTCCCAATTTTCAATCTGATTCCTCCTTGTCTCTTTTTTCTCTTCCCAAATTTATTTGACTGGATCATACTCTTTAAATAATATCTTCGAACCCTAATCTTTCCGACTATTACTTATACTTTTACTACCTCTACCACTATGGGAGTTGAATGGACAATTGTATGTGTGTGCTAATGTGATATGGCAACTTGAACTGATGTACGTACGTACGAAGTTCTATATTGTTACTGACTGACTGACTGATTATTATTATTATTATTATTATTATTATTATTATTATTATTAAAGTGTTTATTTAACGTAGTTATAATAATAATAATAATCATATTTATTATTATGATTATTTGTTAGAAAGTTAAACCTAAGTTCAATCAATTATCTGAAGTGGATCTATTTCAATTTGTACAATTAAATCAGTTACAACATTTCATCAGTTTGGATTTACTATCTTCATCCTTATGTCACAATAATCAATCTGGATATCAATCATTGATAAATACAACAAACACATTACCATCATGTTCAACTAATCATAGTCACCTCTCACTTCAAGTATGAGTATACAGTTTCCGTGTTAATAATTTCACTTTATTGATTTTTTTTTGATAAAAAATATTGTACTAGAATCTGTAAGAACGGACTTGCTATAGCTGTTAACGAAATTGTACAATACGGTCACTGACGTTTTAAATGGGAATTTACTTTTTTTGCAGAGTCTTTTGATGGCACTGAGCAACAATGTCAGGATGTTTGGGATGCGTTCCTTCTCTTTTAAATGCAAATTGTTGCTTCAGGACTGGCCTGTTTCAACACTTAAGCTAAGGATAGGGAGTAAAGTAGTCGAACGCGTCGACAACTTCACTTATCTTAGAAGTCTGATAAGACCTAGCCGTAGAACAAGAAGTCAAATCTTGTCCAATTGCGTCAGTTTAACATTCGGTCAATATCTGATTAACTGATTGTATCACGACTCCCTCCTGAAGGAAAATAGGTCTGGTCTCTTGAGTTCAGCTGTAAGGATTTAGATGGGAGCATATTATTTCTTTAATCAATATTGATTACTTAATTAATTATTCAAGGAAAGCATACTCTTAAATTTGTATCAAAATATAATTAGTGAGCTGAGAAGCTATCTACAAGCATTTCTTTGAGTCACGTTATTCTGGTTCAACGTTATATTTATTGGTCCTTATTCATTGATTGATACAATTGTTGTTCTTAAATACAGTTCTATTACTGAACGATAAATACTTACAACAAGTATTGCTTCGATAAGCTTTGTGTACAATGGGTTTGATGTATTAATACCTCAGGAAGAACAAGAGTTTCAAAGAAAGTTGATGCTTCTTACTGATCCTTTGCTAATGCGTGGAATATTTTCATGTGACACAGACTTTTTTCTTGTTACTGTAGTTGGTTAATTGAATTGATTGTATTTCTCCATTTCCATCACGGACTAACGTTAATTAGAAAACTGATCAAAACCGGTAAACAGTGGCTAGCGACTTCATCTTACTATAACACTCTTCTTCAACAATACACATTCACAATCCTATGGGAAATCGAACTTAGGACTGTCTGATCTCACTATGAATTTTGGATCTTTAAACTACTGAACCGTCATTTAATTTCTTGCATGCAATATCACCCAGAAATTATCCATTGCTACTTTTAACTAACTACTTCACACACACACACACCATAATTGAATTGTTGTTGTTTAGTCAAGCTGTATAGTATTTCGTACAAAAGTGTTTTGTATTTCGATTGCTTTGATACTTAAATAGTAACCTGATATACACAGGTTTTTATGTGTTTCTATTTAAATAGAAAACACATGGTTAATATTTCAGAATTATTTCAACTTGTTTTGATTGTAATTAGGTATATTGATTTTTTTTATTTCTAGCTGTGATATAACTTACATTACGTAACATAGGGGTAAATTTTACTGAATGAAATCTGTTGATCAGATTGTATAGATGAGGGTTTCAATTCGCACGGTTATAAGAAGTCTACACATTGTGATATGATGTGGGCTCCAGTATGCTGAAGGAACAAATGGCGTACGAACAAATCGTTGGTCACCGTCTATCATGGGACTGCATCTCCTAACGTTGCTCCACTGCCTCGTGGATTAAACCTTTAGGTCAACGATTTATGTGGTGCATGTCTGTTTGGTGCCTTCTTGTACCAATGTATGTGTTTAAATAAACAAATAAATAAATAAAGCAATAATGTTTGGACATCTGCTACTGCATCATTGTAATATGAAAATTTTGATCTGATCTGAGACTAGAACATTGTTGTGAATATAAAAGTAAAGAGATTGGGAGAAAGTATGTTATAAGGATGTTAGTATCATGACAAGAAGCAGTTGAAATAAAAATAGTAGTACCGTCAAAATGGATAGTTCCGATTACTGACTCAATGTGTTCTTTGGTCCGTTGACAAATGTTTATAAATACTTGTACTTTTACGGTGATGGTTGTGGTAGTTCTTGAAGTTTTTGATGTGTACAACAGAACTGTCTTAACCTTCGAATTGAAGATTCTGACTTTGATGTTGGCATGCAGACAATTGTATTGAGTTCTATGTGTTCTTCAACTGTAAGAATGCTGTCCTTACTCGGAGAGAATATTCGTGGGTTACTAGTATTCGATCATAGGTGTCTTCGATTCATTGATCCTGTGTTTTGGGACTATCGGGTAAGTAATGCCTGATTTAGGAGTGGGTTACTAGATAAGATCGGTAAATCTTTCAAATATGTAGTAAATCTTCACCAACTGAGGTGGTTAGGATACCTGTTACGTATTCTTAACCACCGCCTACCTCAACGGTTGATGTCTGGTGTAGGAGAAGTCTGGAAGAATGCTAAGATCGTCTATATCAAAACATAGTATGAGTTCATGAAGTCATTAACATTTGAACGAGTCATGTTAATAGATGTAGACTATCTGGTTGGGCTTCGCGTGATCATCGTAACTAGGAGTTAGAGAATTTGAATTACGTGGCTGGGAATCGTTTGCAGTGGCACAGGGGTATTCGTTGTTTATCTTTCTTCTAATTCTGAGCTTTTAAATTCTTTATGAATTATTCTTGTTTTTATTTCGCCAAACTATGTTTTCTTCCCGAATCGTATCTTCAAAATTCCATCTTTTCAGTCACTACTGATTCTCTTACTACTTTTACTATTCATGGAATTGGCTTGACAATCTCATCTCACTTAGAACAACGTGCTTACTTGTCAGGCTCTTTCTTACGACTGACACACTGACTTGTATTCCTTCGTTTTACTTCGTTATTCAATATTACTTTTATTTGTGTTTGTTCTGGGGTATCGAATTTTCTTTCAGACAATTATTTATTACAGTTTTCATCGAACTTTACCGGTAAACACAACTGTCTGGTTCTCTGATAGAACGTTAGTCATGCCTGCACAAAACTAAAATTCCTGGTTTCGATTCCTGTGTGTGAATTCTTGGTTACACATTAGTTTGGTCCCATTCTAGGACGAAACTGCTGTTCAGTACTTCTAGGTCGTTAATGGTGGTCTAACTTAGATCTCTTCATGATTTCAATGGAATTTAACGGTCTCTACAACTCCTTACTGACAGCAGTGCAAACTTTGTGGAAGTTCAGGCTGTTTTTTTGATGTACATATTCCTCACAGTTTCCAACAATAACAACTGCAGACTCCTTCAAACGCTCAAAAACTGTCATTTTAGGCTGAATATTTTTACTATTTACGTTGTTTTGCCTAATTTCTTGTTGATGGCTAATTCTCTTTGTTGTTGTGTCGAATCATTGTGTTGCTATGTTAGACAAATGTTTGTGTTCGTCTATTTGGGTTTATGATGATTTATGTTCCAAGGTTTCTGACATCTCTTACGGCTAATATCCATCGTTGGGGTAAAACATGTCTGGAAAAAGTCATACATACTATTAAAATAAATACTAATCTTGTTTTTTACTAGTGGCTGGATTCAAAATAAATTTCTTAAATTTGGAAATGTAAGCCATTGAAATTCCACCTACTAACTGGTCTAATTTTATCATTCTTACTCTACAATATCTGAAGCTTATTGACTCACTGTGATTTTAAGTTTTAAGGTGTACACTAGTGTATGATTTTAAACTTAGACAGATATTTTGATTGACATAATGAATTAATCAATGTTAGATGACCATTTAAAACCTGGAAGTGCTGGGCAGCCATTTAGTCCTTGTACGGGAATCTCCATCAATTCACATCCACGATCCTGCACGAGGGATTCCAACACTGAACCTTCAGTTTCACGCACGAATGCTTAACCTCTAGACCACTGAACCGTCATTCCTCGGTGTTAACGTCCAACTTCAAACAACCCATGATATTGTGCGACTATTCTCGATTGTCTTCGATGGGTAACTGCCTCACATTTGAAACATATTAGCTCCACTAGTTGCGTCTTCTCACTCAAACTCTGAGAATTACCTCTCGAAGTTGGTCATTAGTCTTCTAAGTTTTTAATAGTAGCCTAGCGTTGACCAATTCATGATCTCAATTCAATATTTGTCATCGGCCCTTCTAGTTTCAGCAGAGCTTTCGATTGCCTACTTACTTATGCCTGTTACCCCTAGTAAAGCATAGGCCAGCAACCAGCATTTTCCAACCCACTCTGTCCTGAGCCTTCCTTTCCAGTTCTATCCAATTCTTGTTCATTCTTCTCATGTCTGTCTCCATCTTTCGGTGTATTGTGTTCTTTGGTCTTCCTCTTTTCCTTTGGCCTTGATGATTCCATGTGAGGGTTTGTTTTGTGATGCAGTTCGGTGCTTTCCTCAATGTGTTTCCTATCGACTTCCAACACTTCTTCCTGATTTCTTTCTCCACTGGGACCTGGCTTGTTCTCTCCCACAATAGGTTTTTGCTGATAGTTCCTGGCTGACGGGTCCGACGTCTTTTGCATAGACAACTATTAATAAACACTTGTATTATCTGGATGATGGCTTTCGTAGTTCTTCTGGTTTCCGCCCCATATAGTAGAACTGGGTTGACATTTGTATTGAAAATTCTGACTTTGGTGTTGGTTGACAGATAGTTGTTTTGAGTTCCAGATGTTTTTCAGTTGTAAATATGCTGCTCTTGTTTTGTCTTCACATCTGTATCAGATCCACCGTGTTCATCAGTTACGCTTACCAGTAAGCGCTTTGAATAGCAGTAGGAAATTAGATTCAAATCTAATCGATTTGTTTTTGTTTGTTGCTTTTTTGTTGTTGTTATATCTGTTCTTATTGACTATGTTTATTTATTGGTTATTTGATTGAGTAATCAGGTTAAATAGTTTACATGATACAAATTTGTAACTTGTAAATGTCATTGTTATAACTTGTAGCTTATATGCCCTGTTAATGTATAACGTAATGATACCGCCAATTAGATAGCAGTGAATTATCGATCATACCAATGACGCATAAAAACCCGTACGTGCAGTCTAGAATCCTTACTGATCCTGCTCCCAACCTAGCCCAGCCTGTTAAGTATAGAACACCAACATCAGCCTCTGCGATATGAATCATGTATTGGGTTTATATACCAACCAGACAGACTACATCGTACCATAAAATAGGAAACAACACCTGTACAAGATTTAGCCAAATGTGGCTCTGAATATGAGAGGTAGTAATTGATAGACTTGGGTATAACTGAAGAATGGTAAATCGTATAATAATAGTTCATAAGTCAAAATAAAGCTTATGATAAGAGGGACATGAATATGTATAGTTTATTTTTATTTAACAATTATACGATAAAAATATACGTTTAACTAGTGGTCTATAAATGGATCCTCATAGTTGCCATTCATTATTCTCATAGGGATATAACAATTATTAATGTTCTTTCATTTCATTTACATTAACAGATATGGATATCGTCTATTTATTCATGTATATATATTCGTATTGTTGAAATGTCAATCAATAAAGAGAATACAACATTAAACTATAATGAAACATCTATATCATTAGAGGGGAATACAAATGAAATTATATTGCTTAGTGATTTATGCTTAGATTTTCCTAAAGAATGTAATATTTATGATGAATGGAATCATTTATTTTTATATATTGAATGGATAAACTATTTCAATGCAAAAGTATGTGAAATTAGTTTTTGTTGTTGTTTCTTTCCTTTCTAAATATCGAATGTTTGTCATTTAAACATGTAAAAGAAGTCACATTGTACGCGTATTCCATGTATCTAAATTAATGGTTGCTCTGTTTGCCAGAAGGGGAATCAATCTTGTGACTTCCAAAGGAAATCGATTCTCACCATAAGGCGTTATAACTCTTCTAAATGAAAACCTTCTAACTCTTAGGGTAGAGTTTAAGATGTTTGAATTATTTTTACTTTTTAGCGCTGTTTAGCGAGTTAGTTTTCTACGGGATGGGGTCGCTAACCCCATGTCCAATCCTCCCTCCTTTATCTGGGCTTAGGACCGGCAGTAAACCAATAGGGGCTCATCAATAATTGAGTTGTAAAGTATAATTTACGGAGAATAGATATTGCTATAATTGAAGTGGGTGATTTTAGTTATTGATTGTCAGTGACACTTGGGTAGAAATTCCCATATGTTTAAGATAAGTGGGGATAATCTGTACAAAATCCTAGCTCTAAGTTTCGTGTTAGTCACCATTGATGAGCAAAATGTACGTAGATCCTTGATTGAACTTACGCTCATTTTGGAGTTTAGAATTTTGTCATACAGTTCACAGACCGAATATCGGTGATCCATATTCAAGCTCCACAATATGATCTATCATTCCTTAAATAGTCACAGTGATAATGCCCTTTAGATTTAGCGATAATCATTTTCATAAACATTTTATAAAGATTCTTGAGTAAATCAGGTGATTTATGTGACCCATTATTTAACGAATCAAAAGTACGAGGATTTCTTTTATTAGTTGTAAGTTCTGAAAAGTAGTCATCGCAAAAATGTTGACGGTCTCCTTCGATTTAACTGAGGTTTTGTTATATCTAGATCTTAGATTCTTAATATACCACGTACAACCTGAGCATTCAAACGCTAGAACCATCCAAGTCGTAAATGAGAAGACAGAAGACAAGTGAAAGGGATACTATTTTAAATAATGTCAATCGTGGTGCAAAACTGTTAGGTATTTATAGTTTTTAGTAATAAACGAAATCACCACTACAGTCCTCCAATCCGCATACAGAGGGTGATAAGCAATTTGTCCAATAGGGAAGCTACACATAGGGATTCTGAAATATTCTTCCAAAAGATGATTGGATGGAATATCTTCGGCTCTTTCTGAGCTTCTTACGGCTACTTCAAGTTTACCCGTGAACTGTCTTCACAGATTTATTCTTAAGTTTTTATATTTATAATAATTTGTGGATTAATTCTTTTCATTTATCTACTATTAATTAAGGTGTCACTTGTAATCAATGGTTGGTTTGAATCTATTGGTGATTTAATATTGATTAACAAAGAGTTTGCCGATTCACATATAAACTGTCGACATCAGTTTATACCTCCTGTGTTGCGTTTTGGTCATGCAATTGATGTATACTCTTCTTTTGAATGTAGAAGAAATACTTTTGATTTAGGGAATTTACTTTTGTTTACTGGTAAGCTTATTTTTAAAGTCAATCTATTGTTTCCTAAATAGAAAAAAATTAGTTATATTAATATATTTACAAATGTTTATCTGTTGCTTTTGTATTGCAATTGTCTAGAATTTTCGAGATTTTCTCTTAAAGTCTTCTGGACCTGAGAAAATATTTTATCTAATCAGTGTTCAGTAGTAACCTTTCAGAGAATTAAAAAAACGATGGATTAATGATCATATTACTTACGTACACCTGTTACTCCTCGTGGAGGAGCATAGGCCACACATCAGCACCCTCCATCCAAACCTGTCCTGGGCAGTCCTTTCCAGCTCTTTCCAGTTGTTATTCATCTTTTTCATATCTGATTCTATTTCCAGACGTAATGCTTTTTCTGGCCCTCCACTATTCCGATTCCTTTCAGGATTCCATGTTATGGGTTGTCTCATGATGCAGTTTGGTGATTTACGTAATGTATTTCCTATTCATTTTCATCATCTTTTCTTAATTTCCTCTTCAACTGGGAGGTGGTTTATTCTCTCCCACAATAGACTGTTGCTGATGGTATCCGGCCAATGGATGTTTAGTATTTTGCGTAGACAACTATATACAAATACTTGTACGATCTTGCTGATGGTTGTAGTAGTTCTTGAATTTTCAGCTCCGTACAATAGTACTGACTGAATTGATGTTCGTATTGAAGATCGTGACTTTGATATTGGTTGACAGACAGTCGTTTTGAGTTTCACATGTTCTTCAATTGTAGGAATGCGGCCCCTGTTTTGCTAGTCCTCGCCTTTACGTTCGCATCCGATCCTCCTTCTTCATCGATGGTGCTACCACACAGGTACGTGAAGGATTCTACATCTTCCAGAGTTTCGCCATAAAGTGTGATTGTGTTGGTGTTCTCCGTGTTCTATTTGAGGATTTTGCTTTTTCCTATGTGTATACTGAGGCCTACTGATGCAGAGGCCGCTGCTACACTAGTTGTCTTCCTCTGCATTTGTTTGTGTGTAAGGGATAGGACGGCCAGGTCATCTGCCGTGTCCGAACTTTCTAATTGGTTCCCCTCAGATGTCAGGGTCTTCATAATCCAGTCAACCACCAGAAGAAAGAGGAAGGGGGAGAGTAAACAGCCTATTTAAGCTCCGATCCTAACTTGGAATGCATCTGCCAGCTGTCCTCCATGCACCATTGCTTCAGTGGTAATTATCATATCCTGATTGAGTAATTACCGATTTAGTCTACAATGTTAACATATTTTCAAAAACGTCTAGAATATCATGGTCACCAACGAACCTGCAATTATCTTTATTCAAACTATCGTCGATTGCAAATCTTCTCATACTTACGTTCTTCTTTAATTTTTCCCCTGGATCTTGCACAGTAGATTTCAATGTGCTAAGGGTTGGTTAGAAATTCAGCCCCAAGTGTTCGAGTAACAGACATTATTGATCACTATACTAAATTATATCGACACTGTGTCCAGTGTTTTAAAAAATCATTGAAATTTGTTTAGATCATTTGGTTTTGGGAATTCTTACTATCCAGCTTTATGCTCTCTAGATTACTATAAAATAAAATCACCGAAAGGTGTTTCCTTTAACACTACAGTTGAGTTGTTCAATTAAAAGGGGAATGTCTATGAGATTGAATCAAATAATCTAATTAGTAATGCTGTTTGGATACTACTGTGTTAAATCTTGTTTTACATTTGACTTTTCCTGCTCGGAGAATGGTTTCTTATCGGAAAAAAATTTGTAGTACACAATATCTTGGTCAAAGACATTTATACTGGCTATCGTAAGCCAACCAAATCACAAAACATCGTGCATCATTTATTTTAAAGGTTAAACTTTCTGAATCAGTAGTGTTTGTTTACTTAACAGTAAACAAGCTTATCGAATAATTATTTGTTTCTCATTGAAAATATGAAGGCATTGGAAGACTATTTTTTAACCCAATGTGGGACTCCTGAAGAATGCGCAAACATGACATCACACCGAGGAATTGAACCCAGTATTTATGGTCTCGGCAAGCAACAAAGTTAGTATCTAAGTTCAATCAATCCACAATATTGTGCGACCATTTTCCATTGTCTTCGACGGGTAACTGACTCACATGCGATCCAGTATAACTCCACTGGTCACGGATTCTGCTAAAGCGTTTTATACTATGGCAAAACGGCCGTATTGTGCTTCCACTTATTAAGCGGTAGTTGAACTTGGACCAGTTCATGGCTTCTATGAAATCCAACCTTCTCCACAATTCCATACTGATAAATATTTGTTTGTTCCTTTTTGTTTGAATCGTCATTCTCTCCAGAATTTTTGTATGTCATCAATACTGAAAATCACTAATTCTGTTCTACATAATTTGGATTCTGTTTCTGGTTTTTCTTTTCCTCCTAGGTTTACCTTCTAGTGTGCAAAAACTTTCTTCATCATCTTCTGATTCTGTCTTCAAATGCAAAAAGAAATCTTCAAAACATCATCATGAACAAATGTCACAAAAGTCAGACCATCAAAATGAAAATTATTTTAACGATTCAATTAAAGCAATCGCTTTATCACTTAGCCTTTTAGGTCCATTATTCAATGGTTATTTTGATTCAATTGAATCAAGTGCATACTATCGAAATTCAGCTGATTGTATACTTTATGCATTTATACGTAGATATGCATTAAAGGATTCAACATTGAAAAGTAATCATTATCATCATCATCATGACTATGATTATATCAGTCAATTATTAATGAGAGCTCATTCTTTAATCCATTCAGAATTATGGTTAAGATTCTTAAAAACATACTGTTCAGTAAGTTATTTCTTCAAATTTTCTAAACTGTTTTCAGATTTTGACTAAACCATTCAGAATATCCATTTGATCCTATTTCAAACTCATGCTTATTATTCTTTACTGTTCCTCATCATTTTTGTTTCCAGACTTTTTGAGAAGACATTTTTACGAGTTGTCAAGAGTGTTAAAGTCAGTTAGCAGAATGTGTAATGAATCTTTTAAAGTCATTATGAATGTTATTATTATTATTATTATTATTATTATTTGAACACATAAATATTGGTACAAGACAGCGCCAATATATATGCGCCACACAAAACAATGAGAATTTAAAGAGAAGGAAAAAGAAAAAAGGTAAGGAACGCTAAAAAAGAACAATAACAAAGACATTGATGTAAGGTAGTGTAATAATAATAGCAATAATAGGGGAACAGAAAGGTACAACCACAAGATATCTTTCAGTTAAGAAAGATACAACCACTTTCTTATGAAGAAAGTAAAATAAGGTTACAGCAGGATCGCCACTGGTTTCTATTCTGAGCCATATCTGATAACGTCTCTAGCCACTGTGTAGCACCATCTCTCGGGCCCCAGCCAAGGAGTCGTGAAGGACCAACATAAGCCAGTCTTTTGCAGCTTTCTTTCATACCACGACATCATGTCATATACTAACCACCTCTCCGTATTTTAGTTTTAATTGTTTCATGTTCTCAACTATTAGTGTTTTATTCCTTATTCTTTTTATTCATTTCCTTTTGCCTTCTTTTTGTTTTTTATTTAAAGGAACATTTATTCATCATTTTGTTGAGTCATAATCTAACTTGTGTACAATTCATTTTACCAAAATCGCTAATATCATTCCATAAAGCTGAATATAATAAATCGTTAACAACGGTAATGAACAACGATAACGTGCATGACATATACTTGTTAAATTCCAATGTTAGCCAACATTACAAATCATTTGATGAAAATACAATACAAATTGAGTAAGTTATAATTTGTTGGATACTATTATTGTTTTTATTTGAGTAGAGGTCATCTTTTTGTCGTCAAGTAGATCAGACGATATTGTCGACGGCCTCACCATTTTAGTGGCCCGGGAACTGACTCCAATTAAATCGTATTATTGATTGTTGTCATAATATACATCCTGGCTATCCTCGTATATAACTATCGGCTTAATTTATCGAGTTATTGAATAACAGAATTAAAATAAGTCAAATACGAGAATGGATTTTCGAATACATATACCTTGTACACTCATTGTTCTGGGCAGGCAATTAGTGGGACGAAGCGAATTGAATAGAGACGCGTAGTGGAGAAGGCATGTAAGCCAACTCCGTTTAATCAAACGATTATCAATATTTATAGTCAGATAAAAATAGGTTACAAACATGTGATGAACAGGATAAGAAGTGTACAAAAACATACGCCCATATAAAAACAGTCAAGGTTCATAAGTAAATCATTAACAAGGTCAAAACGTGACTCCGAAAGCTAGAATAAGCTGTGTGGGCTGAACATAGTAACTGATACTACACTATTATCATAAGTATTATTATTATTATTATTATTATTATTGATAACAGTAATTGCGTAACTTTTAAAACATTGTACCCATCAAATTATCTTTAAAACCGGTTATCAAGTTATACCAGTGTAGGTATTACTTGACACTTTTGTACTGATCAATTTCCACTTTTTTAAAAATAATATTTTGTAAGCGAATCGATGAGGTACTTCCGGGCATTATTCGATTCCAAAGAAACATCCCTCTCTATTGGACTTTCCAAATATAAAGAGAGAATATGTTTCCTGTATAATACTTCTATACTTTGTTAATATACCTAAATAAGTAGTTGCTCAGAAGAGGCACCAGCCTCGTGGCTTCCGAAGGAACTCGGCTTTCAACATGATTTGTCATAACTATTCTAAATGAAGATATTCTGACTCCTATGGCAGAGTTTAAATGGTCTGAGTAATTTTTTCTGGTAAGCGTTTTTTTAATGAGTTAGTTTTTTACAGGATGTGGTCGCTAACCCCATGTCCAACCCTCCCCCTTTATCCGGGCATAGGACCGGTAGTAGCCTCAGAGGAGCTACAGGCGGGGATTTAATGAATGTTAGTGATTACAAGATTTAGTTCAACCAGTATATATCACTGAATGATTATAACTATTTTAAGGACTCTACACCTGGAGTCATGTTTAGTCGAAAATTGGTAAAATGTTGGTAGTATATGGAAATTTTCTCATTTTTAAGCACTCTTTTAATGTATCCAAACTGTTTATTTCTTAAATATCGGTATAGTAATAAAGAGGATTCAAACCAGTCTGTAGACTTTCAAAAATGATAACTTTGTTGGAATTCATCTGCTATTGGACATCATAAACTGTTCAATGTTAGACAGCGATTGAAGACCTATAAATTTTAGGCTACCGTTTCGTCGTAGTATGGGACTCCTCAGCAGTGCGCATCCACGATCCTGAACGAGGAATTCGAACACTGGATCTTCAGTTTCACGCACGAATGCTTAACCTCTAGACCACTGAACCGTCATCCCCCGGTGTTAATGTCTAATTGCAACCAATCCATGATATTGTGTGACCATTTTTGATTGTCTTCGATGGGTAACTTCCTCACACCTAACACATATTTAGCTCCACTAGTTGCGTCTTCTCACTCTAACTCCGAGAACTACCTCTCGAAGCTAGTCACCAGTGAGCACATGAATATATTCATTAAATTATCGTTAATCTTTCTGTATTTTTGTTTGTTGTTCAGTTTTTTTTAAAATTACTTCTGTGTGTACACTTGATTTATGGAGAAGTTTAAAATTAACTCAATACATCCATTAAGTATTTCACTATTTTTTGATGGTTCTTAAACTAATATCTATGATAAGAACACTTACTCACTTAAAATTTGTTACCATGGATGTACAGAGAAAGATCCATTTAAATACGTCGAAGAAAATCTGATTGAATTGATTAGAAGCCAAAACATCCACATGTTTTGGAGTATATTTCATCTTGTGAGAATAATAATATGTGAATATAGTTTGTTAAAAGGAATTAAATACTCTTCTTACTATATACTTAACAAATGGGAATATATTTTTAACAAATTTTATTGCAAAAGCTTAAATGATCAAAATATAAACGAAAATGATAAGAATAATAGTATACTAAGCGAATATGATTAGAACGCAGAACGATTGTTATTGTAACTGAGTGATAAGTCATGGTCCTAGGAGAAAGTAAATAGGATCGAACACAAGAAATTTTCAATATAGGGATTGTGGAGATTTCGATAGAACAATGAGAAGACGGAGTTTATCTGTGGAGATTATTAAGATTTTGATTGAGATCATGAACCGATTGAAGTTAGACAACCATTGAAAAAACTTGGAAGCACTGGCCGGCCGTTTCGTCCTAATTTGGGACTCCTTAACAGTGCGCATCCACGACTTCGTTCGCGGGATTCGAACCCAGGGTCTTCAGTCTCGCACACGAACGCTTAATCTACTAGACCACTGAGGACAGCCGTACAGTGCTTCCAGGTTTCTACCGGTAGTCTAACATAAATCGGTTCATGATCTCAATCAAAAAAAGAAATCTTCTGTAGGTATTTTCTTATGGTTAAGTGTAGTCGTAAAAAATTGATCTACAATGCTAAGTAGTGGTCTGAAAAAAGTCTCCGGCATTCGATTTAATGGTAAGCTTTTGTAATATCCACTTAAATGATTGATCTCAGTTGAGATATCACTGAAAATTAGAAAGCACTGAACAAATTGTTCAACCTAGTGCTCATCTATGACTTCACTGGAGGTTGAACTCTTGACATTTCAGTGTCACAGTGAGCACTCATTCATTAAACAACTGGACTCGTATCCAACAGTTCTTCTTTTCAACCTTAATCAACCTATAATAAAACATGAGGATCTTATACTTTCATCACTGAGTACTACTTCACTCTCTATATTTTCAGAACTTCACCGTGCACTTTTTTATTCAAACTTCAGGAATTCATTCAACTCCAAAACAATTGTGAACTACTTCAAGATGGATTCCTGAAGTTATTTTGTTAACTAATCTCCACGAAATTCACTTTTAATAATATTAGAACAACACATATAAGCGAACAATATTGTTTTCAATTAGATCGTCATCAGGCTTTACTCTAATATACATGAATATTTATACGAAAATTTTAAACCAATCAAGGCAATATGAGTCAATAATCGCAATGAAATAGAATAAGTCACCACACATAGTAAGTAAAAATACAAGTTGATAGTAGGAAGACAGGTGAACTGATAATAGTGAGAATAATAAAATACAATAACAAAACTCTTATCAATAGTTAATCGTTGGGAATAGAAGGTCAAATAAACATGGGTAAATAGAGTAGGAATAGTAATCACAAAACATTAAAATCATTACGTAATAAGATGTGTGTAAATAATTAGATAGTGAAGAATACAAAGAGGCGGAAAATTACAAACAAATAATGGATGTGGAAATAAGGTTAACGATAACAAATAGAATAAAGTAAATAATGATAATAAAAGCAATTTCAAAAACAAATTCATTAATTAAGTTATAACTGGCCATGGAACGGATAGGTGGGTTACGAATTTCTTCTGTACACGTGAATTGGGGTTGTATGTACGAATTCCAATGGCTTCAGTTATATGTAGGAGGCGGGAACTAACTCCGTTGGGAAATGATGGAGGTATACGATAGATAACTCGAAATGATTTCGATTTATCTACAGCATGACCGCTATCAATAAGATGTGCTAATATAGAACTGCGAATAGATTTTCTCTGGCCCTTTATGTACCAAGTTGGTAGATGTTCACTCATTCGTTGATTAAGTTGCCTGGTAGTACGCCCTATATAGCTATCTCCACAGGAGCAGCTGAATTTGTAAATGCACATGGAAGAGGCCAACTTAGGTAACTTATCCTTCGTTTGAGTAGACATCGCTGGTCGACAAGAGAAGGTCAACGCAAGATTGGCTGCATAGAATGTCCTGGTGATTACTTTGGTTAACCTATATTTCAGAGTGTCTCTAGCCACATCCCCGTTGAATTGCACTTTCATGTATAAAGGTTTCTTACGAACAGTCGAAATCTCCGACTTCTTTATTATATCATGCATGTACTTACTAATGAACGCGCTGGGGTAGCCGATCTCGGTCAGTGAGTTGTTGATAAATTCAAGCTCCTGACTTAGAGTGTCTACTGTACAGATCTTTTTTGCTCTGCTAGTGAGATATCTGACCAAATTTCTCTTGTAACGGATGGGTGTGGAACTGCAGAAGTGAGTATATTGGCATGAAGAGGGGTTTCTTCTATACACGCTTCTACTTAATGTGTCGTCACTTCGTCTGCTTAGTGTGTTTTTTATTGCTTGTTTCACCTTCAAAAATTATACGTATATGTTAATGCCTATTGAAAACAATTCAACTGATCTGTGAATGTTTTCCAGTTTCTTATTATCTACCTTCTAACTCTTATCAAATTAAAGAAAACCCTAGGAGCACGGGTCCTAACGAGTTTATTTCAACTGTCTTCAATGATTGTTTGCTAGATGTGACTATATCTATGTATTTCCTCCTCATTTAATTGTTTATATCTTACTAATAATTATGACTTCATCCTCTTTTCTTTATACCCTCTTATTTAATCAGTTATGGTCATTCGTCTAAAAAACGATTATGGTTATTAAGGAGCATATATTCACCTGATAACAATCAATCAATATCTCACTATGTTAACTATTATTATCGGGAAAGTTTTGATTCAGTTTTTGAACCTCATGGAGGTATTGAAGTGGTAATTTGCCTTCTTGGTGAAGTAAGTTTTTGTGGAATATTTTTACCATTTATTTTATCACCCATATAACCAATTTTAAAATTTTTATGTTAATGGATTATTATTACTTTTAAGTACTTTATAATAATTTGACAAACATTTATCATGGTAGAGAAGATTTGTAGCTCAGCTGGATGATTTTGATGGAGTTTTGTTCCCTGAGCTGGATGGTTTGGCCTTGGAGGTTTCATCATCAATCAACAAGCACATGGAAATCGATCCAATTTATTAACCATTCTGGAAAATTATGCACAAACATGAAAACAAAAATCAAACCAATGGGGAGATACAACCAAAACGAAGAAGCAAACAATGACAAGTTTAAGGTCAACAAGAACCAATCCACATCGAGTTGTACGGGACAAGCTGTGAACCACATGTGAAGAAATTCGAACACTTCACTTCTATCTGAAGTTTGTGCTAATGATTTTGTTCAGAAGAACGATGAAAGCTCTACAATCAAATCATCCAGCCCAGAGAACAAAACTCCATCAAAAACATTTACCATCCCTTGTTGATATTCAGGTACAAATCTCGATCAACCTTTCTTATGATATATGGATCCTAAGCCTATTACTACTTGAACCGATTGTATATTGGTTAGTATTGGAATAAAGGATGTTTTTTCAGTCCTACTTGTGACTTATCAGCTAAATTTATCTCTATCTCAATGTTGAAGTTGACACTGTGTATAAATTAAACTGACGTACACTTCAATAGGCCATTTTTTATTTAGTCCGACGTAGACAACATGGTTGGTGTTTATCGATCTGATTTCCATAAGAATGAGAAATGAAATCTACTAGGTAAGTTGCAAATAGGTCGAGATTATAGTGTTAACCGTAACACTGAATATATGAATAACGGTAGAAAATTATGTATAACCATAATAGTAATGGTAATAAAACTTATTACCGTACTTTATAAAGACGTTTTTATAACCTTAAAGATTTTTAATGTTCATATTCAATGTCTTCGTTTATGTAGTGCCTTAATATGGACTTTGCTCACACAATCAAGATCATGACTCTCAAAAGAAGTATCGATGGGAGGGAATCCACTTGGAAAGTAGTCACCATTGGGCATAAGGTTGTGAATAGAGACAATGTCTCCACAGTATTAATTATAATTGATATTCATTACTTATTATTATTATTATTATTATATATTTATTACAATTCTCTTTTATCTATACAGCTTGTCTGTCAATCACACAGTTCTAATTTGATTTCATATGGACTAAAATTACTCTTCACAATGTTACATCATTCTAGTATAATGTATGCAAAATTTTATGCACCAGCATTATCACATCCTGGTTTAGAGAATTCAATGGAAAGACGACATAAAAAACTATGGTTATTTCAAAATTGTAATGACCAGCTAAATTGTAAACCAGTTCCATTAAGTTTTGGACATTGTCTATTAGCTCGTCTATTCAAACATCCAGAATTTAATATGATCTCATCGAAATCATATGAAATTATGAAAGTAAGTAGTTTTTTTTCCAGACACTATTTGCTCAGATTTCATGTAAGTTTACTTTTGAAAATAAACATACCTTTATCATGATTTGACATGAACTGAGAAACTATGGAATATAAGAAAACTATTGCATTCTAGATTGAAATTCCTCTTAATAATTTCATCTTTTGTACTATTGATATGATATTATGATGTGTGCTACTAATATTGACATAAGTAGTATATAACGCGAGTCAGGAATATAATGTCTTGTTGAGAAGATCAAGAAGAGAAAAATGGTAATAGAAAGAAATTAGTATGGAAATGCAGGAACAATGAAGTTCGAGACAATTAATGAACATTTAGTAAATTAGGCATTAGAGTATGTTTTTTCTATGTTACCAAGGTGTCCTCCTTCACTACGTGACAACTTGAGTTGAAGTACAGTTGTATTAGTCTCTACGTCCAGTTATAACTGACACTTACAACCTCATAAATTACATATCAAGATTATAATTATACACTATCTGGTGAGAATCCATCCTGAATCTCTACTGGAAACTTATGCTCGATAAATGGTTCCCAAATGTAACTGATCCTTTGATTTCTATTCTAGTTTCATGTAGAATACAAAGTTTTAATTTGTCTTTTTTAATCCTGGTTTTGAACGTTGACATGTTGAAACGAAATAATAAAGCTAATTAGTTCATTTTACTTCTAAATGCATTTCAACGTAGATGGGTATATGTTGGATGTTAAGCTTAACATGTTCATTTATCTATTTCTGCAGCTGATATAAAACTTTCATTTCTTTGTTATTGTACCATTATTTAATAGTTTATTGATTACTTAACCAGTTTATTTGGTTTTTTTTAATTAGCTGAATACATGAGTCGATTCTAGCTAGACTACCACTAAAAACCTGGAAGCACTGGACGGACGTTCAGTCTTTGTATGGGACTCCTAAGCAGTGGGTACTCATGATTCCCCAGGCGGGTATCGAACTCAGGACCTTCGGCCTCGTGCGCGAATGCTTAACCTCTAGACCACTGATCCGGCATCAGACTGTGGTAATGTCTACCTTCAGTCGCTCCATGATCTTGCACAATTATTCATCCATTGTCTGAGATAGATACCTGTCTCAACTCGACATGGATTGGATTCCACTGGTCACGAATTCTCATTAGAACTGCAGAAAATGTGTCTCGAAGCCAGTCACTAGTGAACATATGACGAATAATATCAGATTGTAGTGACTTTAATAGTCAAGTCCCGTATGCATGATCGTGGAAGCTTACTACTGAGGAGTCCTATACTAGGACGAGACGGCAGTTGATTGCTTCTAGGTTTTTAATAATGGTTTAACTTGGATTGACTTATGACTTCAACTAATAAAATGACTACAATCTCCACCCCCCCCCATTTTATTATTTCTTTTTGTTAATTTCTAATCTTTTATCCCCAGATTTCACTTAATCTTTTTTACATCTATAGGTCTTACTAAATGAAATCATATTGACATTTCCTGTAAACATTTTATGTAAAAAATCTATGAAACATACATCATCCATTGTACATTTATTGATCAATCCAAGTTTATTACGTTGTCTTATCTTGTTTGGTTCACAATCATTCTGGTATCCTACATCGAAACAACAACAACAACAATCTGGATTTGGTACTCACAATTCAATTCATCTTTCTAAATCATCAAACAAATCAATTTTATTTAATTATGGTTTAATACCTGGAATATTTGAATTATTAATGAATATTAATGAATTGTCAAATTCAACTATAATCATTATCAAATTATATAATTTGTCTATATTAGATAAATGGCAATTAATTATGGCAATGTTGACTGGATTTCGAGTTAGTTTAATTTGAATATAATTAATGATTATTAATAATAATGGTTTGTGGAGATTGATGAATTTGGTTTTGAGATGATGGAGAAGATTTGTAGCGCAGGTGGATGATTTTGGTGGAGATTTGTTCTCTGAGCTAGATGGTTTGTGCTGATGATGTCGTTCAGAAGAACGATGAAAGCTCCACGACCGAACCATCTAGCTCAGAGAACAAAACTCCACCAAAATGAATTTGGTTATTTATATCTCAGATCAATCTTTGTAAGACAACCATTAAAAAATTAAGACATTGTTTCATTCTAGTATAATATTCTTAAACAATTGTATTATTGAGATCTTCAAGTTTCACTATCCTTGAAGGATGGGTGGACATTTTATGAGGAATCATAGACTAGGATGAAATAAATATTCTCCGCTTCTTATTGTTCAATGGTTCTTTTACGAAAATCAATTCGACTTATACATTAAAAAAATTGGTAATAATTTGAACGTTGTGTCCATTTTTATAGTTGAGTTTTTAAAACAATCTTTACTCTGTAACGATTGGTTTTTATCACTTTCAGTATTGGTTTATTGTGTACCTCAAGGTCATGTTTCTGTTATTACATATACTGAGCTTGAGTATTTAGTCTTTATCTTGTTCGTGTGCTAGCGGTATCTAGACACCGTTTTTATTTATTTATTTAAACACATCAATATCGGTACAAGGAAGCACCAAAAAGATATGCATCACATAAATCATTTTGTTTATGTGAGGGATGGGATACTGCCCGGATGCCCAAAACCGAAGCAGGTGGTTTACTCATCGAGACACACCCAAAGCCTTTGAACTAAAGCTTTGATCCACAAGGTAGTAGAGCAACGTCAAGAGATGCAGTCTGATGGCAGCCGGTGATCAACGATTGCTTTGTACTCTACTTGTTCTTTCAGGAAACTGGAGCCCATGTGCACCATTAGTTTGAAATGAGGGTTTCCCAACTCCCCTAGGTAGATTCTCCGTATCTACTAACCCGATTAAGGCACCTGGTATTCGATTTTAATCCTTTCAGTTTCGTAAACAACAGTATTGCCGCCAGAAGGCAGTGAGCGAGACTTCCCTAGAAGTGTTTGTATGCACATGGTCATGTGAGAGCGTTGCGAGAGGGAGGGCTGACGTTCCCCACTCTCGGCCTTACCAGAATATTTGGGGGCAAATTCACACTCACGGTGGAACCCGAACCCGCAATTATCATAGATCATAGATCAACTGAAAACCCCAATGGACATAGTCGCTCCTATCAAAATTGAATATTAACAAAATTAAGAAAAGAAGACTGGAGAATGTGAAGTCTTCTCGAACAGTTTTATGATGTATTCTTTGTTCTTCTTGTAATCTTCTGTCAACATTTCTTTCGTTTTGTTTACGCCTCACTTTTTTTCACAGGAATTGTTCCTAGAAAATGATAATCATCATTCAATACAAAGAACTTTAATGAATCATGAACATTTAAAATTTATAACACAGCAGTGGCCAATTACTTCATTGATGAATTGTCTGATAAATTGTCTTTCATTATCCGTAGTGACAAATGAGCCAAGTAAAACTAGAGCAACCTTGGAAACAATACATAGACAGTCATTGTATAATAATAGTAATACTGATTATATTCATTCATTTTATTGTACAAAACGATTATGTCTATTGAATTTATGTCGTTTAATTATTAATTTAGATGCTAATATGTATTTATCTGCAGCTGAACAAGTATTTTATACTAGGTCAGATCATAATTACGATCATGATGACGATGATGATGATCCCGATCATAAAAGTAATATTGATCATCAATTATTTATACATAATGATGAGTTAGAAACTAAAGTATCAACATCACCATCACCATTATCCATGTCTACATCACAAATATCATCAACATTAGATAATGATTATTTATTTTGGCATAAAATTACACGAAAGTGTTTAAATTATACGGAACGTTTAAAAATTTGGGAATACTCATCATTTAATCATAATAAAGTAATAATTAGTAGTGCTAATAGTACTGAAGGCAAATGTGAAGGTAAGTTTATTTCGTTTTTTTTCAGTCACGTTACTAGTTTTATTCCAATTCACTCTTATCAGTGATCTTGAGTGCTATTAGAAGTATGAGGGTGGTTTCACTTCCCGGTTGCTCACACGGTGTAAGGGTTCTTCTTAAGGTACCTGAAAAGGAAATTGGAATAAAGGCGGTCTTAGTGACCTGAGAGAATGACTGCAGTGCCCAAGGAACAACTGATTGAGGTCGGTCACACACGACCTTTTTATGGGTAATTTTTGTGTTAGCTCGGTACTTGTTAAGATCTTACCACCAGAGACGGATAGCGGTGAAATAAGGCGAGGTGTACGTTTTTATGGCCGACGTTTTCTCACCCCACCCCTCCTTGTGGGAAGGCAGCATCGCTGTCATGCTGGTTTTCTGAAGGAAGCACCTTACTGCTGACACACCTCTGTACAGCCAGCAGTACGACTTTGCCCTCAGACCTTTGGTTTGCTGCTTTTAGTCTTACCGCTCTTCAACCGACCTGTCCGGAATTTTAGAACCTTGAGAAACTATTGTTCCAATCAGTATAGCTCGATTGGTTCAACATGATAGGCAAGCCCGACCACCATGTCAAGGTAGCAACAACGGTTAGCGTTGGTGTATTTATAAACACATTCTCTATCTTTTCTTAAACTGTGAGATTAAAATCGCTTCATATCTTTCTACCTACTAATTATTTCTTCCTGTACTATGTCCTTATATGCAATCTTTTATATTTTGTCACTATTGAATTAACTAATTTTATGAATCCGGTGTTGATCTTGTTGTGTTAATGAGGTACGGTAACTTGAACCGATGCATATATGTGCCTGGTCCTACGTTGTGACTGATTTACACTTATCAACCGAGTCACACATAAATGCATTTTGAATGTTTTAATTACTATACCGAAGTTACCACTTCTTAATTTATTATGTAGTACAAAGTTCATTTAAATACAAACATCAATATTGTTCATTTAACTGTTCCATTATGTCTGAAAAAAAAGAACAACTTCAAATCCATTTAAGACCAGAAAAAGACATACAATAAATCTAGTTAGAAATGTAACTAAATCAATAATGTATAATTCTAGCTTTGTAATGCAATATACTGTATTTTTTAATGAAAATGCAAATATTTACTTACATTTTAGATCAGCCTAATATGTATATATAATACAATAACAAGTGAATGATTTATGTTGATTAACCCTATGATAGAATAAATTGTCTAATAAGTTTATTCATATCATATTACAGTAGAAGTCACTAACTTCTAGACTAAGCTTGTTGATAGATGCAAACTACTTGGTTGCGGTCCACGTGACTACCGTAAGAAATAGTTGGAGACTGTGGGTGACATGGCTCAGAATCAATCACAATGGTGTAGGTGTATACAGTCTCTGATTTTCTTTAAACGATGATATTAAAATCGATTCAAATCTTTCTTTCTACGAACTAATCCCTTCTTCATGTACTATGTCCTTATATGCAATCTTTCTTTTATATATTATCACCTCTGAATTAACTACTTTATGAATACGGTGTCCATCTTGTTGTGCTAATGAAGTATGGAATCTTGGACTGATGCATATATATGCCTGGTCCTACGTTGTAGCTAACCGACTGACTGACAGTAAAAATCTCAGTTGGCATTACTTACATTTGTACTTCATCGACTAAAAATAACAAAAAAAATCTTGATTTTAGGTATTCAAGTGTTTCTATAATAGTGAACCTTGTGAAATGAGTACGTATCAAGCCTAATGGTCATTAGACTGTAAGTGACCTAGAAAATCTCTAGCTATTTATGATATCCGATCATATTTATTGTTCAGTTGATATATTTGTAAAGAAGCATATTAGATTTTAAGAGAACTTGTTCATTTTGTTAGTTGTCTTGTCTTAAATATCTCTTCATTTAAAAGACTTGCGTCAATAATAATTCGCTATTGTACGTAGTTATTAGTTATTATTTTCATCGACCACCATTCTATTTTTTCATTACCACAATGACATTTTTCATTCACTATCGAACTCTAGTTAATGGTAGGAACAAATGGTTGTGATTATTCAGGTTGTTTTCGTCGTTTTCTTAAGTGTGCTGTATCCTTCACTTTTGAACACTTTTCTGTGTTTTTTTGTGGATGAGTAGTAGTGCATAAAAGAGTGTAATTATTGCTGAATGTTTCACTTACAATCCTAATTTTCAGTTTATTTTTGTTTGCCATTTTGTATGATCAGATGCGCGAAACTGACTTGTTCGTAGCAGATATATATACATAATTTTAGATTTTTTAAATGAAATCTTCAGTGAAAATTATGCTCACAAATTTAGTATTCACTTACTAAATGGACGGATCATACCTAAAGATACCGAATTCTGCAAACGTATTGAACATTAAAAAGTATTCGAATAATTTTAGTTTAACAGATCGAATTATATTATGGTTGAATTCATGAGTCAATTGAAGCTAGACCACCATGGAATACCCGTAAACACTGGACGGCCGTTTCGTCCGACTGTGGAACTCCTCAGAAGTGCACGTCCACGATAGTGCCTTGCGAGGTTCAAACTCAAGAGCTATCAATCTCGTGTGCGAGCACTGAGCCACTAGACCACTGAGCTGGCCGGCATCTGACAGTGCTAATGTCTAACTTTAACCAATCCACGAAGTCGCGCCACCGTCCACCATCTGTCATCAGTGAATTACTATCTCACAACAAACTTGATCCCATACAAGGACGAAACGGTTTTCCAGTACTTCCAGATTTTTCAAATGACTCATGAATTCAATTATAAAAGTACTTGAATCTCCACGAAATCCTTTCAGATTGTATTATCTCTACTAACTATTCACTTCTGCATATATTTCAAATAATAATCTTGGTATTGTTATCTTTTCTTTGGTTTGTTTAAGTTAATCAAACTTCATTTGAAAAAAATTCATCTAAACTTTTAATTGATTCTTCTACATCATATGATATAACTCGAATACAAACACAAAATTTAAGTAATACTGAAGATAATCAAATTAAATTAGTAGAAATTCAATCTAATCATTGTCAATCATTGTCATCATTATCATCATCTACATCAAAACAACAACAACAAGTACAACAAGAACAATTGTTAAGTAATGAAGGATACCAATTGAACATGATTGAATCTATAAAGTATCCAATGGTTATTTCAGATTCCGGTGTAAGTATATCATCTTTACCGGTTAGTAGTGTTGATCTAATAAATGTAGAAAACGATGTATGTAATATATCTGAAGGTTAGTTAGTTTTGATTGTTTATATCTAATTATTCATTTATAATTGAATAATCACTTAATAACTATGAATCAATCTCTATTAATGTTTATGAATTCTAAGCTAAGTACCTTGATACTGGGTAGTGTGACAAGTTTGTTTGTGATTGGTTAAATAACTTATCGGTTATTTCAATTCATTACCTCAATGTCGGACGCATTGTATGTTTAGAGTGAAAGGTAATGGGAAGCAGGAATATTCAGCTCATGAGTCCTAATTAAAATGAAACACAAATTTTGTACTCCATTGCCAACTGCATGCTAAATATACTAAAAGGAATAACATTTTAAACATGGGGAGAATATAGTATTGATAAGTAATATAATTCTAACCAACTCAATACTTAGTGATTATTATTGACTATCTGAATAAATTAGTGATAACTTTTCAGGCTGTGAAGCTGGGTGGTGAGCTTTTACGTTCTGAAAAGTGCATGAATTCACTTAAGTTTACAAGGATTTCTTGCTGATGAGTACCAGCTAACACGAAACTTAGTTCCATAGTACCGTGACAACTAACATGTTACTGATAACTACTCATCAATCAATCAATTGTAGATATTGAAAAAAAAACACTTCTAACCTACTTTCGTTGATAAAAAATTCAATTCTCTTTGATCTCAAATGTTGAATAATGAAAAGAACATTGGGATTTTCAGTATACAATTAACTTATCATTCCATTTTGAGACTTTTCATTAATTGAAGGGATACATAAGTTTCAAAATAGAAAAAATTGACTTTATGTTTTGATTGTCACATAACATTAAAGTCATTACGTAACAAGAAGTGTGTAAATAATTAAATAATGAAGAATACAAAAGAGGTGGAAAATTGCAAGCAAATACAGGATGTGAAGCTAGACTATCATGGAAAACCTGAAAGCACTAGACGGTCGTTTCGTCTTAGTATGGGACTCCTCAGCAGTGCACATCCACGATACCCCTCCCCGTGAGATTCGAACCCAGGACCTATCAGCATTGGGACGAAATTGTCATCCAGTGCTGCCGGGTTTTCCACGGTGGTCTAGCTTCAATTGATTCACGATTTCAACTACTGAAAGTAATAATAATTACAAAAAAGTTATATCCGGCCATGAAAGGGATTGTGGGGGGGGGCAGTCACGAATTTCTTCCATACACATAAATTGGGGTTAAATATGCAAATTCTTATGGCTTCAGCTATATGTAGGAGACAGGATTGAACTCTGTTCGAAAATCATCAAGGTATATGGTAGGTCAGTCGAAACGTTTTGATTGTTCTACCAAAAGCTTTTTTCCTGACGTTGTTTTACTAATCTTTTCATCCTATTGTAGTCTTCTTTTCTTTTTTTCTTGCTTTACATTATAGATAATGAATCTATTCCTACAAAGCATATTCAAGAAGAATTAAATAATTCCATTGAAACTGATTATACTACTAATAAATATATATTAAATTGTGTACAATTACGTATTGAACAAAATAGTATATTTTCTAAACATTTAATTCATTGTTTAGATTATGTTTGGTATAGACATTTTCCAATTGAATTATTATCAAAAGTTTATTTCAAAGATAAGCTGAAACGAAATGAAATGAAATTCAATAATAATAATAATGAGACGGATGCAGAGAAGGAAAAGGAGAAGGAGGATGACGACGACGACGAGGGGGAGAAGGAGCAGGAGGATAAACATGAAGGATTTATTCATGTTTTCACAAAAAATATTTCACATTCAAATGATTGGAATCTATATAAATTGAAATCAAATTATCCTTTATTATTAGATCATGTTAATAGTAATTCATTAATTGAATCACATTGTTCTACTTCAATTCGACCACCTTTATGGTTGATTTATAGTTTAATACGACATCCATATTTATCTCAACGTGAATGTGTAAGTATTTATTGTATTATTTGATATTATAATAATGAGAATTCATTGTGGAACTGTGACACTTAAGTTTCATTTTCTTCTACATCAGTTATAGAAGTTGTATGGGTGACACTATAATTTATGGACAACATTTGAGTGACGCTGAACTAACCTTGAGGGTGTTCACTTAATAGGTTTGAATTATTTTTTTTGGTTAACGTTTGTTTAGCGAGTTAGTTTTCTACGGGATGGGGACGCTAACCCCATGCCCAACCCTCCTTTATCCGGGCTTGGGACCGACAGTAGCCATCAGAGGGACCAAATGATGGTTATAAACCTGTGTGAGGAATTAAAAATAAGATTTAGGGTTTTCATCACGAATTGACATTAGTTGTAATGCTGAAAATCTATTTAACCAAATGGATGAATGAATTTCGCGCCAAAATCCAAGTCCTCTTATCTTATACGTGATTGGTTCGTCCATAAATTATAGTCTCGCCGTTGCATGGGTATCAAAAATTTTGCTTGAAAATTATTGCTCAAAGCCAGTTGTAAACAAATGTACTTTGATTATGAATATTTTTATTATATTTATAAATGCTGATTTATCCCCACCAAATCTGCTGCTTTTAAGTGATAGTCTGGTTCACCTATCAGTATGACTGAATTGAGCTAAACTGGTTGGAACACGATCAGGGTTACCTATTCTGTGACCGGATTTCTTTAAGAATGAAATATACTTATTAGTTTCGAATCTGATTGAACTATATCGACAAAGTTACAATGTGGTCGTTATTTTTAGGATCACAATTCTGCTCACACGATGTTTATATGTTAAGTTGTTGGAAGCATCTAATGAAAGTCCTTGAATTATTTACATTATACTGTCTACTCAGTGGAGAATTCATTAGTGTATCTTTGAGTTGAAAGCGTTAAATAGCTATCGTGATATATTATATGCAACCAAACTTTCCGTTAGTGAAAAATGAAGTCACTTGCTTCTATGCATACGCTTTAGCATCGCACTAATGCCATCATCATATTCCTTTTGAGCTTAAAAGTTCTCATATGTTCATGGACACCCATTCATTGAAAGGGAAGAAAGGTAGAACAACTCTAATCGGTTTAAAATTCATTTTGGATCCTAATCTCAAATCAGTGTACGTAGTAGTTAACTGTACTCCTGTGCATAATAGCCTTTTAGTTGTCAGTTTTAAAGCATAGCAAAATGCATACAGCACATATGACATTTAGAAGTGTTCACTAATTTTGATAAGAGATAATGTAAAATATATATGAGAAGGGTTTCGTGGATATTATGGTAATTTAATAGTTGAATTCATGTGTCAACTGAAGCTAGACCATCATGAAATACCTGGAAGCACTGGACGGCTGTTTGGTCCTAGTATGGGTCTCCTGAGTAGTGCGCATCCACGATTTCGCCTCGCTTGATTCGAACCCAGGACCTATCAATCTTGCACACGAGCGCTTAACCATTAGACCACTCAGCTCGCCGGCGTCCAATGATGTTAATGTCTAACTTCATCCAATCCACAAAGTTGCCCCACTGTCACCATTTTCTTCAATAAGTCGCTGACTCACAACAGACCTGATTGGACTCCACTATTCACTGCTTCTCACTAGAACTCCAGAATATACATCTTGAAGCCATTCACTAATGAGCATATGCACAATCGCTCATTATTAAGGAGTTTCACAATCGGACGAAACAGCCGATCAATGCTGCCATATTTTCCATGATAGTCTAGCTTCAATTGATCCATGAATTCAACAATTTTATTTCTATATCTGTTCACTGTTTCTTATTTTATCTTCTCATTAAAGGCTCTTACCGGTTACTGTGTTTGGTTACATTTTGAAGCTAATAAATGGATAAAAAAATGTGAACAATTATCAACCAATTTCAGTCAATCTATTTACTTTGATTGGTCTATTCCTGTAACAACATTACATCATCATCATCCTACTACTAATACTACTAATAATACTACGAATACTACACAATTGCATAGAATTATACCATATCAATTATCAAGAATACGTTCATTTGCTATAGGATTATTATTACCAACAATACCATTTCTATGTATAACAAATTGTAATTCAGATATTAATTTTAAAACTTATTATTCTAATCGTCATTTATGTTCTAAAAAATTATTAAATCGTTCATTCGGTTTAATTTTACATGGATTAGAGAAATTTTCATTCATGAATTCTAATGAAATAATAATAATGAATAAATATTTTATGGTAAGATTTATGGATTATATATGTGTATTGATCAATTTGTATTGAATATTGGATTTATCATGTTGTTAAGATTATCATTTATGAACAATTTTGAAGAGAGATGATAATCAAAAGATCATGAGGATATCCATGTACAGTCAGTCAGTCAGTCAGTAACAACGTAGGACTTCGTATGTACGTACGTACATCAATTCGAGTTGTCATAACACAATAACACAGATATGCAGTTGTCCATTTAAATCCCCTAGTGGTAGAGGCGGTAAGAGTATAATCAGTAATCGGAAAAATTAGGGTTCGAAAATGTTATTCAAGGAGTATAATCAAGTTAAGTAAATTTGGAAAGAGAAAAAGAAAGAGATATGAAGAATTCAGAAGATTAGAATTTAGGAGAACACAAAAAGTGGATGCACCGGTCCCATTGCAAACGACTTTGAGCCATGTCATTCAAGGTCTCTAACCATCGGTTTCTATCATCTCACGGTCCTCAACCAGGTAGTCTACACCTACCAACATGACTCACTCTGTGCACTTGTCAATGACTTCATGGACTTTTGCCATGTTTTACTCTGGTCAATGTTCATGTATATATTATGATCAATTCAGTACTATAAACCACTGTGAGAAACTAAGATTATTATTTACAGGCGAAAATTGTGGAATCTTTCACGTATTTAGGAAGCATCATCGATGAACAAGGAGGATCAAATGCAGATGTAAAATCGAGGATTGGAAAATCAAGGACAGCGTTCCTACAATTGAAGAACATATGAAACTCAAAACAACTGTCTGTCAACCAATATCAAAGTTATGATCTTCAATACGAACGTCAACACAGTCACCTCTACTGTACGGAGCTGAAAATTCGAGAACTACTACAACCATCATCAAGAAGGTACAAGTATTTATAAATAGTTGTCTACACAAAATACTCAACGTACATTCACCGGATACCATCAGCTACAGTCTACTGTGGGAGAGAACAAACCAGCTTCCGACTGAAGAGGAAATTAAGAAAAGCCGATGGAAACGAATATGACATACATTATGCAAATCACCAAACTGCATCATGAGACAAGCCCTAACATGGAATGCTAAAGGGAATGGGAAAAGAGGAAGGCCAGAGAAATCATTACGTCAGAAAATAGAATCAGCTATGAAAAGGATGAATAACAAGTGGAAAGAGTTGGAAAGGATCGCCCAGGACAAGGTTGGGTGAAGTGTGCTGATGGGTGGCCTATGCTCCTTCACGAGGAGTAACGATCGTAAGTAAGTAAGTTTACAGTTGATATTTAGGGTTAGGAATTAGATTTAGGGTTTTCATCATGAACTGACATCACCTTTAATACCAAATTTCTACTTAGCCAAATAGACAAATTAAATTTACGCTCCAATTCATGACCTTTAATCACAAATCCGATTGGTTCGTTCACAAATTATTGTTTTGCCGAGATTCTTTCTAATTATATAAGTTTCTCGCAAGTGTTCACAGATTTCTTTGAGGCTTTTTTCGAGTATATATTGATGTTTCAAAGTGAATTATTCTGAAGTTTGATGTAGGGTTCTAGATAGCTATGATAAATAATATTTTTAAGGATGTGAATTATCATCAACTCCGGTTAGATTTTCTTACTTAATGATGATAGTTTATATCATAGAAACGGATCTCCCATACATTACTGCTGAATAATAAAGACCATTGAAAAGTGTTTAATCCTAAATTGGTACTCTTCCTCAGTGCTTTAATACAATTCCATCCAGGATCGAATGTAGGACTTTTAAGTCTTGATACTAGTGTATTTTCGTTTAACCATGCTGTTGAGATATAATATTGCATATTACCAAATCCAGGCAGTTTTCCGTTTTGTCTATATCAATACCGTCTAAAAAAGATCTATATATGTATTATCAGTTGGTTTAAATTATTTCTTTACGTTAGTGTATTTTCTTTTTGCTTACAATTATAGAAAACTAATTGTTTATTAGAATCTTCTTCGCATGATGTAACTGGATTTATCTCTGAACCAACTTACATTCATCATGCTCATCATCAGTGTAATCATCACCATCCTATTATCTCTGTCGCATCTGAAAATATCATCAACAATGCAAATAATAATTCAAATGTCAATAATGCGAAATATGATCAATTGCCAGCTAATAAGAATGCTACTACCACTACTACTACTACTGCGACTACTACTGCTACTACTACTGCTACTGCTAATACTACCACTACTACTACTGCTACTACTACTACCACTACTACTACTAATACCACTACTACTACTGCTACTACTACTACCACTACTACTACTACTAGTAATAATAATAATAACCGTTGTAATAACCCTAATTTTCATAAATATTATCTATTATCTACATTTCCAGTGTTATTTTCAACATTGATCGGTAGTCTCATTGATGCATTAATAAGTTATATTGTTAAATTAAAAATAATTAATCACAAAAAGTTAAAATCTGATCAGAAAGATAATAAAGATGATCATCACAAAGGAAATCATTTTAGTTCTTCAATGGCTACTATCAATAATGATGATAATGATGCTAATGATGAAACCAGTACACCAGAGATTGATTTATGTACTTATGGTTTAGATGCTTTCATTATTTTATTACAGGTTAGTTTATGTATATGTTTGTTTGTTTGTTTGTTTTTTGAATTATTATGTATTCATTTGATTACAATTTATGCTGAATATTCATGAATCAGTCAGTCAGTCAATCACAACGTAAAACTTCGTACGTACGTACGCATATCTGTTCGAGTTGCCATACCATATTAGCACAGAGATGCAGTTGTTCATTCAAATCCCGTAGTGGTAAAGGTAGTAAAAGTATAAACTGCAATCTGAAAGATTAGGGTTCGAGGATGTTATTCAAGGAGTATAATCAAGTGAAATAAGTTTGGAAAGAGAAAAAAAGAAAGGGACATGAAGAATTCAGAAGATTAGAATTTGGGAGAACACAAGGAGTGGATGCACCTGCGCCATTTCAAACGATTTTGAGCCATGTCATTCAAGGTCTCTAACCATCAGTTGCTATTATCTCGTGGATCCCAACCAAATAGTCTACACCTACCAACATGACTCACTCTGTGCACTTGTCAGTGACTTCATGGACTTGTGCCATGTGTTGGTCTAGCCGGCCTTAGCTTTCTTACAACCTACTTCTATACCATTGAACATTGCACGTCGAGTTAGTCGGTGATTGGGTATACGTAACGCATGTCCCAGCCATCTCAGCAGATGAGGTTTCACTACTTCATCAATTGATTTGCCATCCTTACCTAGTACCCCTTCCCTTACATAAATGGGTCTATTCAATAACCCTCGAAATATATAAGTAGGTCGTTATATAGTAATAAAGTTTAGTGTATAGGTTTTTGAAATTCCCTTCTGTATTCACTCAGTAGTTTATCTATAGCTGAGTCTTTATATTCTCTGCTTTAAATCGTTACCTGTACTTGGCGCAAAATGAAGTGTCAAATTGTATTGTTCGGTTCGTAACCATTGTTAATGATGATATAGAAACCAACTAGGGCAGTTTGCAAAGTAATAGTACATTTGGGTTTCAGAATCCCAAGGCAAAGAATGGCTTAGGCATGTATATTGTTCATGGGTTATCTGATCACACCTTTAGGTGAAAAGCTCGATGACTGTTCCTCAACAAAAAAACAATCTATTCCAGGTGTGGATTCTGGACAGTTTTTCATTCTTCATTTAAATAATGATGACTCCCTATGGAAATATTGAATGATTCTCTCAACACATCATGGCTCTCAGATCATGAAAATAAAACTTTCGAGTCATACTGTCTACATTCGTAATTTTATAAACAAAAATTGTATTCAGTCTTTCTATTACAGAATCATCTTGTTAACAAAAGTGGTCAAATTCATTCTCCATTTTCTTTTTTAATTTCACATAGGATTCAGATAATTGTGTTCTTAGTTCGGCTATCAAATCTAATTTATTACCAGTATTATACAATATGGCTTGGTTATTGGAATTCGGCATCAATGAAGCTAATTCATTATTACATATGCATAATAATGATTATCATAACACCAATAGACCAATTTCTATTATTCCATCTCTCTTAATGCCTATTTTCACTAGTTTAAATCGTTTAATTGGTCGTGTAATTAGTTGGATGATAATCGATGAAAAATTCAGTAATGAATTAATTCCTTCATCTTGTCCTGTATTTCATTATTCATTGGATACATCATTACGATTTCAATTGATAAGAACTTTTCTACAATATTTAATTTCAATGAAACCTGATTTAAATAACGATGATTATGATGGTTATATTGTAAATTTGGAATCAGGTAAGTTACTATTAGATATTATCACTGTCGTTATTATTGCTGGATTTCTGTTTTGTTCTATGACTATGAAATATATCTTTTAAAAATAGGGAATGTTAGTACATTACTAGTGTTGGGATGTGATTCTATCCCTCGAAATGTAAAATGTTGCTTCAGGATTGGGTTGAATCGACACCCAAACTAATGATAGGGAGTGAAGTAATTGAGCGCGTCGATCGCTTCACTTATCTTGGAAGTCTCATCAGCCCTTGTGGTCTGGTCAGGTTCAGCACGGATACAGAAGGCTCGAATAGCTTTTACCAACTTGCGTCATTTATGGCGTAGATGAGATATTCGCCTACCAACCAAAGGACGTGTTTACTGCACAGAAGTTCGTTCCGTCCTACTTTATGACAGTGAAACATGGCCGGTAAGAGTAGAGGACATCCGTAGGTTACTAGTATTTGATCATAGCTGTCTTCGAAATATTGCTCGTATATCCTGGGACCATGGAGTAAGTAACGCAGTTGTTAGGAAACGGGTACTAGGTAAGGATGGCAAATCAATTGATGAAGTAGTGAAACTTGATCAGTTAAGATGGCTGGGACACGTGTTACGTATACCTAACCACCGACTGCCTCGACGTGCAATGTTCTATGGTATAGAAGTAGGTTGTAAGAAAGCTAAGGCCGGCTAGACCAACACATGGCACAAGTTCATGAAGTCACTGACAAGTGTACAGAATGAGTCATGTTGGTAGGTGTAGACTACCTGGTTGGGGACTGCGAGATGATAGCAACCAATGGTTAAAGACCTTGAATTATATGGCTCAAAATCGTGTGCAAGGGCGCAGTTTCATTCACTCTTTACGTTCTCTCAAGTTCTAATCTCATGAATTATTCGTGTCCCTTTTCTTTTTCTCTTTCCAAATTTGTTTCACTGAATTTATACTCCTTGAATAACATCTTCAAACCCTTATCTACCGACTACTGCTTATACTCTTACTATCTCTACCACTATGGGATTTGAATGGACAACTGCATCTCTGTTCTAATGTGTGGCAACTCGAGCTGATGTACGTATGTACGTACGAAGTTCTACGTTGTTACTGACCGACTGACATTACTAGTGTTGAATCATTGATGCCTTCGAATACGTTGTTCGGATTTCCTCAAAACCACTGTGATGATATCTGTTTTTGGTCTACCATACTAAGATTAAATAAAAAGTACTAGGTAAAATTTCTAACTCACTTGACGTTTAGGACGTTAGATCCCCAGAACTCACTTGACAAACGACCTAATTTTGTAATTTTATTTAGAAAATTTGAATTTCTTTGTTTTCGCACCAAAGGCACTCTTCTCACCTTCATGTCGTATTTCCTACTGGGAAATATCTTAAATGCTATAGGTCCATTGCGTCTTTATTATGCTATTTGGTAATTCTCCCCAAGGACGGTTTTGTGCTGTATATATACGTTTTGAATTATTTGTTGTTATCGCTCGTTTCTGGATCTTTGCAGAATATACTTCCCCATTCCAAGCTTGGAATTCTCCCTCTAGTTAGCAGGGCTGGGACGCATCAATAGCTAGCTTACTGGTCTTTGGTCACCGAGTCTTTTTTTCTCGTTCGCAGATTAAGTGAACTTGTGATAGCTTCAACCTTAGCACTTGATGAAGTTGTAGATCTTCACTAACTAACATGATTAAGACATTTAATACGTAATGCTAAATACCATCTATCTCGACGTGTAACGTTGTGTGGCAGAGGAATGCGTTGTAAGAAAGCTAGTAGTGATTAAACCACTGAATAAAATCATTCTATGAAATAATTAACTGCTGTCGTAAGCTATGTCGTAGGAATAGACCATCTAGTTTGTGTTTTTTGATGAGTTGTATTACATTGATTAGAAATGGTTCGAATCCTGAAGATGCACTCACATCTTATGTTCTCTTAAGTCTTAGGTTTCACAGTTAATTTTCTACATTTTATTCTGCAAACTCCTTCTTTTTAAGTTCAATTTCTATCTAGAAATGAATTAAGATTTGTAATTAATTTACTCTATATATTTGATGCATTATAGAATGCTTTTAACCTAAATATTTAACAATATACAGTGAGGTATTACTTGAAGATTATTGGATGGTCATAATAATTTCATATTATAATTTTTTCTCTTTCATTTTATTCTCAACTTCAGAAGTACAGTTGAATCCTGGACCAGTTAGTCGATGTTTTGTTCGTCGAGTTTTACATAGTCTTTTAGAAACTTCTATTAGTCAGTTAGATCGAATTGGACAAGAACTTAACAAATCAGTAGCCTTTAATCAACAAAATAAACGTAAACAAGAAGAAAGTGAGTCTATCCATGGGAAATTTTTTAAAATATCTGAATCGATACCGGTACTTTACAATAAAATGTGAATTAGTGTTTGTACATGTGAATAATATATTTGTATTCTAGTTTATCCAGTTAGCGATTGATTGTAGTAGTGTAATGTAGATAGCTCGAAATTAGCATAGCCGATGTTTCAAGAAGATGCGGGTATTTGTAAACAGTTGTTTACCTAAAATAATGAACATCTGTTGGCTAGAAACGATCAGAAACAACGCATTCTGGCAGAGAACATACTAGCTTCCAGCTGAATTGTAGATTAGCAAAAGACACTGGAGGTGGATAGGATGCACATTACGAGAATCATCAAAACTGAACCACATAACATGCTGTTAAAGGGTAAAAGGAAAGAGGACGACCAAAAAATACATTGCATCGGGAGTTGGAGGAAGACATCGAAATAATTAATAGCACTTGTCAACAATTTGGAAAGGGAACCCATCATATAGTAGGTCGATGATTTCTGATCGACGGCCTATGTATCACGAATAGCAAGAGGCGTAAAGAAAGAAGTATACGACAAAGTCGTTGAAATATGACAGTGATGTAAATTATACCAATCCACATCGAGTTGTACAGGACAAGCTGTGAACCACATGTGGAGAAATTCGAATACTCCACTTCTATCTGAAGTTTGTGCTAATGATGTCGTTCAGAAGAACGATGAAAGCTCCACAATCAAACCATCGAGCTCAGAGAACAAAACTCCATCACTATCATATAGTTATAAGCACACTGATCAAATATATGTGAGAATAACCAACATTTTTTTCATTGTTCAATTGAAGTGAAATATCTAGGTTTCTCCAACACTTCCATTCATTGAGTATAATTTTCTCTAGAGATTTCATTTGAATTATCTTCTATGAACACAAAACGTTAATGTATTCGTACTTCTTGAACGAAAAGAGCTTCAATTAAAATAATGAAAATGAATTTGTTTAATACGTAGCATTCACTTACCAAGTGGCTTAGGCTTCCGTTAACCTAAGAATCCGTTCTCGGCTTTTCCCATACAAAGTTTTAAATATTGTTTTAAGATTAATCCAATGTCTTGTTTCAACTATTCATCTATATTACCTGTGTTTATTGTTAATATCTAAATCTAAGTTTTCATAAATTCATTTCATTAAGTATTTCATAACCCTTGAATAAATTCTTCGATTTATTTTCTCGATAAACATTTGTACACATACACGTATGTTATTCGGTAAATTCATCCGAATATAATGTGATATTGAATCCTATGTAGGACTGTGGGTTGAATTCTCTTAGTAACGACCAGCTATGCAGCGTGGCGTTTTCTCGATTGGTACTTTCAGTCGTTACAATTTGAGTAATTCGTAGTTTAAATTATTAAAAAAAACTGATATTGGTTAAAGTGCCATCTAAAACCTGGAAGCATTAGGTGTCCGTTTCGTCCTGGTTTAGGACTCCAACAATGTGTACTTACAACCTTGTGTCCTGGAATCGAAGCCAGGATTCTTGGTCTTGTACCGGAATCAAATCGCGTACATCTTAGCCTTCAATCAATTGACGATAGTGTACAACACTCACTCCTTGCAGTGAATAACTCTCTCTCAGACTACATGGTCATTTTTTACTGTTTCTCATTAAAACCCCAAGAGTTCCACCGTAAATCGAACTGTTAGTTAGAGTTATTTATTATTGGTATGAAGAGATTTGTGGAGATTGTAAGTTTTTCATATGTTAAATCATATTCTTAAGTTCGATTCCCGGATGTGGAGTTTTGAATGTGCACTAATAGAAAGCCCCATACTAAAACGAAATGAGTTTCTATTGCTTCCAGGTTTTCAATGCTCATCTAAGTAAGACAACTTTGTGATATAAGCTATGAAAATTTTGAAAGTCTTCACATTTGCCTCCGTACTAGGTCGTTTATGTTTGGAGACCTTCTATAATCTGGATGATTGTACCGATTTTCAATAATTCATTGTATTTGGGTTTTTCTTTCTCTCTCTTTTTCATTACTACAGATGATATACAAACAAGTACTGGAGATGGGAATGTTAAGTATTTTTGTGAAAATTTAAAATTACATTATAATCATTTAGTATGGATATTAAATTGTACTGCAAATGTATTAATTTATTCACGTATGTTTACCCATAACTATTGTTCATTGTTTTGATTAGTTAAATTGTTTTTGATGATTTGTTCAATAACTACTTATTGTTATTCATAACAGTAGTATAGTGAACAAGAACACACAAGTGGGGGATAATCGAATGTATTTGAATACAAAATTACAGAATATCTAAGAACCATACAGTAGATACTTCATTTGCAAAATGTTCAAGAATTGTCTTAGACTTGATTGTTCCTTTATTTCCATATCAATTTCTTTCTGTTCCAATTCCTTCTGCTACACCAGACTTTTCAACTGGATGTACCTGCATCCCAGTGTTGATATTCACTCCAGAACTCGAATCCGGTGTCTTCCGATATCACGTTATCCACTTAGCTACCGAGTTCTGATAGCCACTGATTCGTAAAGTCCCAAACATCAATGAGATGATTCAGACAACGAATACGAAAAAAATATATATTAAATACCATCAAATGTTGTTTTGCGTTAAATATTGATTGCGATTTTTTAAACAAAATGACAAATATCACTAGACGTTTTTCTGGTTTACACATCGGTGTTTGGTCCCATTGTGAAATAAAACAGTTTGCTAGATTTCAACGATTATCTGATTGAAATGAGTTCATGCTTTGAAACTTTATTTTAACCGTTAATTAATAAACCTGTTGAAGTATTTTACAGGTTCTTTTGATTGTGAATAAAAATAACAACATAGAAATATATTTATACCGTTATAGAAAATCCGTTTTTTATGGTTAGAGAGTTACAAATAGTGTTTTTTGAAGGTCTCACATCTACCTGGTTCTGTGTGTAGGACTATGCTTGAATTGCTCACTTACCTAATTACTTATGCCTGTTACTCGTGGAGGGGCATAGGCCTCTCACCAGCACTCTTCATCCAACCTTGTCCTGGGCAATCCTTTCCAGATCTTTCCAATTGTAATTCATCCTATTCATATCTGCTTCTATATCCCGACGTTTTTTCTGGCCTTCCTCTTTTCCGATTCCCTTTAGCATTCCATGTTAGAGCTTGTCTCATGATGCAGTTTGATGATTCGCGTAATGTATGTCATATCCATTTCCATCGGCTTTTCTTAATTTCCTCTTCAGTCGGAAGCTGGTTTGTTCTCTCTCATAGTAGCTGTTGCTGATGGTATCCGGTCAATGTGTGTTGAGTATTTTGCGTAGACACGTATATATATATATATAAAGAATGTTAAATAAAACTATTCTAGCAACGTAACTGACGTATATCTTATAACCTCTGAAGCACTATCGCAACGATCTCAACAGGGAGTTGTAATGGATCGACAAAAGCTAGATTTTTTTCATACCACCGTGCGAATGGGTTATTGAATGTCAGTTATCTCACATAAATCATTTTAACTCTCAGAAAAATATTGATAGGCCAATTTATCAAACAAACAGAATTCTTCTAAACCACATGTTGTAAAATGCAATGTATCATTCAACTCTCTGTTGTAGCTTATCGCGATGAACAAATGATTAATATACTCAATCAGTTAAATTCAATGCCTGAAACATCCAAGCATAAAAATACAACCAATTCTACAGTTTCTGTAAGAATACAAAGTTTTCATGTTGATTTAGGAGAAGAGATTGATGTAGATCAAAATGTGAATCAAGCGTGCACTACTCCTTCTACGTATAATCAACATCATCATGATCTTGGTGATAGAAAACAAACTTCATGTGATCTGTCGAAAGATTGTTTCCATCATGACAATAACAAGAACTCTAGATGTGAGATAATGAGAGAGAGACATTTGTTATTTTCAAAGCATAAGAGTTTATTTTTATGCATGCATCAAAGTTTGGAACAAGCTGTAATCACTTCAATGTTTACTACAGCACAATATATTCAGGTGTGTCATACTAATTAAAAATATGCTTTTCTATTTATTTTCTCCTATCCCTTTTTTATTTTATTTACTTTAATGGATTTGTAGTGTGAGACTACAATTTATGGACGAAACAATCAGATTTAGGATAAAAGGTTTTGGATTTGATGCGAAATTCATTCATCCATTTGGCTAAATAACGTCTTGGCATTTTAGCTGATGTCAGTTCGTGATGAAAATCTTAAATCTAATTCTTAACCTCAACCATCAACTATGAATCATAATTCGATATGATTCTATCTGTACTAAGAAGGACCTGACATACATGACATTGATCATCAACCAATGATCAATTGATTGTAAATGCATCTCAATCCTACAGGAGGTCATTCGCGGCTCGAATTGCCCAGTTGTAACGTCTCTGACTGTGAAGCTGGGTATCATGGGATCGAATCTGTCAGGGAGCACCGGTTACACATTTTCGACCATTGCCAAATAGCACGAAATCCAGCTCCAGGGTTTCCTGTTGACTACCTCCAACCAACATCTTATCCCAACATAGTACACACAATGTCGAGTCACCTAGACTAGTGACCACATTGCATTTAATCTGCACTAAGAAGGATCTGATTGGCTGATAAATCAACTGAAACACTACTCGACTTATTCTTGATTCCGATTTGGTTCCCGATTTAGATTAGTGTAAAAATAGATGATAGATGACTAACCAGACCAAAACGCACAAACAGTTAGGAAAATACAATTATGTCCAAAACTGGGGATTAGCGTAGAAAAAAGAGTACAAAAGATTACGTTTAAATTACAATAGCTTCAGAACATCAAATGAAAGCTTATGGTCTGTAGAATAGATTAGGGACAAAATTAAATGTTACTGTTTTACAAGCTTTGAATTAAACAAGATAACCTCCCCAAAAATAGCTTTCGTAGTAAGCCAAGGCTTCTTGTTTCTCTGTTCACATCAAACCCTTACTAGTCCTGCTTAGGGATTCGAACCCAGGGCTTTCAGTCTCGCGCACGGACGCTCAACCTACTACCTCGCGAGCGGGATCGTGGATGCGAACTGATGAAGAGTCCCACAATAGGACGAAACGGCCGTCCAGTACTTCCAGGTTTTCAAGGGTGGTCTAACATCAGTCGGTTCAAGATCTCAATCAATAACTTAATAATCTCCATAACCCTATACTTATCTATAATCTCTATCACTGATTCATATTTTTTTCTCTCACCGAACATGTATATTCTTTCAGAGTGGTAATTTACTAAAAATTCCGAATATTTCAAATTATATAACAACGAATGATTTTATGAATTTATACAATAAAGCACTTGGTCGAATTCTTGTTTCACGTATACAATTACCAGAAATTGATGTAGCTGTCGATACCTTAGTTACCTATTTATTAAAACTATTTAATGAAGACTCTTATTTGTTGAATTCATGTTTAGCAACCCTACCACCAATGGTAAGTTGATTTCTAATGAAGACTATATTGAATTGTTTATTATGGTATTCATTGCTATGTGATATTTTTTATGGATTGATTTCTTTTTTTCGGCACCAGACAGCACTAGAAAGTTATACCATGATATTACGAAACTCTTTACGAGTCGAACTTAGGACGTTTTAGTCTTGTGGCAAGTCATCAATAATTAGACCACGTGCTTGTCATTCACCGATTAATGTCAATCATATTATTGACAGAATAGTGATTAGGCTTTATTTTTAGATTTTTTAAAACACCTGTTGATGCTTGATTATCATAGACGAAACCATGAAGACAGTCCACCGGTTAACTTGAGGAAGCTCTAAGAGGCTCATAAACAGTCTAAGATATTCCATCCCATCGTCTTGCTGAGGAATATTCCAGAATCCATAGGTGGAGCTTCCCTATTGGACAAATGCTAATAACCCCATGTATGCGGATTGGAGGACTATAATGATGATTTCCTGACCGTAGCTGCTACCTTGACGCGGTGGTCGGGCTTACCTACCATGCCAGGCAGGTCGATTGGAGAACAGTAAGACTATAAGCAGCAACTCAATGTCTGAGAGTGAAGTCGTACTGCTGAGTGTAGGGGGAGTGACAGCAGTATGGTGTTTCCCTCAGAAAACCAGCATCTGCAGCGGTGCTACCTTCCCACAAGGAGGGGTGGGGTTGCAAAAGGTCGACCCTAAAATTGTCACACCTCACCTTACCTCACGGATTTCCGTCTCTGGCAGTAAGGCCCTTTGAAGAACGGAGATAACACATTAAAAACCTTCCACGAAAAGGCCGTGCGCGACCGGCCTCAAGTAGTTGTACCTTGGGCTCTGCGGTCACGCTCTCAGGTCGTTAAGACAAACACTAATCCGATTTCCTTTTCAGGTTCCTCAAGAAATACCCTTCGTTGGTGTGGGCAGCCGGGAAGTGACATCAGCCCTCATACCCGTAACAGCACACGAAACCAAGTTGGTCGCACTCAAATCCTTTCTACACTTCCTAATACCTCTCTTATCTCCATGACTAACCATTCTCACGTCCGTTTATCACCTCGCACCGCCAGGGCGAACGATTCGAGTACTCGGAACGCTATTCCTGGTCTCCTAAAACTACGCTCTAAACTACACATAGGAGCTTTTAACGTCCGAACACTGTGCCAAATAGGACAACAGGCTTCCTTAGCTAGGACTTTAGAATCCCGCGCCATCGATGTGTGCTGCGCCTCCGAAACGCACATACAGTATCCGAGTAGCGTCATTCATTTGACCTCACCATGCCAAAATAAAGAACCGACTCGATTCACACTTCGTGTATCTGGAAGCCCTAATTCTGCTTCCCGTGGCCTCGCCGGTGTAGGTATAACATTGAGTCCTAGAGCAGAACTAGCTCTCTTAGAGTGGATCCCAGTAGACAGTCGTTTGTGCGCTGTCCGACTGAACGGAACTGTAAGGATCGGAAAAGATAGGGACACTCGTCGTTGTTTCTTCTTCGTCTCTGCCTATTCTCCCACTGACTGCAGCGCAAATGATGTAAAAGATGAGTTTTACGGAAAGTTCTCCGACCTTCTCTGAAAAGCTAGACACTCTGATGTAGTAATAGTGGCCGGTGACTTTAATGCTCAAGTAGGTAAACTAAGCGATAGGGAAAGACACCTGGGTGGATCTTATAGCATTGTGGCTCAAAGAACAGATATTGTCGACCGTATGTTGCAACTATGCTCAGATAACCGCCTCTTTCTTGCAAATACCAACTTTAAGCATAAGGAAAAACATCTTTTAACATGGAGACCCCCTAATTCGTCCCAACATTGACTCCGAATAGATCACACCGCTACCAGCCACCGATAGAGGGGCTCGATAGAAGACTGTCGCTCATTCTGGAGCACATGCTTAGATTCAGATCATGCTCTAGTACGAGCGCGTATCTGTCTGCGTCTTACTGGACGTAGGAAAGACTCTGCAAGGAAGCTTCTTAGGCTCCTATTTAATGATAGTCAAGTTAATAATCTATTTCAGGAACAACTAGGAAAACAGTTAGGCAGCCATGTATGTGATGCCCACCCCGAGACAGCATGTAATGATATCTGAAAAGATGTGGAAACAGCAGCAGGCCCTGACAGGTTTACTCCTGAGATTTTTAAGGATGGTGGTTCAGTATTTGCAGTGAGATTAACTGAGGTCTTAGGTAGAATTCGGAACTGGACGTAATCACATCTGACTGGTCTCAATCACTGATTGTGCCAGTTTTTAAGAAAGGACAAATGTCCTCTTGTGACAATCACAGAGGAATCAGTTTGACAAATATAGTGTCTAAAGTATTAGCTTCAATAATACTTCGACGTCTAACTAGAGCTCGTGAAGAGCAGACTAGAGAAAACTGGGCTGGTTTTCGACCTGGACGTGGTTGTATAGACCAGATGTCGTGACACTACGTCGGGTTCTAGAACACAGACACATATGAACTCGTGACAATACATGAAAGTCATCCACCTCTATTGGTGATATCTATTTCAATTATGATATGGTTGATTTCCACTGATAAAAGTTTCCCAATAGAACTCCAGGAATAACCTCTAGAAGTTAGTCCATAGTTATCACATAGTGATTGACTAATCAAAATGTCAGTATAACCAACTAATATGCAGACCAATAAACATTAATCAGTACAACATAGATATCAATTTGTAGTTGGTCTGTTAAAATCAAAGCAGAGGCTGGGATATATGTGCTATAGCGGCGAAATCCACTTAAAAACATGATTCATCAGTTTACTGAAATAACGTAATGCCGTAATAAGTAAAGCCAAACATTTTTTAAAGTCAGCATAGAAAGATAAGTATGAAGAAATAAATAAACTGATAATCCAAATAAATATAAAGGTTGTATTCATCTGTAACATTGTTTCCCTATTTCAATCTATTTTACTGAATATTTGCAACCAACGAAAATGATTATCGTGTGGACCTCAACTAAATTAGCTATATCTACCAACATGGTTGAATTTTATAGTCAACGACTTCATGGATGAATGCCACCTTACACATACCTAAATTAATGGTTGCTCCGGTTGTCAGAAGGGGTATCAGTCTCATGACTTCCAAAAGAAATCAGCTTTCACCATGAGTCGTCATATCTCTTCTAAATGAAAACCTTCTAACTCCCAGGACAGAGTTCGAATAGTTATTATATTTTCTGGTTAGCGCTTTTTTAGCGAGTTAGTTTTCCACGTAATGAGCTCGCTAATCCCATGTCCAACCCTCCACCTTTATCCGGGCTTAGGACCGGTAGTAGCCTCAGAGGAGCTCCTCCAGGTGGAGTTTTATTTTAATCATTTCTATCTTTCTTCCAACTTGCAGTGAGATTCAGTTACTTTTACTGGCTCTTTCACAAAAATAATCAGTTGCTACTTTTATTTTGTTATAACTTGTACCCTGTCCTATTAATGCATAACATAATGATACTGCCAATTAGAGAACAGTGAATTATCGATCGAATCAATGACGCATAAAAACCCGTACGAGCATTCTAGATTCCTTATCGATCCTTTTCCCAACCTAGCCCAGCCTGTTAAGTACAGAACACCAACATCAGCCTCTGCGATATGAATCATGTACTGGGTTTATATACCAACCAAACAGACTACATCGTACCGTAAAATAGGAAACAACATTTGTACAAGATTTAGCCAAATGTGTCTGTGAATGAGGGAGACAGACTGGGCATAACTCAAGAATAGTAAATTGTATCATAATAGTTCATAGGTCAAAGTAAAGCTTATAATAATAGGAACATGAATATGAATAGCTTGGTTATGTATAGTATTAGTCCATAAATAGATTCTCAAAGTTACCCTTCATTATTCTCATTGAGATATAATATATTTATTCATATCCTATTTTCTATTTTATCAATTATTTAGTATTCTCCTACATTTTGGAATAATCTAATCACTATAAAATATTGGTTACATCAAAATCTATCAACATGGTTCACATATATATCATCAAATACATTAGATATTTATCATAATATAAATCATGATTTATTATTTAACTTAACAATTAATAATGAAACGAATATAATATCTAATTATTATATAAATCAACAATTAACTCAATTATATACAATTATTGAAATGATACTTATCAATAATCATATTATCAGTAATAAATCAATACAAAATTTACCATCTATATTATTATCACCTTGGATACAAGAGAAATTCAATCATGTTACACAATCGGAATTGTATACATATAGTGATATAATTAAAATTGAATATAATAAACTTGGTGAACAATGGAAATTATCATTGCCTAATCTAAACAAATTGATACATTTAAAATTAACTACAAATAATAAAAGTGTATCTATGGTTCATGATAAAAAGGTTTGTAATTGTGAATATTGTTGTGTTTTTTTTTTCTTCTTTTTAATTTATTTAATAGTTGAATTCATGAATCAATTGAAGCTAGATCAGCATGGAAAACCTGCAAGTATTAGATGGCCATTTTGTCCTAATGATTGGATTCAAAAGGTTATTTCCTGGAGTTCTAATGAGAAACCGTGTGTGTTGTGAGATAGTAACTCACTGATGACAGTGGTGGATGTGTCGCTGAATTTCATGGATTAGTTGATGTTAGACATTAACACCGTTGGATGCCGTCCGGCTCAGTGGTCTAGAGGCTAAGCGCTTGTGCGTGAGAATGATAAGGCCCTGGGTGCGCACTGCTGAGGAGTACCATAATAAAACGAGACGGTCATCCAGTGCTTCCAAGTTTTCATTGGTGATCTAACATCAATCTGTTCATGATCTCAATCAAAAATTAAATAACTATACAGTTTCCTTAGCACGTTTATGATTTTTTTTCTTCAGCTTTAAGTAAGTAGATAAGAAGCTTTAAAATGATTTTCGTATCTGTTATCATTAACCTTCATTAATCATACGAACTGACAGAGATCAGACTAAAATAAGTGATATTTGATTGAAGAAAATTTATAGTTTCTAGTTAAAAGTAAACAAATGAGCAATTTATCTACCAGAATTGTAAACTTCAAGGGATTACATCGTGAAATGTTTTCAATTAGTGGAATATTCAATAATCTGTCAAGTTCTATAAATTCATGATTTCATCTTGATGAAGATTTCAAATCTTTAAAATTCTGTCAAGAAGATCATTCTATGAACTTTTGTGACCAGTTTTAGTGATTAACACTTTTTTAATTTGGCAAACGGAAGTTTTTGGGCTTTTTTTTAAGCTTTATAATTTCATGTGAATTACTGTCATCGTAATCATAAGCAGAAATTAATTGGAGTTAACTGAATGTTTCCTTCCATTCTAAACAAAGTTTATCTGGTATCAATCATGAAATGGAACACCGAAATCTTCATGTCTTGTGGTTAGAAATATGGGTCATTATATTCTGATGTTGTGGTTGAACATATTCTTATTCACTTTAAGATCTTGTTAGTTCTAGGTTCTGTCTTTTTTAAGTTCCCTAATGTTAGAAGTTAAATCAGTGTTTAATATTCCAACTTATCTAATTGTTCAACAGAAATCTCATCTTCATATAGCAATGCTTAGAATATTGCCTACATATTTATTTTATCAACTTGTTTATCAGTCAGTCACAACGTAGAACTTCGTACGTACGTATGTACGTACATCAGTTCGAGTTGCTATAACACATTAACACAGAGATGCAGTTGTCCATTAAAATCCCGTAGTGGTAAAGGTAGTAAGAGTGTAAGCAGTGATCGGAAAGATTAGGGTTCGAACATGTTATTCAACGAGTATAATCCAGTTAAATAAATTTGGAAAGAGAAAAAGAAAAGGGACATGAAGAATTCGGAAGAACACAAAGAGGGGATTCATCTGCACTGTTGAAAACGATTTGAAGCCATGTCATTCAAGGTCTCTAACCATCGATTGCTATCATCTCGCTAATTCCAACCAGGTATTCTACATCTACCAACACTCTGTCCACTTGTCAGTGACTTCATAGATTTGTTTGTATTCACTAATTCCATTGTATTCTTAATTGAATTATTCAAATCTATTCTTTTTCTGATTTGTCTTTTTTTGTTAACTTTTCAAGTCAATACTTGTTCAATTGATACAAATGTTTTGGCCAAAATCAACTAATAATAAATTAACAAATACTGAAAATCTTTTTTCATCATTGAATGTTTCATCGAAAAAATATTTACCAAGAAAATTTTCTATTACACAATTGTGTAATCAAGCACGTAAACAATGCGTTGATGGTCATAATGCATGGTTAGATGCTTATAGTGAACGTAAACGTATTGTAGGCCCATTAGGTACTGTACTTTGGGCTCGTGTAACTGAGCATTTAAGTCATAGCAGGTAATACAATTGATTTTTTTATGTAAATTTATGTTCTGATTTACTGTTTTACTTTTTTAAAGAGTTTAGCGAATATTTAGGAGAGATGTTTCTTTGTGACTGTGACTCGTCAGTTAAATATGTTTGCAGCAAATCGATTGTTTATTACTGCAAACCCCAAAGGGTTATATTCGTTATCTTTTAGATCATTTGAAATAACATTTCGGGATTTTAAACGACAGATATTTAGTTCAAGTCTCAGTGTGAACAGTAATATTCAAGTAGGTACAAGTGTGTTCACTAAATAAAGCAAAATGTTCCTTGTAGACTTTACTAATACTCACAGTCCTAAATCAAACAGTCTTGGAAATACTTGAAATATGAAGTCATTTGTTTAAGTAACCCATAAACCAACAGAATCTGATTTTGAAGCCATTAATCGATAGTTGATCCTTCTCTGATTCGAACGCCGTCCTATCTACCCCCACTGTAAACAGCCGAATAATAGTATTACATGAATTGTTTGGTTTATTTCGTTCAATAAAAATGATTTATATGCTTATCAATTATAAATCGATAGTATCGAGATATGTAGTAATGGTCAGACAGTTTGTGACATGTATATACTTCATCATGATTCAAATGGAAACTCTTGTTTAATGTCATGTAGAAGTGTGTGGAAGATAATCATTAAGACAAAATATTTTAATAGTGATTCCTTTGGTGTAAAATTTAGCTGTTGATACATTTATATTTGGTCGAGAGGTACGTTGTTATTGATTTTTCGATATATGACAAAAGGCATCCCTATGTAAGAGGTTGGAAGTGATATGAATAAAAAGAGCTTACCATTCCGTAAATTTATACATATGGGATCCACTGACACTGAATACTGAAAGTAATCAATAAAAATTTAGGAACAGTAACAGAACTACACATATGCAAAGATGGATAATGGATAGAAGTGAAATCCAAGACGCGCGTTCGAGCCCCACAGAGAACATCAACTCCAATGTGCAAGTACATCTAGATGACAAGTCCCAAATAGGATGAAACGCGCGTCCTAGATTCCACTGCTAGCGACTATCCATGTTTGCTTATAATGTTTGTGAATTAAGCCTATATCAAGGCATCACTCACTCAGGATGCACATATGCCAATAAGTGTCTGATCTACTACAGTCCTAAACATCAATGAGAAGATTCAAATAAATAATACCAAGTCAAAATTGGTTGATCACTGGGTGGTGATCAATGTCATGTGTATCAAGTCCTTATTTAGTGCAGATCGAATGCTATCGACCATGTTACAATGTGGCCACTAGTCTAAGTGACTCGACACTGCGGGCACTATGTATTGAGAATAGATGGTGGTTGGAGGTAGTCAACAGGGTGACACGGGATTAAATCCGCCAGGGAGCACCAGTTTCCTCAAGATTACAGGTACACCTTGCTGACGAGTGCCAAGTAGCGCGAGACCCGGGTTCAGGGTTTCCTGTCGACTACCTCCAACCACCATCTAATCTCAAAACAATGCCAAGTGAATTTAGATCTAAACATAGTTTATTGAATAAAAACAAAAGAAATTGAACTGATATTTTCGTGTCATTTTCGTTGTTGTTGTTGATAATGCTCTTATAATTTCTTATTTTGTTTGTTTGTCTGTCTTTTATTTCTATTTATAAAGAGGATTATTTTATCATTCAGAATCGACTCCATTCGGTTGGTGTGTTGATCCTGTAGAAGATTCATTACGTCAACATGGTCGATTTTATTATACACATTTACCAATGGCTGAACGTTTAATACATGCAACTTCACGATCGAATCTATGTAAGAAAAGATTAGATTTAGTTATCTATTTATTGTTTTTTTCTGTTTATGTAATACTTGTATTATTATTGAATAGATGGATGAAAAATATAAAGTGGAAGAATGTTGTATTTGTAAAATCTCAACAAATGAATTCGAAGTAAATTCAACGTTTCGTCTGGTAATCTAGTTCAAGCTTTTTCAAGGAAAATATAATCAAAATATCAAAATTATCAAATATAAATAAGGTACATGGTTCCCCGATTCACTGTATACTAAATATGTTATCCAATCCATGTTAACAATGTTTAAAGTTGAGATTGACATAAATGTGTAAGAGACATATGGTGTGAAACGAAGTGTTAATATAACTGATTGTGTTTATACGTAACTGAGTAGAAATTAAATTCACTATATATTGTCTTGGTCGGTGAATATTAAGAAAACATACAATTTTATAAGCAAAGATGGATAGTGGCTAGCAGTGAAATTCAGGACGCGCGTTTCCTTCTATTTGGGACTCGTCAATCGGATGTACTTGCATCCCAGTGTTGATGTTCAGGTGGCTATTAGGACTCAGTAGCTAAGTGGATAATACGATAGCATTTGAAGCGAACGGTACTGGGTTCGAGTCCCTGGGTGAACATCAACTCTGGCATGTAGGTACATCCAACTGACGAGCCCCAAATAGGACGAAACGCGCATCCTGGTTTATATTGCTAGCCACTATATATCTTTGCTTAAAAAGCTTGTGACTTAAAACTCTAACGAGGTAATCCTCACAGGATACACATATTCCAATAAGAGACTGAACAGTTGCAGTCCTAAATAAAAATAGGAAGATATAAGTAAAACAACATCAAGTGAATATAATTTTCTATGTGGTATGAATCAAAAATGTCACATCATGCATAAAATGAAGATAAGTAAACAAGATAAAAGACCGAATCTGAAGAGGAAGAATGTGTTTGTCAATGAATGTTTGTGTTATCTTAAGGTCCCAGTCAGTTGTTTAAATATTCAAATAAGACAACTAATTGGAACCATTGAATGTAATTGCTGTTATTCAGATAATAAGAGATAGATAGAATGGAATGAGTAGTTCAGGTTTACTTATTATTTACTGATTGCCATGGAACAGCTAATTGTATTTCATCTCTCATATTAATACTGTTTGGATTTGCCCATATATGTAACGCTTCGGCTGTTAGTCTCTTTTTGTAAGAATCAATGCCTTTTTTAATGATTCTTGTGCCATTGAAATTACTTGTATGACCCGATGCTATCGCTGATTTGTTCTCTAGTTTTCTTACATCAACTGAAGATTTAGGAATGTACTTTAAGCATAGTTTGTGTTCCTTCAACCTCACATTCAGTTGCCTTGATGTTTCACCTACATACGTTACGTTACAGTCACTACATTTGATTTCATAAACACAATTCTATTGTTCCTTCTTGTGTATTGGATCATTGATTCTTACTAGTTTTAATCCTAAAGGATTGCTTGTTCGAAAGAATACTCTCATATTTTGATAAGTTAGAATCCTTCTGATCTCTTCTGAAATAACTTTACGATATGGGATCACCACTGTGTTAATCCGTTCGTTTTACTTAACTCTTTTGTAATATCGTTTTGTTCTTCATTCTTAATTATTCTTTTAATAAAATCTCGTTTTATAATGACAAAAGTGTCATCTACGTATCTTAACCAAATCTTCGGTGTAACGGAACACTTGATGGTAGTCTAACATCAATCGGTTTGTGATCTCAATCAAGAACATAAATCTCCACAACCTCATTTTGATAACTGTCATGAGCTCAATAGTGACTAGTTTCGTAAGGAGATTCTCAGAGTCCTAGTGCGAAGCTGTGACCAATGGAGCTATTCCGTGTCGGGTAGAAACAGGTGTCTACCTAAGTACCATAGAAGATGGTCGCACAATTTTGTGGTTTAGTTGGGTTTAAGCATTAACACTGTTAGATGGCGGCTCGGTGGTCTAGTGGTTAAACGTTCGCGAGCGAGACGGAAGGCCCTGGGTTCGAATCCCGCGAGTGGTGTTGTGGATGAGCACTGCTGAAGACGAAACGGCCATCCATTGCTTCCAGGTTTTCAAGAGTGGTCTAACATCAATCACTCCATGATCTCAATCAAAATATCATGGAATCTCTTCTAAGTTTATTTGAAATTATAATCTACTATTCAAGTCGACCTAATGAGTTGAGTTCAAAATTATATTAAAATTGTTTCTATTCACTAGATTTTCCAATTGTAGAATCGAAACATTTTGATGTGAACCCTTATCGTGTTTACTTTGAACCACATAAATGGTCTAGTCTTTGAGATAAACTAATTTGTATTTAATGTTCTTTAGATATTATTTCATCTGATTTTGTGCCAGTAGATATTCATCATCCTGATTTGTTAATAATCTTGAAAGAACTGATATTCTATTTGATTGATTGCCTCATCTAGCTCCATAGTCGGAGATGCTTTCATTTGACCTCCTGTAAAACTAGATATTTGCAAAAGATTCATCAATGAATGGTAGTAATCAATATCATTTTTGTTGGAACATTTAGTGTTGATTGAATTTTATCAGTTTCGTTGCAGAATCTCAGTATAATCCTCTTACTGGTGTGTACATTATATTAATAGGTCACACTAAAACCTAATCAATAGTGCTAATCAAATTATGTAAATAAGCTAGTCTGATTGATTAGGTATCACGTACACCCCATTTTGATGTAACAGGGTAAGAGGTAGTCGTCAGGAAATCCTAGACTTGCGTTTCATGGTGTTAACATTAGCACAAATTGCATCTGCAATTTTGTTAGTAATGGCCGTTCTTATGGTATTGAAACCCATTTTAGCCAGTGCGTAACCTGAATACCTCAGTGGTAAAATCTTGCAATGTGAACCTGAATAACATGGGTTGAAATTTTACAAGAATCATCATTTCCTTCAAATTTTCAGTTACATCTTAGTGATATATACTAAGTAACACACTATTTACTATCAATAACCCACACTGAACTAGTATTCAACTTTAAGCCGCCATTTCAATATTGGTTTTATTTGTAAAGAAAAGTATCGTTATATCAATATTATTGCTTCTCGTTTCTTAATTTTACAGTATCTGCGCGTCAATCACATCCACTTGCCTCGTTAATTGGTTTACCATCAATCATGAATCATTCTCCACCTGTAATTGGTGCAGCTTGTACATGGCATAATTTACCATTATGTTTACCATTATCATCTATTCCATTAATACAATTAGCATCAGCTAGCCGATATCATATTCAAGCTGTTTGGGCATGTCGTTTAATTGGTATTCTACATATTCCACCTATTGAAGGTGATTTAATACTTGGTCAAACATGGTTAAGATTTCAACCTGATCCATTAATGAATAGAAATTTATTGATAAATGATGATTGTAATAATAATGACAGTAAGAATGTGCAATTTATTGAGATTGTAAGTAGATTATTATTATTATTTCAATTTGATCGATATTACTTTGTGTTTTGTTATTTCCTGTAAGTTAAAAATGGTGGGCAAAGACCAACACTTTTTTACTGTTTAAGCGAAGATCGATAGTGGTTAGCAATGGAATTCAGTTTGACGCGCGTTTCGTCCCATTCGGGACTCGTCAGCTGGATTTCCCTGCATCCCAGAGTTGATGTTTACTCTGAGACTCGAACCGAGTACCGTTCGCTTCGAACGCCACTGCATTCTACACTTAGCTACTGAGTCATGGTAGCGACGTGCTTGTATAATGTAGTGGTTTTTTCATACGTAGACAAATATGACCCATACTAATTGCTCGTTAAGCAATTGTAACAATAAATGTCATGTTTATCAATCCTTTTTGCTGATCAAGTTATAACTACAAAGTTGAATTGTAATTTAACATAATATACAATATATTGAAACATTAAATGGTTGGAAATTGTCACTAGAATGATCCGTTTGACTAAGGTTTTGTGCTAGTTGTCACTTGTCAGCATAATGTACATACCTACAACTTAATTTTTTTTATAGTTATGTTAAAGCTACGATTAACATAGACAAGTAAATTAGAGATTGCTTTTCATTCATATAGTCACATTACTTTCACTCATTTGATCATGACTTTTTGAAATCTTTCAATTTCCCCGTATCATTTACTTTCATACATTGATAACATGAATTACAATTTTTGTTTTAAGGAATGAATAAGTTTGCATTAGAAATAAGGACTTTAAATTACATACTATAAAGCATATTCTCATATCATTTTATTAGTGAACTTTACTGAGTTCAACACTTTGTTTTTGTATTTAGTATTGAAGTGATTCAGTTTTGTTTACTTAGTGCATTAGATTGATTTTTCTTAATTAATTTTTAACACAAAATCTCTTTTTAGCTTCATGTCGTTTTATGTTTTGTTTGAAAAAAAAAATAGTGTTACTGGATATTTTACGGTCAAATTACGTCTTATCATAAATGTTGTTTATCTATAGTAAACGAGCACTTAGGTGGAGACGATCGATTCATTGTTTGATTATAAAATTACAGAGTTCTTTCATAAAATATAAAAACCATAATTCGTTTGCAAATCGTCCATCAGTTGTCTCAATTCTCATCGTTCCTTCACTGCTATTACAATTACTATCTGTTCCCATTCTCTTCAATTTGATCTTCTGAACCTTCTGCTGTCAGGAGTTCCACTTCCAATTAGTGTTACATACTACTTATGTCTGTTGATATAAATAGCAAACACCATATATCACCTTTCTGCTTAGCGTTTTTGAAAGGATTCTACGATACAACACAGAATGCATCAATCCAATCACAATTGACGGAGAAGATTTGGATGATGTAAAAACCTTTACATATTTGGGCAGCATCATTGATGAACATGGTGGATCTGATGCAAATGTGAAGGCGCGGATCAGCAAAGCAAGAGCAGCATATTTACAATTGAGGAACATCTGGAACTCAAAGCAACTGTCAACCAACACCAAGGTCAGGATTTTCAATAGAAATGTCAAGACAGTTCTACTATATGTGGTGGAAACCTGGAGAACGACGAAAGCCATCATCCAGAAGATACAGGTGTTTATTAACAGTTGTCTGCGCCACATACTTCAGATCCGTTGGCCGGACACTATTAGCAACAACGTACTGTGGGAGAAAACAATTCAGATCCCAACGGAGGAAGAAATTAGGAAGAAGCGCTGGAAGTGGATAGGACACACATGGAAGAAAGCACACAACTGCGTCACAAGATAAGCCTTCACATGGAATCCTCAAGGCCAAAAGAAATGAGGAAGACCAAAGAACACATTACGCCGAGAAATGGAAATAGACATGAAAAAGATGAACAAGAATTGGATGGAATTAGAAAAGAAGGCCCAGGACAGAGTGGGTTGGAGAATGCTGGTCGGCTGCCTATGCTCCATTGGGACTAACAGGCGTAAGTAAGTAAGTAATATATCACCTTAGATGAGGGATAGGGATATGATTTCGCAATGTCCAACATCCGTTTAAGGTTTTTTGTTTATATCTTTTTATAATTACGTTCTATGAACTGATTTTATTACTTTAAAAAAATGGATCTATCTCAACGACTTATATATATATTCACACTTTTCTACATCTATTTGTATACTGATGGATTCTGTAAAGTATATGATTAGCTGAGGCTGGTATTGAAAGTAAAAGTCAGAAAGCTTCTCATTTTCGAAATATAGAGTCTAGCATGAAAGATAGATCTGTATTCCTGACATCTGTTGGTTTATCATGACTCGTTGGTTGAAGTTTTAAAGGCTATACAACTCCGTGACTATGAGATTGTCATAAGACATAGTTCAGAGTTCAATTTACAGGAAGTTTTGTTGTGGTATCCCAGCTAACTTATGAGACAATATTTATGTACATATCTTATTTTCCTGTTTTTGCGGCATTTTTCTTCCGAGCCAAAAGATTATGTATTATAAATAAAAAGAATAAATCTGTTATTGTATTTATACAATTCTACCAATCAAATCACATTTTGTTTTCTTTATTTAGGAATCATTATATCCTTATCAAAGTCCTTCTAATCGATTATGGTTTGCATGGTCTTTCAAATCAATTCATCATATTGAAGCACGTCGATATTCATTGCGTGATATTGCAGTAGAAATATTTCCCGATGAAACAGATGTGAATGCACCAATGCTTTTTGCTATGTATTCTTCTAAAGTAAGTTAATTAAATTAAATAAATCAGCTTTCAAATGAACAAGTTGTCTATGCCGACTTCACACTTCTTTATCAAGTTTGAACTTCTACTTATCATTACTAATAAGAGTTTCTAAAAAAAAATAAGTACATAAGACTCTACTAGATAAGTGAGTCACATAGTTTCTATTATTATCATTATTACTTCACTTGACAACATTAGTATTTGTGAAATGGTGGAGAAGATTTGTAGCTCAGGTGGATGATTTTGGTGGAGTTTTGTTTTCTGAGCTGGATGGTTTGTATTTGTGTCAGATAGATAGATTTATAAATATATCAACTAGTGTCTTCTGTTTCGGGTTGTCAGGTTCTGCTTTAAAAACGTTACTTAATTACTTCGCCTGTTACTCCTCATGGAGGAGCATAGGACACCCACCAGCATTCTCTATCCAACCCTGTCCTGGGCGATCCTTTCCAACTCCTTCCAGTTCTCATTCATCCTCTTCATATCTGATTCTATTTCCCGACGTAATGCGTTCTTTGGCCTTCCTCTTTTCCATTTTTCTTCAGGATTCATTATTTGGGCTTCCCTCATGATGCAGTTTGATGATTCCTCACATGTATGTCCCATCCTTTTACATCGTCTTCTCCTAATTTCCTCTTCAACTGGAAGTTGTTTTGTTCTCTCTCACAGTAGTCTGTTGCTGATGGTATCCGGCCAGTGGATATTCAGTACCTTACGTAGACAGCTATATATAAATACTCATACCTTCTTTATGAAGGTTGTGATCCTCGAAGTTTTAGCTCCGTACAGTAGTTCTGACTGTGTTGATATTCGTATCGAAGATTGTGACTTTGATTTTGGTTGACAGACAGTTGTTTTGAGTTTCATATGTTCTTCAATTGTAGGAATGCTGTCCCTGCTTTGCCAATCCTCGCCTTTACATCTTCATCTGATCCTCCTTGTTCATCGATGATGATGGTGATGATGAAAGCCGATTTCCTTTAAAAACGTAATCTTGACTAGTTTCCATATTAGTCAAAATCGTGAGTTTTTTTTTAGAAAAGCGATAAACGTTACTATCGATACATCTAAACAGTATTCCTAGACGGTCCTGATTACTCCAACTTGAACAAAAGACAGAAGGCGTGAACCGAGAGTAAACTTTTTACTCCAAGATCATTTTGCGTATGGGAAAAAGCGATGGTATCTATAGAGTTACACTCGGCCTTTGGCTCCTAGAAATTTCCAGAACTATAATGAATATATTAACAGTATAGGTAAATACTTAGTCAAACCATAAGACATGGTTCTGTATTGTCTAGACTTTTCTCCGCAAGATTTTTATTCAACGAGTATTGGATAAAATGTTCTCCAACGTTTTCAAGCTTATATAAACTTTAACGATTGATGTTTTCAGACTCCTCTAACAAAAAGCGTGTGCTTTTCCTCTAACTAATCATAATGGTGGTCGCGTGTTTGTCCTGTTATCTGAACATATCTTTTCTGATGTGCCTGTTAAACATTTGATTAAGTTTATTTTGCAATAAATGGCCATGAAACTAGGGATGGTGTTTATATGCGTGCAGATAAACGTTCTATAGACACATTTCTACTGAAAAGATTATCTTATCTGCCTGATGAAACATCGACGAACTGTAATTTGTTGTTTTTAACGCTCCTCCTCTTCACAAATGATTTCATTTTTCCGAATTTCCACTAATAAACTTCTCCTATAGTTCTATTTTTCCAATACACTGATCGACAATAATGAATGTGTCATCGATGCGAATGCACGTACTGCTTTAGTTTTGCACCTATTCATTATATGAGCAACCTAAATATTATATGTACTATCCTAATGGATGATATCACTGTTCTCAACTTTTCACTCATCCCATCAATTAATATCAACAAGAAATCATGAACTTTACAGTGTAATCTAGGAAATTACTTACTGTTGATTTTGCTCCTCAGATATTATACTAACTTGTTCTATGATCAGTTATATATATATATATATATATATATATATATATATATATATATATATATATATCAACTGAATTACTATACTACTTTCTTTACTTAGTAGTATAGTTATCAGTACAATTAGTCCCAATACTTATTGAGTTAATTTGCCGAGATGAATATTACTCACTCTAATTTCTATATTTTGTAATGGTGGAGAAGATTTGTAGCTCAGGTAGGTGATTTTAGTGGAGTTATATTTTTTGAGCTAGATGCATCTTATACAAACCAAAGGACGAAATGACAAATGAAGAAAATCTGAACATCATCTACAAAATAAATTCTTAAAACTGCGAAAAATGCCACATCGGGCAAAGTGGACGCCCTCTTCATCTTCACCATGACGAATATCAATTAGCGGTCAAACTCCATAACATATCCTCGCTCATATTAATCCATGTGGACAACTGTGGATACATATTCGTCTGGGAAAATATTGAACTTTTGGACATAGAGGATATCAAAAACACCAAAGTATTTTTCAGGCACTTGGCACTCAGGTCAGTCAACAATCAACAAACACATCGAAATGAATACAGTTTATCAACCAACCCCAAGAAATCATGGATAAATCTAGAACCAAGAATCAAATCAACGGGAGATATAATCAAAATAAAGAATTAAACAATCACAGGTTAAATGTCATTAATAACCGATCAACATTGAGGTCGACAAGATAAGGTGTTAGTCGTGTGTGAAGAAACGCAAACATTTCGCTTCTACCTGACGTTTATGCTGATGATGTCGTTTAAAAGAACGAAGAAAGCTCCACGATCAAACCATCCAGCTCAAAGAACAAAACTCCATCAAAATCTATATTTTATCCGAGTTTTACAAACTAGATATTTTGTTATATAATAATTCTTTCTTATATTTATTTCGTTTAAATTATAGGACAGGGATAATTTTATCGAAACTATCACTCCTTTAATTGGTCATCATTCATGTTATTGTATTCATCACTATCATAATCCATTATTAGTGAATACAAATGAACAATCTGACATGTCTATTCCTCTCCCGTCGAATGGTCACCATCATCATTCTACTTTTAAAAAATTTAAAAAATGTAAATTACAGAATGTACAACAAGCATGGTTAAGTGGTGAATTATCAAATTTTGATTATTTAATGAAATTAAACACAACTGCTGGTCGAAGTTATAATGATTTAATGCAATATCCTATATTTCCATGGATTATACGTGTATGCCTATTTTTTGTTGCTGTTGTTGAATAATTTAGTAAAATGTTCTTCTCTCTGTTTACTTTTACTTTAAATTTTGTATTTTGAAATGGTGGAGAAGATTTATAACTTAGATGGATGATTAAGGTAGAGTTTCGATTTCTGAGCTGGATGATTAGGTCGTAAAGCTTCAGATAGCTTGTGTTGATGATGTTGTCCAGAAGAACAATGAAAGCTTCACAACCAAACTATTCAGCTCAGAGTGGAACAGTACCTAAATTCTGTATTTAACTGTATATGCTTGGGATGTGGTTATCTGTAATGTTGCCATATTCACTAAGTATATCGTACTTGAACTTTTCTACACTTATTTGTTCATTTAGTGGACAAATATAAACTATTTTGAAAGCGTACGTTTTATCAAAAACTTCATTTCAAGTCTTATACTTTAATAAATGCATATTTTTTAATTCAATATCATAGATAACAACCAGCATAACAGTGATGCTGCCTTCCCACAAGCAAGGGTGGGGTTAGAAAAGGTCGTCCCTAAAAATGCACACCTCGCCTTATCCCACGGACATCTGTCTCCGACGGTAAGGTCTCAATAAGTACGGAGCTAACACAAAAATTAACCATAAAAAGGTCGTGTGTGACCGACCTCAATCAGTTGTTCCTCGGGCACTGCAGTCACTCTCTCAGGTCACTAAGACCACCCTTAATCCAATTTCCTTTATAGGTACCTCCAGAGGAACCCTTTCAGGGTGTGAGCAACCGGGAATTGATAACCGTCTTCATACTTCTAAAAACACTCAACATCACTGTATTCATAATCAACCTCCCTATCCGATTCCTATTATTTCTTCTACTTCTAATAACATGGACGAAACATACTTTTAAGGCTTATTTTACGTAGATAATGGAAGCAACAAACAGCTCATCATTAATGCATGTACCTGATTGGTTACTACGATTGGACTCCCGAAATTACAAAATGAAATTTGCAAATAAGTCCTATTAACATCTAAGGGACAATGTTGAAAAGTACAAATCTAAATGATTGATATGTGTAGTTGAGTATCATGATACAGTTTTCAGATGGTCAACTTTGGAGTGGCTTCATTTCAATATGTAAAATTGTTTTTATTTTAAATAGTTTATTGATATGCGCTGTAACATGTTGATTATTTTGTATTATTGATAAGTTCTCAGCCAAAGAATAAAGTTACTCACTAATGAGTAATAATTTATTAATTTTTTAGTTTAAGGGGTTGAATTACATCTAATCTTAGTGTTGGGCAAGCACCGATAACCAGGAAGAATTGAACAAAAAATATCAACCTTGTTGAATGTGAGGCGTTCGAAAATGGTTGCGGGTTGATTTGATTTATCAATCCGAACCTTTGTATAACGACTCAATAGTCTAAATTCTAGGCACTTGCTAAGAGACTGAAATATCATGAGTTTAAACCTTATTAAAATCGTAAATCCCCACTGTTGAAGAGTCGCGTACTCCAGTTCTTCTAAGCTTTCGTTGGTTGTTTGACTAAAGTCAGTTCGTGATGTTTACTTTGCTTATTAATTTAATAATTTGTTACGTTTCCTTTCCTATTCTTCTTCCTCAATAAACTGTGATACATATTGTTTCCCTTCAGTGAATGCTTAAAACTCTGTATAATTTATTTCATTAATTTTGTATATATAAATCATACTCCTTAGTTATTGATCAACTAAAATATTCGTTAACTGGTTAAGGAATTCTGTCGACTTATGTACTGCTCTTCTTTTTTTTGTTAAAGGATTATGAAAGTCTTGTGTTAGACTTAACCCAACCAACTTCATTTCGACGATTAGATCGTCCAATAGCTGTACAAGAAGACGATAGAGCTGAAGCTGTAGCAGCACGATTCAATGAAGCTGAATTACTATCCAAGACATCATCTACATCACATCCAGAAGCATCGGGAATAAAATCAAAAACGTCTACTTTATCGAATTTAAGTAGTGTTTGTCCACCATATCATTATCCAGCGCATTGTTCAAATGAAGCAATTGTGTTACATTTTCTTGTTCGTTTACCCCCATACACTTTTCGTCATTTACGTTTTCAAGGTGAACTATACAAGGGCATTTTTATTTTATTTCCCTTAACAGTTTAGATTTTTACCGTTGTCTTTTATTTGAATGTTCATAAGTAGCTTAGATTTGTCAATGATTAAGGAACAGTAATTGCCTCACAATGGCCACATGTGTTTTCAGCGTCCTTAAAAGCTGAGATCGCGGATGGATCTAGAGTAGACAAGTGTTGAAAACCTAAGAAAACTGTCTTCCTCCCTCAACATTGCACATCCACAACTTTGCGTCGGGAACTCGGACTCATGGCCTTCAATCTCTCGTGTAAAGACTTGACCTCTAAACCGAGATCCGATGGGGGAAAAAGTCTAAATTCATCCAGTGCACCAACGTCAACCAATATGTCTTTAATTTCTTGGCAAATCAATAGGTCGAAATCAGTGAAGTTGAGTCGTAGAGTGAATTACTAACAGAGTAAAATGGATTAATGTTTGATATAAATTTCCATTCATTCTGTGATTATGAGCATCAATTCTTTCTAAATGGAATTTATTTCTTGCTGACAAGTTCTAACTGTCATAAAACTAATGAACGTTTTACTATTTTTCCTTTCTATCACTTTATGTTATATAGTACATCTTAATTTTGGATTTTGGTAATCTACGAGAGTATGATTCCAACTTGATTGATAGAATCTAATCAGTATTTAACAGTAAACTAACATAAAATTAGTTAGTACTCAGTAATGAATTAATGAAAATATCTTAGTTCTACAGGAGATCAATTATGGCTTGACTAGTTTACAGATAACGTCTATATCCACTTAGCATCTCAAAATCGTACACAAGACATTAAATTAATTAGATTATTGGCTAAATAACTATTTGATCGATTGAATTCGATCATGACTAATGAGCCAGATAGCATAGGTTATTGCTATGCGATTAATTAAGTAACTTCTTCAGATTAAAGTCACAAACCTGCGCTAATTATCGCTTGGTGACTGGTTTAACAGCACTACTGATGGTTGGAAAATGTACATAAATAACTTATTAAGATAACCTATATTCGCTGGTTATTCTTTTTTTAAATTCATGAATTAAGAAGGCACTCTGCATTACATTACTTACCTGACTGATAATGATACCGACATATCAATAACCAAATGTGTTATATCCGGACGAAGAATATGTTAATAGTAACCGCTAGGATCTATTTATAGACTGTTATTATATATGTATTCTTATTGTATAACTATTGAGTAACTACCCGACAGTTGTTGCTACCCTGACGTGGCGGTTGCGCTTGCCCATCTAAATGAACCAATCGAGCTATGCTGGCTGGAACAATCGTTCCTCAAGGTCCTACCATGCCAGACAGGTCGGTTGAAGAGCGCTGAGACTAAAAGCAGCAAACCCAAGGTCTGAGGGCGGAGTCGTACTGCTGATTGTACAAAGGTGTGACGACAGTAAGGTGTTTCCTTCAGACAACAAGCATAACAGCGATGTTCCTTCCCACATAGAAGAGTGGAATTAGAAAAGGTCGACCCTAAAATTGCACACCTCCCCTTATCCCACGGATATCCGCTTGCGGCGGTAAGGTCTCGACAAGTACGGAGTTAACTCGAAAATGTCTGATCCTACGTTGTAACTGACTGACTAAGTAACTATACCGTACATATATCCATATTCCTTTGATTATAAGCTTTCGTTATTAGTTACAGTATGCCATACTCACAGCTACTTTCAACTTGATCTTATCTACCTGTCATTTTTTATCTTATGGTGTGATGCGGTCTTATTTGCTTATATACAAATTACGTATGTTTGAAATACATGATTCATACAGCGGAAGCTGAAAATGTGTTCTGAACTCAAACGGACATGGTTAAGTGAGAAGAATAAATAAGAACTCAGATTTGACTCTAAGCTGCTCGTACTGATTAACGTGTCATTGGTTTAGCACAGTATGAAGGTCGTAGAAACCGATATTCTGATTGGCGTTTTAGTCATGTGATATACTAACAGGACTATAAGGACATAACGAAATGCAATCTGCCAAATAATTGAATCCATAATTGGAATCCACTATATCGTTAATTCATTTTCTACTCTTACAATAAACTAGAAAATATTTGTGAGACTATAATTTATGGATGACCTTTGAGCGACGCCAGAGTGACCTTGAAAGTGTCTACCTACTTACTAAGGCTGAATGAGGGTTATATGGCAGTTTGAAGGATAAGGATTATTATTCATAGTTGATAGCCAGGGTTATGAGTTAGTTTTATGGTTTTTCATGACGAACTGACATCATCTAAAATTCCAAGACCTATTGTCCTAAGTCTGATTGGGTCATCCATAAGTCATAGTCCCGCCAAAATGTTAATTGATATCTTTCGATTTGTATTTTTACTAATTGGTTGACTGCATTGTAACCAATATCATATTTTTCTGGTTCTTAGTGTTGTTCCAGTTTTATCGCTCTAGTTTTACCGTACTCATTAATATAAATGACTTTATATTTCGTGCACTACCATTTTACTATGACTTGTTAATAACTTGCTGCCAGACCAAAACATGGCACAAATCCATGAAGTCACTAACAAGTGGACTGAGTCATGTTGGTAGGTGTAGACTACCTGTTTGGGATCAGCGAGACGATAGAAATCAATGGTTATAGACCTTGAATGACATGACTAAAAATCGTTTGCAATGGTGCAGGTGTATCCACTATTTGTGTTCTCCCAAATTCCGATCTTCTCAATTCTTCATGTCCTTTTTTTCTCTTTCCAAATTTATTTCACTGGATTATGCTCATTGAATGATATCTTCAAATCCTAATGTTTCCGATTACTACTTACACATTTACTACCTCTCCTATTATGGGATTTGAATCGGCAATTGTATCTGTGTGATAATGTGTTATGGCAACTCGAACTGATGTACGTACTATGAAGTTCTATATTGTTGCTGACTAACTGACTAATAACTTACTAACTAGTATGAAACATAATTTCGGAACTGACTATTCATTATCTATTCTTACTGTCGATGCTTTGTTTTACTAATCATGAATATGTAAACAAAATAATATTATTGTTTATATATGTGTATTTTCATTTTCTAGATAATAATTTCGATGTACCCGATCGTTTATTTCATTCAATTGCAACAACATGGCGTCTAGCTACTACTTCTGTTTCATGTGTTAAAGAATTAGTACCAGAATTTTATTTTCAACCAGAAATGTTTGTTAATCGAAGTGGATTAAAATTAGGCTGTCGACAACCAGGTGATAGTGTAGATAATGTTGAATTACCACCGTAAGTTATGATTTCTTTCTTTTTTTTCCTTCTTTTTTTTTCTCCCCTTTTCTCACTAATCATATCAGTTGTTGATTGAGATCATGAACCGATTGATGTTAGACCACCATTTAAATGCTGGAAACCCTGGATGGCCGTTTCGTTGTATTGTGGGACTCTTCAACAGTGTACATTCACGATCCCGCTCGTGGAGTTCGAACCAAGGGCATTCAGTCTTGTGTGCGATCACTGAGCTGGCATCCAGAGGTGTTAATGTCTAACTTCAACTAATCCACGAAGTTGTTCGAAACTCGCAGGGGGCGAGGTCGTGGATGCGCACTGCTGAGGAGTCTCACAATAGGACGAAACGGCTGTCCAGTGCCTCCAGGTATTCCATAGTGGTCTAGCTTCAACTGTTTCATGATCTTAACCATTGAAATTACTATAATATCCACAAAACCCACCTGATATTAATCAACATATACCTACTAGTGACTGGCTTCACGAGGTTTATCCTGGAGTTCTAGTGAAAAGTAGTGACTACTGGAGTTCATCCAGGTCTGTCGTGAGATAGTAACTCACTGAAGACAATGGTGAATGTGTCGCTGAATTTCGTGGATTAGTTGGAGTTAGACATTAACACCAGTGGATGCCGGCTGACTCAGTGATCTAGTGGTTAAGTGGTCGCGCGCGAAACCAATAGGTCCTGGGTTCGAACCTTTTCTTCTGTTGATTCTTTCTCCTCAAGCGATATTATTTATAATCAACCCTTCTTTTATTATCACTGCTACTACTATTAATATTATTTCTTGTATTTTGGATATTTATCTTGATAATTTCATCGTATTATCCTTATGGTACGTAAAAAACTTAATCCGTTACATATACATGTTAGGTACTGTATGGCTGATTGATTATTTATCTTTTCTCTTACTGTACATTGTTTTTCTCTCATTTACAGTTGGTGTAAAAATGATCCACGTTTATTCACATTAATTTGTCGTGCTGCATTAGAAAGTGATTATGTATCAATGAATTTATCATATTGGATTGATTTATTATTTGGTTATAAACAATCTGGACAAAATGCTAAAGATTCCTTGAATCTATATCATCCATATGTAAGATCTTTTTGATCCATTGTTTATTATTATTGATTATTGATTATTAATATTCAAAAACTGATATGTGATTAACTGTTGTTGGTATACCATGACCCTCTTGAATATATGGATCCTTTATTTCTATTGGTTATATGATACAAGTTGATTTAATTTTAAACAAGTTAATAACAGTATAATCCACAATATGCATTTTGTCCACATTCAAACGATATGCATCATCAAATTAGTTTACTACTAGTCATTATTTAAAGTATTTTTTCTTCGTTTCATTATTTATCAGATACTTTATTTATTACTGATAGTTAACACTTTGATGTGTTTCTTAGCGATAGTTTCTTTGGGATATTTGCAATTAATGGAAAGAAATTCATGATATTATAGAGGCTAGTATCCTCTATATCTGACTCCTATAAATAGTATGCCGTTAACTGTGTATTTAAGGCAGGCTAAATCTCCTAGTAGAATGATGGATTTACTCGAGATGATTATTCAAAAACCTGAACAACACCATTTTATTGTTGAAGATTGGTAAAGTCCGCAAGCGTACAGGAAGCAAGCACACAGGGAAAACAAGAGTGTGTATGTGTGTGTCAAAAATCCATATATATTTTATGAGTATCAATCAAGTATGGATAAATTATTGATTGTCTGTGTTTTACAACCAATGGAAGAATAGATTAAAGATTGACATGTGCTCAATCAGACTCACACAGAAAATTACATGTTGGATCAAGTGTCTAAATTACAGTGAGCAGATAAATAATACAATAATTGAATGGGCTTACTACAGTATCCCACTCGTTCGAGAGAGAACATCCAAATCTAGTGAACAAGAACATCAGCGGGGACAATCTAATGCATTTAACACAAAATTACAGGACTTGTGAATAAAATCTAACAATCATAAAGTAAATGCTTAATTTGCAAAATGTGCATCAATTGCCTCAAAATGACTCAGACTTCACTGTTCTTGCATTTTCATACAAATTGCATCCATTCTTTACTGTTCTATCCTCTTGTCTCTTTGCTGCCAGACCTTTTGTTCACGACTAACATCATATACTAATTATGTCGATATAAGTAGCATACACCACACTAACATTGCTTTTCAATGGACAACCAACATATACTCACTAGTGACTGGCTTCAAGAGGTATTTCCTGGAGTTCTAGTGAGAAGCAGTGACCAGTGGAGTTCAACCGGGTCATTTGTGAGATAGTAACTAATTGAAGACAATGGTGGATGTGTCATTGAATTTCGTGGATTGATTGAAGTTAGACATAACACAGTTGGATACTGACCGGCTCAGTGATCTAGTGGTTAAGCGTTCGCGCGCGAGACTGATAGTTCCTGGTTTCGAATCTCACGAGGCAGTATCGTGGGTGCGCTCTGCTGAGGAGTCCCATAGTAGGACGAAACGGTCATCCAGTGCTTCCAGGTTTTCCATTGTGGTCTAGCTTCAATTGACTCATGAGTTCAACTATTGAAGTTACTACAATCTCCACAAAACCCCTTCTGATACATTAGTTATTCATTCGTGTCTGACCGTTTGAATTGTTGTCACAATCAATGTTGTAGAATATTCTTTCACATAAGTTGTATATTTACAATATTCTTGCTATACTCTACTAAAGTGTCTTCAATATAACTTCCAATCAAACCCATTATGTAATTATGATTCTTAAAGATCCCAGGTTGTGAGCAACTGACGAGGATCAGACGAAATAAAAAAAATGAATTCATGCTATTCTGCTAAAATGTTTGTTCTTGTTCTTTTCAAAATGATAAAAGGAACTATGTATATGAAATTAATGATTGTTATCTACTTTATTCTAGTAGTATATTAATAATTTTCTAGAAAAAAAATATTATTTTGTTTTCTTAATCAATAATTACTAGACATATTTTGGCTCAATCAATGTGGATACAATAGACGATCCTATTCTAGCACAAGCTATTGAAGGTATGATTAATAATTATGGTCAAACACCGAAACAATTATTTCACAAACATCCTCATCCATGTCGGTAAGTTTTAAAAAAAAGAGGAGAGAAATCAAACACATTAACTCATTAGCACATGAATATGTTAAACTTTACTGATTATGTATAATAAACTAACAAAACGTGAAGGATACATATTGTGTGTCTATGATAGTTACTTAGGTTTGTCTAACTGCTGCGTTATTCTTAATGTAATATTTTATCATAAATACCATATTCTAATGTTAGATGACTCCTGACATTCTTTAGCAATCTCTGAATCTATTTTTCATGCTAGTTAGGATTAGTCAGTCAGGAGTGAATACTAGTCGTTGAGATTAGAAGCATTAAACACTAAATTTTTTTAGCACAATTTGCTTTAGTCTCATCTGGAAGATGCAGACTACTTGGTTTGGGTCCGCGTAACTATCGTAACCAATGGTTGGAGACTCTTGGTGACATGGCTCAGAATCAATCACAATGGCGTCGGTGTATATACTTTCTGTCTTCCCTTAAACTAAAAGATTAAAATCGCTTTATACCTTTCTTTCTATGAACTAATTCTTTCTTCCTGTACTATATCCTTATATGCAATCTTTCTTTTATATATTACCACCTCTGAATTAACTACATTTATGAATCCGGTGTTCATCTTGCTCTACCAATGAGGTATGGCAACTTGGACTGATGCATATATGTGCCTGGTCCTACGTTGTAGCTGACTGACTGACTGACTTAGTCTCATCTAATTTTCTAATGATGATTACGTGTCGACAATCTTTGTGCCTTTTGGTATCAGGTGGCGCTTTTGCTACGTTTAACTGAACTGTATTTTTTGATTGTCTATTGAAGAAACATTTACCTAATTATTTTATTGACATCTTAAAAGCTTTATATACAAGCAACTTAGGATGAATAAAGCATCCCACCGTGTTTCTCCATTATTCTAATCCAGTGTTTGAATTAGAGAGATAGGATTTGTCAACTTTATCATTCCTGTTTACAATTTACTATCGGTTGCATTCTGGAAGCAGCTCTTATGGAATTACGAGCTTACTGGTAGCGGTGTAGATGTGTTACATAGAGAAAGAGTTTTCTATCTACGTGAGATTCTTTAAGTGATAAAAAATTACATATTAGTTGTATAAAAATTTGCCATCTTTTTCATTTAATATAAACTCATTAAGGAACTTGTTGTTAGTCTGTAGCTTTGAAGGGAAAAATTATGATACAATCAATATGATTAAGATTTGATTTTTCCTAATTATCAGAAAATTTATATTACCCAGTGTTTATTTGTTAACTATTGGCAACAGTGACTTCAAAGATTAGAAATTAAATGTTTGTATGATGACAACCATTGTTAACCAAATCGTATTGAATTTCTTATTTAACATCTGTGTAATGGATAGAGTTTAGTTGTATATTTTTCAAGTAACCATGAAAATAAATTCATTGTTTTCAAAATCGAGTCAAGTTGCTTTGATAATAATCGATAACCAATTGATTTCGCATCAGATCAGCGAACTTTCCCAACTATTGATTACGAATGTTGCCTGGGTCTGAACTAAGACGTCCCCACCCACCTTCATGACTTAGAACAGAAGTTGGATTGGCGTTTTGTCGTAACTAGCCTATCTGTAGGTTTTTCCAACCTATGACGAATACAGTCAGCACTGACCGTTGTAGTACGTGTTGGTTAGGGAAGTGTAACATCTTTACTAACCAATCTAGGTTTATGGCCGTTTATAGCCTCATCTATTGATTTTTTGTTTTTTACCATGTATAACTTCAGGATCGCTCATTCATTGGTTCTACCGTTTATGACCATTGTCTTCATAGACAGCTATGACAGAATACTTGCAACAAATATACTTTTTTTACCTCACAACTGTAAAGCATTATGGAGCGAACCATTGCACAGTTTACTCAGCTTCCTGGTTGACAAATTTAAAATTTCTCCTGACTCCATCCGATGTGTTATTAAAAGTACTACTTGCTGCTTCTCACACATTTTACCCCTCGTGAGCCATAGGGTGCCTACCAGTGTTCTCCAGGCAATTGTTTACTGGTCTCGCCTTTCTGATTTTTATCAAATACTATTCATTCTTTTGATGGCTGACTTTGACTCTCGGGACAATATGTCCTTCGAATTAACAAACGCAATTCGATTCTATCCGATAATTTGCCCATTTATATGTCCTACTAATAATCTCATTTCATTTGTTTTGTATTCTTTTGAAACTTTGTTTCAGTAAATTGTCGATTTCTAATGAAATCAGACTGAATATGACGTCAAAATTTAAAAGTAAATCTACTGGTGCAATGTCTAGTATGACGAGTCAAGAAGAAGTTGGAGATCGACGTTCTTCTACACCCGCATTATTTAACTGTAATAACATCAATGATGACGATAAGAATTCATTGCAAGCGGCAATGTTTTCTGTGAGTGAAAAGCAATCCTCATCAGTTAAACTAGACAACACACCGTTAGAAACTGTAATTGGATTAAAATGGGGTGAATGGGCAGGTAGTCCACAGGTGAACTCTGTAAGTGTACAATTGATTGATTGAATTCATGTAGTACCACACCAATTGATCATATCGAAATATTATTTCCTCTCAGTACGTACTCCTTACGTTTACTTAGTAGTTAGCATTTTTTTTTAGCAAGTTTGTTTTCTAAGGGATGAGGATAATGACTTAACCCTCTTCCTTTACCCGGGTTTGGGACCGGAATTAACCATAGGAGAGCTACAGGCTACTTAGTCAATAAAATATTTCACACATAATACCTTATTTACAAGACTATAAACGAACAGAATTTATGAGAATGTAGAGTAATCATGATTGATAATTGAAGGACATTATATGAAATGGTTTGAAATCGGTTAGTGTCACGGATGTATCCAGTCATTGACACTATTGTTATTCTGATTTCCTTGGTATTTATTTTGTTGATTCTATCTCACTCTTCTGAGATGTTACAAATGATAACGAAAAAAGCTGGTTGATTAATTGATTTTAATTAGTTTATTCTATGTTGGAAATGTAAGACATGAATCACTGATGAAATCGAATAACATGTCTCGTAAACTGATTGAATCTTGAACGTTCAGTCTATTTATCACTAGTTGGTTTCTGTAACCAACAAGTCACCGTACGTACTAGGGTGTTAAGCATGAACCTAGACAATTATTGTATATGGACTCTATATAGATACAGTTTGTGTATTCAATACATGAAGTAGAAGTTTAAATTGGGTGTATATTTTTTGCTCATTTTTGTGACTCAAAAATCAACAAAGTATTGATTTTTCAGCTCATTTTACATTCTTATACTTTAAAATGGCGTCACTGTTCAACTAATCACTTTCGCATAAGGTGAAACGTACAACCCTGACTAAAATCGTTCTTATAAGTAGTATTTCCATTAGAGTGGTTGTAGAGATTAGTGAAGTACATTGAAACTAAAAACCAATCTAGGTTAGCCAACCATTGGAAACCTGGAAGCACTACTAGGTCGTTTCGTCCTAAAGTTGGACTTCTCAGGAGTTTTTATCTACTACCTTGCAACCTGAGGTTGCAGTTAAACCTTTGTACTATTGTAAGTCAGCTACAACGTAGGACCAGGCACATATATGCATCGGTCCAAGTTGCCATACCTCATTAGCAGAGCAAGATGAACACTGGATTCATAAAAGTACTTAATTCAGAGGTGGTGATATATAAAAGAAAGATTGCATATAAAGATATAGTACAGGAAGTAAGAATTAGTTGGTAGAAAGAAAGATACAAAGCAATTTTAATGTCATGGTTTAACGGAAGACAGATAGTATATACACCGACGCCATTATGATCGATTCTGAGCCATGTCACCAAGAGTCTCCAACCATTGGTTACGATAGTTACGCAGACCCCAACCAAGTAGTCTGCATCTACCAACATGGCTCAGACTAGAAGTTAGTGACTTCAAGCACCCAAGTCAGTGCTCTGCTTTCACGCAAAACCGAAGGTCATGAGTTTGATTTCCGGTTATATGTTTGTAGATCTGTACTGTTCAGGTGTCCCAAACTAGGAGGAAACGGTAGTCCGATGTTTCCAGGTTTTCAATGGTTGTTTAAATTAAATCGCTCCCTGAATAAAATAATATTTCCCTTATTTGTATGTTTTTTTATGATGATAACTGATACTTTTTATTATGTGTATAGTTTGAAATAATTTGGAAGAAACAGTTCATTAATACAAAGTCATCAGTATCGAGAAGTACAAAGAATTCGCTGGAACATTCTGAAATATTAAAAATACCATTTCTTAGTCATTTAACCGGTTCTATATGGTGTGAATTCAATACTAAAGATACTCATTTACTTCATTGTATGAATCAACTTAACAAAATCTCTTCAATAAATAATGATAAATTATATCATTCTTGGAATGGTTGGGTTGATTTTAACATTGATCATGAAATCGGTGAATGTTTCTTGTCATCATCCTCATCATCTCATTCTACAGAAAAGTCATCATCATCGTTCACAACAGATGTTCATACTGATTGTTCATGGTATTGGAAAATTCTTCACTGTGAATCAAATGCATGTATATGGGTATCGTTATTACTAGACATTAGTAATTTACAAGATCAATTGTATCCTGTACCATATTTAATAAAATTGAAACCATCTTTACTAGACAATAGAACTTTAAATATTTTTATAAAACGTTTACCCAAAGAATCACATAGTACCTGTAATGATTCTTTTAACTATCCTTATGATGAACCTTTTGGAACTACTGATTCCTCTCCATCAGAACTACATCGTCATCATCATCATCATAGTGATGAGATAAACTTACAATTACCATATTCAAATCCTCTTCCATTCGATACTGGAAAATCTTTAATTACTTCATTAACTATTTCACCTAGTTCAAGTCATGGTATTCAGTTATTTGTTGGTACCTGTTTTGGATCAATTTATGTAAGACAATTACCTACAAATTTATATGATATTTCATCCATTGACAGTTGGCTACCACAAGTAAGTCATTGTAATTTTGCACCTAATATAAGTATCTTACATTTAATCATTTAGTCACAATGTAGAATCTGCTACGTATACACATCGGTTCAAACTGCCATATCTCATTGGCACAGAGGGATGAAATCATCTGACCAAAATCAAGAAATCCAAGCCATAACAAACGACTCTGAGTCATTTCATTCAGCTTCGCTTAAGTTTTATACTAAGTGACAGTTGGAATTTGGAATGGAAAATATTGAATGCGCTGTAGTATCACTCATTTACAGTTGAACCAACATTGTGTTAAAGCTAGTAATACTATTACAAAACAACATTCAGAACTGAAGTGTGTGGAATGGATAGTTTTAACCTACAACTTAGTGGTTGAAAACGGATTGATTTAATCATTATGTCACTTCTCTCTAGAAGTTAGTTTTCATGACTGACATAGAATAGATATAATTCAACACTTGACAAAAGAAAACATTTTATGAAAAGTAGAAATTTGTTTGACTATCAAAGCTCTAAACTCCGCCTGTATCTTTTCTCGAGTTACTGCTGTTCCCAAACCTGAGAGGAGGAAGATGTTTGGGTATGGAGTCGTCATTTTTATTTATTTATTTGAACACATGAATACTGGTACAAAGGTGCACCAGATGAATATGAGTCACACAAATCTCATTTGATTTGTGTGAGGGCCGGACATTCACTTTTCGTCCTTTTAATTTCGTAAACAGCAGTAATATCTCGAGAAGACAATGAGTAAGGACTTCCATGTTAGTGGTTGTATGCACGTGGCTATGTGAGAGCATTTCGAGAGGGAGAGTACATTCTCTCCACTCTCGGCCGTATCAGGGCATTTAGTCGGAGTCGGCCACCTCGTCCTGTAGAAAAAAATCTTTCTAAAGAAATCTCAACCAGATCAAGAATAGAATTTTTTAAATCACATTTCAATATGATCATTTACATAAAGATGTACTTTGAATAACTCAAACTTTAATAAATGTTATACCAAATTATTACATAATAGAAATATTGAGAATATAAATAAACGTTATGTTAAATGAATCGATACATAAAGTGAATCTTGATCTATTCCCAACAAAAGTATCAAAGGTTAGATCACGGTTAAAAGTTTGAGATAAAAGAAATAGCTGGGACAACAAGAGAAAAGTTGATTACTGAAGATGTACACAATGGTCGTATCTCAGTATCGACAATCTAATCTAGTGAAAAGATGTATGTAATTTACAACAATGAAATAATTCTAGTAAGAAGCTGTTACTAATTGAGCTAACCCGTGTCGGGTGTGAGACGGTTACCCCCCAAATCAATGGAAGATGGTCGCGCAATGTCATGGATTGATTGCCGACTGAATAATGTAGGGATTAAACGTTCGCGCATGAGACTGTAGGTGCTGGATTCAAGTCCAGCGTGCAGGATCGTGGGTACGCACCGCTGACAGCGGTCCCCACACTGCGACGAATCGGCCGTCCACTGCTTCCAAGTTGTCGATGGTAACCTGACTTAAATCAGTTCCTGATTTCAATGAAAATCATTCTGATTGAGTAGTGGTGTAATAGGGTCTGCTGACCCTAACCATCAACTGTGTATCGTAATCTTTGTTCTTCAGACTTCTTTATAACCCTCATTTAGCCCTAATAAGTAGGTAGACTCTCTCAATGTCACTTGGGCATCGCTCAAATGTCATCCATAAATTGTAATTTCATTAATCGAACTCCTGATCAACCTTAATTGTCCTTAACTCAACCGACACGGATAGTGTTCTTATGTACATTGACTGAGTTGTTGAATTGTGCGTCTAATACAACTGGCTTCGCAGGAGTAATTGAATTGATAAGTGCACGTGAATGTTTATATAAGGTTTTGTATACTGTTGAATTTCAATGAAATCATGAACTGATGAAAGTTAAATAAACGAATCTTCGGACAATCATTTGAAACCACATTCAGTTTCGGTTCAATAAACGTTTCTCGCATAGCTTTTCTGAACCTTTGTTTCAATGTTTCTATTGATGAGTTAGTAAATCCTCATTACTTGGAGGGATTAAGACATGTGCTTCGTGTGCCCAACCACCCCATACGTCGATGGACAACGTTGTCTGGTGTAGAGGTAGATTGAAGTAGGCTGGGGACGACCAAACCACGACGTGACACCTATTTACTTAGTCGTTGACAATTGGACTTGGCCATGTTAATAAGTGTAGACTACCTGGTTGGTGTCTGAGTGATTATCGTAACCAGTGGTTAGAAACTTTGAATGAGATGGCTCTGAATCGTCTTGAAATAACTTTATCGAGTTGTACTAAAATGATATGGCAACTTGGACCGATGTACATGTGTCAGATTCTGAGTTGCATATGATGATTTCATCGTTAGATTCATTTTTGAAATGCAGCTTCAAAATCAGTAACTTCTTCGGAACAGTCATTGCCTTTAATCTAATTTTTATATCGTCGACTTGTTTGTTGACGAATTTAGCTCTATATCTATTCCTTCCAATACGGTTACGAATATTATTCAATTTATCTTCAATAGCGTCATGAACGCAAATCATTTTGCCACAACAAGTCAAGATTTTTACTGAGTTTCTTTTGCGGAACTGTAGAGCTATGTCTATCATGAAATTTGGGATTTCGTTACTTATACCTCTCTTTTATGTTTTGTCTAATCTTTTTTGTTAATTGGACATCTAGAAATGATATGCTATTACTCTGTTCTTTCTCAAGCGTAAATGTAGTTGATAGACGAATGTTAATTATTACTTTGCAAACACAATGTTTGCCCGGAGAGAACTCAGTTTTGATCCCATAGCTACACCATCTAACGGTTTATAGTGTTTATTGTTATATCGGAAGTGGACTTTCGTCATGCACCTGAAAATTAACTCTTTTATCAAACAGTTATTAAACTTTTTCACATGCCTCACCATTATTTCACTCCAAATCAACAAACAATACAATTAACCTCAATATACAACCAGTGAATTCATAGATCAATGTTAATAAACGTACTTATTTTAAGAAATATCTGATTTTCAAAGATCGTTTGCTCCATGAACCGACTTCAGCTAGCCAGCTATGAAGAACCATAGTGTTGGCTATCTGTTTCATGTTATTATGGATTAACAGTGTACTCCCTTGATCCTTCCAGAAATTGAGGCCAAGACTTTCAAACCAATGAATTAATATCTTTTTTGATTGAAATCATGAGTCAGTTGAAGCTAAACCACCATGGAAAACCTGGAAGCATTGGACTAGCTTCAATTGACTCATGATTTCAGACAAAAACTTAACAATCTCCACAACCCCTAAACTGAGAATTAATATCTAATTCATTTATAAGATCCTTGTATCCATGTATTCTATATGTTTGTCCACTTTTTCAATAAATGATGAACTTCACAAAAAATCCTCACAAATTTCTTCATATCTATGACTTTTAATTATTCTATCAGTCAGTCAACAACGTAGAACTTCGTACGTACATACATCAGTTCCAGTTGCCATACCACATTAGCACAGAGATAAAATTGTCCATTCAAATCCCATAGTGATAGATGTAGTAAAAGTATAAGCAGTAATCGGAAAGATTACGGTTTGAAGTTGTTATTCAAGGAGTATAATCCAATGAAATAAATTTGATAGAACACAAAAAGTGGATGTACCTGCTAATTATTCTATATTAATGTGTTATTTGATAACCCTAACCAGAATAATAAATTTGAACCTATTTTGTAAATAATTCATCAAGTATTGAATTATATATCCAACTATAAGTTATATTGTTTGTATTCTGGTTAGTGTAACACCATTCCTCACTTGTCTTCGATAAAGTGGACTTGATCCTACAAGTAACTTGTTAAAGGTTAATTAATTTAACCTCTAAATCATTAAATCAACTCCTAAAATCATTATAAATATTGAATTCACTTGGTATTGTTTTTCTATTTATTTATCAGTAGCTAAGTGGATAATGTGATGGCGGTTGAAGAGAACAGTACTAGGTTCGAGTCCCAGAGTGAAAATCAACTCTGAGATGCAGGTACATTCAGCCGACAAGTCCCAAATAGGACTAAACGCGTGTCCTAGATTCCACTGCTAGCCACTATCCATTTTTGCTCATTATAAATATTGTTTAGTTCTCTTTACTTTCTTAATAGTTCTGTACATAATATCTCTCAGTCTATATGTCATTCATCCTTTTTTCATGTATAATCACATCAAAAAAACAGTCTTCATTTTTCTCTTCCTCATAACAGGATTATCAAGGAGAATCATCATTAAATGAAAATAAACTAAATTGTACAGCAAATATTCATAAACGATCAAGAAAAGAATCAACAAAACGAAACATGAAACATTCAAAACTGACTACTACTACTACTACTACTACCCCAATGAATCCTACTCAAACTCTTAATCATTCTATTCATGATGAGAATAATAATAATGATAATAAAGAAACCGCTGGTTTATGGGAAATTACCGGTTGGAAACAATTATATGGTCATGCTGGACATGAAATCACTATTTTAGTAATTAATCGTAATAATAGTATAATTGCTAGTGGTGATAATCAAGGTTATGTATGTTTATGGGATAGATATCGTTTAACATTAATTAAAACAATTAATACTAATATTATTAATGATCATTATTATCAACAAAATGAATCCGGTGATAGTTTAAATAGTAGTCAAAGTCATAATATCACTACTACTACTACTAATACCGGTCAGGATTACCATAATATTAATGATTTGAAACAACCCCGTAGACGATATTCTTCTAATCATCTTACTGTGGAGAATTCCATACATAAAAGTAATGAAGATGTACAAATGAAGAAAAAGAAGACTATTTTAAGTAGTAGTCGTAGTAGTAGTAGCAGTAGTACTTCAACAGCTGATTTTATAAATATCAATGATGATTCAGTATTATTAAATAATTTTAAACGTATTGATGGAATATGCTTCAATTTAACATCCGGTGAATTAGTTATAGCCAAATGGAATCATCCTAATTTTAATGGTAATTAACAATCCGATATTTACTTGTTCGTTTTATTATTATTATTATTATTATTATTATTATTATTATTTTACTAAACATCCTGCTATTTGAGATTCCATAACATTTTGTTTATGGTAACTGATGATTATTTGTTATTTCATTACTGTATGCCTTCTGTGTGCCCATCGAACGCCCTGATACGGCGGAGAGTGGAGAGAATCCGCTCTCCCTCTCGAAATGCTCTCACATAGCCAGGTGCATACAACCACTAACAGGGAAGTCTTACTCATTGTCTTCTCGAGGTATTACTGCTGTTTACGAAATTAAAAGGACGAAAAGTGAATGTCCGGCACTTTAACCGGTTTGGTGGACACGGATGGTCCACTTAGGGAAGTTGAAAAACCTTCATTCCAAACCAATGCTCCACATGAGCTCCCGTGTTCATGCAACACTAAAAACGGCTCGAAAAACATAACATCGGTCAGTCATTTACAAATTTACGTTCTTCCAATTCCACAACAGTTTTTATCGCTTTTCATGATAGTTTCATTATTCATATTTCTGACTATGAAACTGAATAATGGTTCAATTAATCAATATTCTTCGATCATGTAACTTTGATGATAATAATATGTTTTAAGATTTACCTGTGTAAACCATTCAGTATATGACCTCGTTGAAATTCCACTAAAGTTTGGTAGATTTTAAGCAGATATGGGTGGTCCTTAGTAGTGGAATCCAGAACTCATGTTTTGTCCTATTTGAGACTCATCAGCCGGACTTGCTCGCACCCCAGAGTTGATGTCCACCCCGGAACTGTAAATAAGTACCTTTTGCTTCAAATACCGACACTTTATCGATTTACCTACTGAGTCCAAATCGCTACTGTTTTTTTTGATGAGGGTGATTCTTAGTTCATTGGTATTGATTGCTTGAATCTTCTTTATTGATAATTTCCCAGTAAGAAGAAACGTGCGTTATGGATTCCACTGCTAGACGCCAGTCAACTCGGTTTGAAATGTTTGTGTACAAACGGCTGCATCGATGGAATCCATATAAGATGCACGTATACCAATAAGTGACTAACCAATTACAGTCCTAATAATCACTGAGAAAATTCAACCAACCAATAAAAATGAACTAAAGTTTAGCATGTTTTTTTCAAATGATATACATATCTTGACAAAGTTTTCCTTAATTTTAAAAGTGATTAAAGTAGAGAATTTTTGTAGCTCAGGTGGATGATTTTGATGGAGTTTTGTTCTTTAAGCTAGATGGTTTGGTGGTGGAGCTTTTCGCGTTCTTCTGAATGATATCATCAGCAAAAACTTCATGTAGACGATGAAAGCTCTACGACCAAACCATCCAGCTTAGAGAACAAAACTCTATCCAAGTCATTAAAGTGTTATAAATAAATACGTCATCCCTGTGATTAATTGGCATATAAATTGATTATAGATTAAATCGACTCATTTTTTGCTGATTAATGACATAATCATCATATGGTTTCTATTTATAAGTTAAACTAATATTTATCTGACAGCCGGATCAATTGAACTATGGTTGCTAATATTATTTAACTTTAAACCATTCAATCCCAGGTTGGAACTCTTACTTACTTACTTAAGCCTGTTACTCATCGTTGAGGAGCATAGGCCGCCAACCAGCACTCTCCATCCAACCCTGTCCTGGGCAATCCTTTCCAGCTCTTTCCAGTTATTATTCATCCTTTTCATATCTGCTTCTATTTCCTGACGTAATATGTTCTTTGGCCTTCCTCTTTTCCACTTCACTTCAAAATTCCAAGCTAGGACTTGGAACTCTACTCCATTCAATTTATTTTGTACAGATGAATTAGTATCAACTGGCTAACACATAGAAAGTATAAATCATGACATATTAGTTCACAGTTATATAATATAACCTTGTAGGCCAAGATAATTTTGCATTAGTTTTCAGGAGAACCAGACACCATCCGGACTTTCACGTGAAAACCCAAACAGTACAGCTCAACCCCGTTTAGCAGGAAAACCAGGCACCGTATAGGCTTTAACGCTACAATCTGAATAGTACATCTCAATCCTCTGGCGCAACCACACAGGTATCAAGCACCCTGGTGGACTAAAATCATGACATAACCAAGTATATAAACTTATGCATGGTTTGTGAATTTGAATAATAATTATCATAGACAAAAGTTCGATATAAATTGTAATTCCATACTTCTGTTTAAATTAAGTTTTAATAAAAATTTCCGATCAAATATCTACTGATGATACACTAAGCGAATTGTGTAGAACTAGATATCTCTCACAATATGACGTAATTTAGTGATAAAGTGATTAAAATCAAGCTATAATGAAAAGTTATGTTATTTTTCCGTAGATAAATTAGTACTCATATGTTCATTGTAAAGATTATATGAACGGTAAAAGGTGACGCAATTTTGCACGCGAGACCGATAGATCCTGGGTTCGAATCCCGGAGGGGTGGAATCATGGATGTGCACTACTGAAGGGTCCCATATTAGGAGAATTTGGCCGTCCAGTGTTTCCCGGTTTTCCATTGTGATCTAGTTTTAATTGACTTAGGAATTCAACTATTAAATTGTTAGATGAACCATTTATTAGAACATATTTCCCACAAGTATTATTCATTTGCAAATTCATTTTCCCATTCCATAAAATATATCAATCAGACATTAGTAGCATTAATCTGTCATTGAACTGAATTACTATGCACTATTCAGTGGTTCCTTTTTTTGGTCATTTCTATGAATAAATTTTTTTTTCCATTTCAGTCTGTTGGCTTGGTTTATATTCTTGTTCTGGAGTTTGGATAGCTAATCGTATTTTAGATTTTCTAGCTGAAATCAATGATCCATTAATAGATTCACCTTTATTACAAATCTATGATGATAATTATCATCCTTTAGTTCCTATGGCATTTTCAACTGTATCTGAAGGTCGAGGTGTGAATTGTTTATTAGTTGGTGGTCCAGGTGGTCGATTAGTTTGGTTGAATTCATGGACATTGGATACAATACGAACATATATGGTAAGTGTTTATATATGTGGATTAGATTCATTCAAATTTCTATGATTCAATTTTTCAATTAATTTTTATGTTAGATTTCTATTTTCAGTATAGGGTTGTGGAGATTATTAAGTTATTGATTGAGATCTTGAAATGATTAATGTTAGACCATCATTAAAAACCTGGAAGCACTGGATGACCTTTTCTTCCTGTTGCTGAACACTTCTGCGGTGCTCATCCACGACCAGTGGAGTTAATCCGTGTCGGATAGACAAAAATATCTACAATAAAAACTATTCATTCAAACGTTATCACAGATACAGTCATTTTTTCAACCTAATGACCTGTATCTATGTACAAAATTATCGATCTTCTGATTAAATTAATCATTAGAATATTTATTGATTCCTTGAGTTTTTTTTTGTCCATTTCAACGGATATTTTATTAATATCAGAAAGGGGTGTTTTTATCAATATTATAGTAATTTAATAGTTGAGACCATAAGTCGATTGGAACTAAACCATCATGGAAAACCAGGAAACACTGAACGACCGTTTCGTCCTATTGTGGGACTCCTCAACAGTATATTTTATTATCAATCTCAACATCACTGTCGTATATAAATATTCAGTAGTTATATTGATCATTTTAACTGATTTTGTTTTAACATGTATAGTGTTAAACAAATATTTTATGATTTCAATAGTTGAAATCATGAGTCAATTGAAACTAGACCACTATGGAAAACCTGGAAGCACTGGACGGCTGTTTCGTCCCAGTATGGGACTCCTCAGCAGTGCGCATCCATGATACCGCCCTCCGCGAGATTCGAACCCAGGACCTATCAGTCTCGCGCGCGAGCGCTTAACCTCTAGACCACTGAGCCGGCATCCAACGGTGTTAATGTCTAACTTCAACCAATCCACGAAATTGCGCCACCGTCACCATTGTCTTCAATGAGCTGATATTTCACAACTGACATGATTTTAACTATTGAAATTACTAAAATCTCGACAAAACCCCTTCTGATAATAATCATCTGCTTGTTCTATTGTGAGACTCCTCAGCAGGGCACATCCACGATCCCGCTCGCGGGTTTGAGCGAAATTACTACAATCTCCACAAAACCCCTTCTGATAACCATCAACATATGCTCACTACTGACTGGCTTCAAGAGGTATTTCCTGGAGTTCTAGTGAGAAGCAGCGACCAGTGGAGTTCAACCGGGTCAGTTGTGAGATAGTAACTAATTGAAGACAATGGTAGATGTGTCGCTGAATTTCGTGGATTGATTGAAGTTAGACATAACACAGTTGGATGCTGACAGGCTCAGTGATATAGTGGTTAAATGCTCGCGCGCGAGACTGATAGTTCCTGGTTTCGAATCTCACGAGGCGGTATCGTGGATGCGCACTGATGAGGAGTCCCAAAGTAGGACGAAAACACCGTCCAGTGCTTCCAGGTTTTCCATTGTGGTCTAGCTTGAATTGACTCATGATTTCATCTATTTTAATGACTACAATCTCCATAAAGCCCTCTTCTCATAAAACATATTATAGATAAATATTTCCCAGGACAGTTGGGTATGTTTGTCACAGATTAATTTCACTTAAGGTGTCACTGAAAACAAAGAAGGCAATGTAGGATATAACAAAAATGGGTGCCTACCAAGTGTGGATACAGGTTAATTGGTTAGAGCGCCGTACTTATAGTACGGAGTTTGAGATTTCGAGCCCCTCCTGGAGCACAGTACACAACATCAACCTCAGGTTTGCAATAAGTGTCTCATTTGGCTGAGTATCCTGTTTGTGTGAGTGTGTTCTCACTGTCATCCACCTGCCTGTCGTGCACACAAGCATAGTATGGTGATCGGACAAACACTAGTTCGGTGCTTGGTCATATCTAACTCGTCAGATTAATATCGTTAAAAAGGAGATTGTCAAAATGAAATACCGAACATAAAAGATAACAATAATAATATTTATTATTAATGGAAAATTGATTATAAGAAATACGGTTTCAAAAGAATCAATCGAACTGAATGACTATTTCTTCTCATCATTAAAGTGTATGATGAATCATTCGAAAATTAGGATGAACACTTGCCATGAAATCTAGAGATCCTAGATTTCATACTTAATGGAGGTTTTATTTATTTATTTGAAAATATAAATATTGGTACAAAGGGGAACCGAATACATTTGCGCCACACAAGTCAGTTGATTTGTGTGTGAGCTGTGATATTGTCCGGGTCACCAGACCAAAGCCTTTGACCCAGAGGTCTAATCCACAATGCAGTGGAGCAACGTAAGGAGATGCAGTCTCATGATAGCCGGTGATTAATTATTGATTCATACATCATTTGTTCCCTCAGAATTCTCGAGTCCATGTGGAGCATTGGTTTGAAATCTGTGTTTTCCTCCGTATCCACCAAGCCGGTTAAATCGCCGGACATACGGTTACCAACGCCTATACAACTAATGATGAAACAACTATTTACTACTCAAATTTCTCCAGATGACGATTAAGTTGTGACAAAAACTTATTTCTCAACTAATAACATTGTTGATATTGTGGTATACTTTCTAAACAATAATTAACTATGAACTGAACTCTAATGTTATTATTAATTGTCTTTTTTTTTATTGCCTTTAACAGCTTCCAGATAATGATGAAAATGCACGTATAACATCAGTTTGCTTCGGACCATTATTGAATACTACTGCTACTACTACTACTACTACTACTACTACTACTACTACTAATAATAATAATAATAATAATAATAATAATAATAATAATAATAATGTGAATTATCATACAAATTCAAAAGATTTAGGTGAAATTTTATGTCAAGGTTTATATGTAACTGTTCAAACAGGTTGTTTATATCATTTTGGTCCTAAATCTACTATACAAATATATCCTATTATAGATCAATTAAATCATGATAATTATTCATCTTATTTAAATCATCAATTGTATAAACATTCTATTGTACATTGGTTAGATACATAATGATTATGTATTTATTTTTTATAAAATTGTTGTTTAAAATAATTTTAAAGATTTTTATTTTAAAGAACTTCATTTTAATTTGTAAATTTTTTTTATTCTTTTGATAAATACATATACGTTCTATGGTATCATTTTGTTCGTTCTTTGTTAACTTCTAATCTTAGCCATATTGATAGATGAGGACTAATTGATTAGGGGTCCACGTGACTATTGTAACCGATGATTGGAGACTCTTGGTGATATGACTGTGAATCGATCACCAATGATGTCGGTGTATACACTTTCTGTCTTTCCTTAAACTATGAGATTAAAATCGCTTCATATCTTTCTTCAACTCTTTCTATGAACTAATCCTTACATATAGTCTTTCTTTTATATATTACTACCACTAAAGTAAGTAGTTCTATGAATTTGGTGTTCATGTTGTTGTGCTAATGAGGTGTGGTAACTTGGACTGATGCATATATGTGTCTGGTTCTACGTTGTAGCTGACTGACTGTTATATTCTTGCGTACTACTTGGGTACTCGATCACTAGAACCCTTCAAGTCTCAAGTTAGAAGACAGAAGACGAATAAGAGGGAATGTTATTCCGAACAATGTCAATTATGGTACAAAACATTCAAGTATTTATAGTTTTTAGTAAAAACAAAATCATCATTACAGTCATCCAATCCGTATATATTGCTTTTTAGCATTTCTTCAATAGGGAAGGTACACATTGAGATTCGGGAATGTTCTTTAAGAAGATAATTGTATGGAATATCTTCGGCTCTTTCTGAACTTCCTTAAGTTTACTTGGGGGCTGTCCTCACAGCTAAGGTCGACTTTATCATTGTTATATGAAGTGACAAGACTCCGTCCGGCCACCTTGGTGATCATAACTTTTTCTTTATAAAAATAAACCAGTAGTCCCTAACGTCATGCAATATGATCCAGAAAAATAAATCTATATTCTACACTGAATGTGTACTTAAACACAGTGTAATGATATTATACACTACTTGATGAATGTGAAAAATGCCCCATCGTAGATAGACTTATGCTTGATTGTTAATCTTATTTTTCCCCAGACACTTTTGAAGCATAACACTTGAACATAACAGAATTATCGAATGATTAGTGGCTAAGATTAAATACAAAGTAATAAGTAAAGATAGTGAAGCGGTTGATGGAGCTACGGACTTTCATGTGTTCAGGTGATTACTTCTTGTATTTAACATATATAAACGCTTCTAATCTCGATACACTATGCATAAGAACAGGTAGACTAGAAGTATATTCCAAACTGTCATTTTAAGATACTACAGCATATGCTTATGAAATCACTGACTATTGTAATGAATTCTATTAATCAATGTTGCAAACTTTTTGACTGAAATCAAAAAGAATGTAATCAGTAATTTGTGTGATGCAACTCAAAAGCTGTCTCACTATCCATTTACTAGAATTCCGATAAATTGGTGTCTCTATAGTGACTCGAACTATATACAGTTCCATTGTAAAACAGGTGGTCACTGAACTAACCAACCACATTTTCTCTACAAAGGTATAGTGATGGTTTGAGTATTTGTATACTGTAGTTTAAGTGACACTTTTTAATTTATCTTTCTTGGTCATGTTTCTTTGGAAGAACATACTCACCAATCACACATCTATACCTACCATAAGGATTAAAATTACCCTTCCATATTTCATAAATGGCAATGCACTTCTTATTTCGTTTACCACTTAACAAGTATATTTACAAGGGTAATATCGAGCTATGCACTTGAAGATGGTAGTTGGAACATCAATCTTAGGTAGATGAGTGAAGTAGACAACTATGTTCTCTCACAGTCATACAATTAAAACAGCTTTCAAATTCCCAAGTAGAAACCCTAAAATGGGTAATCTCAGGTTTGTGGAAACCGTAGCTAATAAAAAAATTAATTTTTGTGAGGATTTCTGACTGAATTTATAGAATGTGGCAATGAAATATCAGTTAATTTGCCGTTATGTTTGAAGTCTCAATATTTAGGAAGCATAACAAACACTATTCGGTTCCATGTTTGATTACAGCACAAAATATGTGATGTGGAAACAAATTACCCAACTGTTTGTGACTTGTGGAGATTAAAAAGTAAATATGAAATTTATTTCATGGTTGTTAGCTGCAATTTATCTTTTTCAGCAAAGGTTTGCAGTCGATTTAGCGATTCTAATACTGTCATGCATCGTAAAATATATTCAATCCATGAATTCTATCACGATCGTCTACATTTACTATAAAGCACATACCAAGAGGAATACGTGTCAGTCACTTTGGTGATGGTTTGACTTGAATTTTGCACCATTTAGCTCCAAAGTAAATTATAAGCTTTCAAAACTGTGTGAGCGCGTGACACGTGTTAAACATGGCTAACCACCGTAAATCTCAATGTCGCGTGGGATAAGAGTAAGTTGGAGGTAAGCTAGCTATGATCAGGAACAAAAAATGACATCACTTCATGAAATCATTGAGTGATACTTGTAGAAAGGTGAGGACTACGTGAGTCCCACGATTAGTGGTTAGGTGACATAGCTTAGTACTGGTCACTGTAGGATAGGCACATCAGTTCCTTATCTTTACAAAGAACTTTCGTTGTAATATATATATATATATATATATATATATATATATATATATATATATATATATATATATATATATATATATATATGCCACGCTCTACATTGATCATAACAAACTGAGTATACTAATCGCTTAATATAAGTAGTTAAAACAAATCTAAATCAGGGTAACTTTACTACAATACGTCGAATGAAGCTTGACCACCATGGAGAATCTGGAAGCACTGGACAGCCGTTTCATCCTGCCGAGAATCCTTAGAAGGGAGCACCCACGACCCCGCCCGCGAGATCCGAACCCAGGACTCACGGTCGCTAAACCACTGAGCTAGCATCCAACGGTGTCAATGTCTAAACAGTGTGAACTACTCAAAACTCACTAATGAGCACATGAAGATTATTATCAGAAAGGGGGTTTTGTGAAAATTATAGTACCATTGCTGAGGAGTCCCATACTAAGACGAAATGGCCTTTCAGTGCTTCCAGGCTTTCCATGGTGATCCGGCTTTAATCGACTCATGATTTCAAATATTAAATTACTACAATCTCCACAAAATTCCCTTTCTGATAATACTTACACAGTTAAAAAATAGTTTATCTAGATATTTAAGCAAGCTAATATTCCATTATTTCTCACTTTTTCTAATAACTTTCTAATCTGTACTATGTGGATTATGAACAAATATTCCTAAATGAATCCTATATCATTATTGTTGCTAAATAATTTAAATATCGTAAAATTATTCAACATTGAACTCATTATCTCAGTATGATCCATTTTTTATTATTGAAAACATCTCGTGGATACGGAGGATCAATCTAGGAGAGTTGGAAAACCCTGATTCCAAAACCAATAGTGCACATGAGCTCTAGTATCCCGAAAGAACAAACGGCGTATGAACCTATTATTGGTCACCAGCTACCAACAGACTGCATCTATTGACGTTGCTCCACTGCCTTGTGGATCAGACCTTCCGGTTGAATAGCCGCCTCCTAAGAAAACTAACTGTTTCGGTTTGATCATCTGGACAGTATCACAACCCACTCACAAATCAAATGAACTTGTATAGAGCATATGTGTTCGGTGCCTCTTTTGTACCAATATTTATGTGTTCATATGTTAGCATCAGTAATTTATACATAAAACATTAGTTATTTTCTTTTTGTTCTTTATTTACTAATTCTCTTTTTAAAATGTAAAAAAATAATGATTAAACCACATACATTGAGAAAGAGAAATATGTACACAAAATAAAGAAGAAGAAGAAGAAGAAGAAGAAGAAGAAGAAGAAGAAGAAGAAGAAGAAGAAGAAGAAGAGAAAGAACAGAAACACATACATTTACCATACAACACATACACATCCTGATAGTATATGAATATGCATATACATAAAGAATAAGACAATCCATTACACACACACACACAAAAGAAAAGTTTACTAATGTGAATTGTGGCAGAACATAAATGATGAACCAACAACAACAAAAAAAGAAGAAGAACAATAAAGAGAGAAAAAAAAAAGTTGGAACAAATGGATAAAAAGCAACCATGAAATATCAACCGTTGCTGAGAACAAAATAATAAACATTTTATGTTTTCTACTCTCATATAAGCATACACACACATTTACACATAATAATATATACATCAAATTATGATTATTATTATTATTAATACTATTACTTCTATTAATGCATAACATCTACATGATTGTTCTTCAATGACAAACCCTATATTGAATAAATTGAAAGAAGAAAAAAAGAAATATTATAAGAATGTAGAACTCATGACAAAACAAAGAAAATTATCTTGTTACAATTGAAACTCTAAAGTACATTTTATCTAAGAAACTTGATGTTAGTCTTAAAAGAGAAAAAAAATGACTAAGTGTTATAATTTCTCTTATTATTATTATTATTATTACTACTACTACTACCTAGCTATCACTATTGCTTAGTAGTGTTCTTGGACATCAATTCACTCGACAATTACCCAAATGAGAATACAGTCGAACGTTAGTATATTTATAGAGTGAGATCGATTGTAAATACAATAATCTTGAGTGCTGTTAGAGGAATGAGGGCAGTTATCACTTTGCAGTTGCTCACACCGTGGAAGGGTTCTTCTGGAGATACCTGAGAAGGTAAATGGGTTAGAGGTGATTTTAGTGACCTGAGAGCGTGATCGCAGTGCCCAAAGAATAACTGCTTGAAGTTAGTTACACATGACCTTTTTGTGAATAATTTTCGTGTTAGGTCCGTATTTGTTGAAACCTTACCTCCGGAGACCCTTGTACAGTCAGCAGTATGACTTCGCCCTCAGACCTTGGGTTTGCTGCTTTTAGTCTTACCGTTCTTTAACCGACCTGTCTGGCATGGTAGGATCTTGAGGAATGATTGTTCCAGCCAGTAGAGCTCGATTGGTTCATCACAATAAGCAAGCCCAACCACCACTTCGAGGTAGCAGCAAGAATCGAGAGTATATTTATGGTTTTTACATTAGAAGATTCTATAGTCTTCTTCAATTATCGACTAGCGCTGATTGGATAAGAAATAGCCAATCAGTGTTCATCAATACAATCTTACACGGAATGTATTTTAATCCAATCTATGTCTTGCTAACACGTTGTTACTGACTGATTAACTGATACGAGCATTTAAAAAAGTATGAAGAAAAAACGAATCATCGAAATAAATTTTTAAATTAACAAATTTTACACATACTGAATAATCATAATGATGTCCGTCATTATCATTAACAGAATTATCTTCATTAATATGAGACAGGAGTTCTTCTTCATCTTCTTCTAATCCATCATCTTTTAATATTGCTGTTGTTGTATCACCATTAGTAAGAATAATTTCAGTATTTAAACATAATTCTTGTGGTATAGTTACACAGACATGTTTAGATTTTTGTGTAGGTGAGTGAAGATCATTTAATAAATTACCTAGTTGTAATAAACTTTCTTGTCTATCTTCTTCAGATAGATAATTACCCCAACTTGTACCCGTAGATTCATAAGTACGAGGGAAGTGTATTCGTGGTCTACCTCGTTTACCACCTCGACCCCGACCTCTGCCTCGTACAGACAATGTTGGTGTTGATGGTGTGGAGGATGGTAATATTGAGTTAACTGGTTGATTTAATAAATTAGAAGATTCTAATCTATATCGATTATACACTAGTCTAGATGATGATACTCTTCGTAAATAACGCTATAAAGAAAATGAAAGGAAAAAAAGTAACAACTAATCAGTTATGAACAACGCCAGTGTCGTAGGATTCTGCATGAATATGATGCACATTGACAAAAATTGGATTTATCCTTTATTTACTAACTCATCGATCAGATACTCGGGTATGAGGATTAATTATACTATCCGGTTGCCCAAACCGAAGTAGGTGGAGTGGTGTTCGAACATCAGACTTAGTGGTCGGAAATCGAACGCCTTATCCATCAGGTCACCAATGAAATGACCTAAGAATTGATTACATTGGAATAGTTGTATTTGTCTTCCTTATTTCTCTTAATCTTAAGTTGTGTTGTTCAATCAATTACCAATACTCGATTTCATTTATATCAATTAAACAGATATATACCTATCTGAGGTCATAACAGTAAAAATAGTTTAAAAGAACTGTGGCAAGTAACAAAGACTTGGTTGTGTTGATAATGGCGTTGGAAATTCTTACAAAACTGAAATAATCACATTACAACAAAATGATAGGAGAAAACGTTTGCGAATTCTTTGCTCGAGTTGTGTTAGAAATCTACACAAATTCTTATAAATCCATATAAAAAGCATAGATCACTGTTTCGGGCGTAAGTAACAATGACAAGAAATAATGCTGGCGACGTTCAGAATAAGTGTAAAAATTGAGAGAATGAAAAGTGAATGTCCGACGCTTTAACCGGGTTGGTCGACAGGGGGTCCACCTACGAGAGTTGGAAAACCCTGATTCCAAACCATTGGTGCACATGGGCTCCAGTATCCTGAAGGAACAAACGGCTTATGAACCAATTATTGGTCATCAGAATGCATCTCCTGAAGTTACTCCATTGCCTTTTGGATTAGACTTCTAGGTCAAAGGCTTGTGGTGTGACCTCCTAAGGAAACCACCTGTTTCGGTCTGAGCACCCGGACAGTATCACAGCCCACTGACAAATCAAATGATATGTATAGAGCATATCTATTTGGTGCCTTCTTGTACCAATGTTCATGTGTTAGAATAAAGAAATAAATGCAAATCTTACATGTGCTCTGGAAATCGCATGCAACGCAGCAAGACCTTGACGTTTAGGTGGTCGTCCACGTGGTCGTTTCACAATAAAACTATGTGACATTTGTGCGTTCAAATTACCACGTTGATTGTAAATTGTACAGCCTCTTGTTCTTCCTCTTCCTCTTCTTCCTCTACGTCCAGTAGTAGCAAGACGTGAACGTTTACTAATATGAGCATATGAACAACATTTACAATTTTCATTATCTGTATTCCAACAAGATTTAGATGAATGATGATAACGTCGACGATAACCATAAAATGATGACCTTGAGAATGGAGTATTAGTAGCAATCATGTAATTGATGTTTTCGAGTTTTATATCCATTTTCTCATCATCATCATTATTAGTAGTAGTAGTAGTATGATATGATAAGATTTTAGCAGTATGTTCAGCAGAACGTGTTAAAATTACACGACGATATTGTTTACCATTTGCTATATTACAATTTAATAGACGATTTAATTGTACTTTACCGAATAAATAACTAGCCAGTTTAGTGCTGAAACTGGAAAAATTCGATTGTGCATGTAAACGTAAAATTTCCAAATCACGTATTATACATGGATCAGGTATAGTAGATTTAGATTTCATAAGATATGGTAATAACTCAATAGCTCGTGCAATTCCAGTCTGTAAAGCACCGTGAGTACATTCCTAAGTAATGAAGAATAGATTAATTGTTTAAAATAAACAAATGAACAAAGCATAAACATAATACAACACAGAATGAATTTTGGTTTACGTTACCGAATGATATATTAGCTGGAGAAATATTGGAAACCACGGTGCACGTAATGAATAGTTGTTTACTGTCCTGATTTAAAGACTTCATAAAGTAGTCAATTGGTTACAATCAAGGAAGATATAGATACAGAAGAGAATCTACCCAAAATGACACTCTACACTATAACTTATGCCTTAGTTTGATATATATAGTCACTGAATAGGCCAGACACCGTTAAATTCAACCAATCTCCCAGCAGCAAGCACATACGACTCAGTATCCTGGGGTCGAACCCAGGATCTTTAGTACTGCGTGCAAACGTTTAGCCCCTGGGTTACTGAACCAGGATCATGGAGTTTAACGTTAACAACATTGGATGTTGGCTCAGTAATCTAGAAATAAAGCATTCGCGTGTGAGATGGGAGGTCCTAGTTTCAACCCCTGGAAGCAGGGTCGTGAATGTTCACTACTAATATGTTTCAGTCAATTAGCGAAACAGTGCTACTACTTACCATTGTCCTAACTTAGTCATATTGGTTGCAAAACCGATATGGTTAAACTTAATCAGTCGCGACTCCTAGCTAAAAATTTTAAAATCCATCTCGTAGTCTATTGGGATTTTCGAACCACGTCTGTGATGAGAATTCCATTCAAATTGTGAAATAATTCTCCATAAAACACCCAAATAAACTAAGAAAAAGGTTGAACTAGATGAGTTTGTGGAGAATTAGTTCACAATTTGAAGAGAATTTTCTTCACCAACAAATATCAGTTGAAGTACCGATTTGGAAATCGAACAGTTTGAGGCTTACAGTTAAATAAAGCATTGAATGCCTCCATTTAGATATGTAAATATGTTAGAGAGAATGAGAAAATAGATTATCATATGAATATTAAGTTTAGGAGACTAGATTGTTCTATAACATGATTTTATGCATATTAGCTTTATATAACGAGATACGTTTAGAATTTTGTAGACAGAGAGGAAGAGAGAAATAACTCTTTGAAATTACAATTCGGCCTATTCATTGTGATTAATAAAGCTACAGATAATAGTCCTTTGCAGCCATATATATAATCGAAAGTTCGATTAGATTCTTACCAACTCAGCCAGTCATAACGTAGAAACTGTACGCACGTATGAAAATTCACTACCTCATCAATTGATTTACCATCCTTACCTAGTAACCTATTCCTAACCCAAGCATTGTTTACTTGATGGTCCCAAAATGATAAATGTTCGACAACTGGAAATAGCTAACTAACTTGATCGATGGACTGATGGTGTCTGATAATAATTCTAACTAAACAACTTGTTTGGTTGTATTATTAGTATACGTGACATAATCGAAAACATACTATCATTATAAAAATGCTTTTGTGATTTGCAGAAACGTATCGTAAGGTGAAGAAAACAAATACATAGGTATGTAAAATATAATTTTAGATCTTTTACACAGTAAGTACATACTATGCAGTTTTCTAGATGCTAGTCTGAAACTACGTAAGGCATGTACGTGTATATTACAATTATTCGGTCATTCATATTTTCGAAACAGTACTCGTAAGTCGTAGAGCCACCAGATGAACAGTAATGTTTTCAAGTAGAGTATTTCAAGAAAGGAAGGATAACTCAGTCAATGACAATGTGAGCTTACACCGACTAACTCAATTGTGTCTTGTATTATTCACATTAATTCATTAGTTAAATATACAATCATGGCTGAAATAGATTGGAACTAAGTAAGTGATTGCTAGACTCAGGGATGACACTAATTACCATCAGTTAATCTGAGTTGAAGACGAATGTATAGACTTCATAAGAAATGCTAGAAAAATGGCTGACATCATCAATTGAAAACTCGCTGAAATAGTTCGAACAGATTTCGATGGTAAAGGTGTATAAACTTCTGACTACAGTCATATTCTCCATCGATTTTCCTCTTTTATCGATTGACACTGTCCATTTAATTTGATTTAACCGATACATACAATTTGTTGCAAAACATGTGGATTTAACACAACACACTTATATTTAATGTTTCGTATGCAGAGTTGTTATAAACTTATCTAGGTGTTTGGTTTTTAATTAAATATTGATGAACTCGAGGCCATACTCTATTCATTTAACCTCGGATAGAAAAAATTATTTTTCCTGATAGAATAAACAGTAGCACAGCAAAACTGTACGATAATAGTCAGCTACAATTATTTCATTACTAGTTTTCATGTTTAATTTATAGGAAAAACAAAACACAATTTACCTTAGCTTCTTTCGCTGTCAATGTTCCTTCACCAGCAAACAGAAGACGTGGAATTGTCAACTCATTATCAGCAGTAAAGTTCACATTATTGCTACTAAGATTATCGTCAACAATAAACACATCCTTTTCTAGTTTCATTTTCCGCTGATTTTCGGCATCCAAACCAGTTAAACTTAATGCATAGACTAACCGATCAGCATCGGAACTACCTGGCTCTCCAGTAGTATAAGCGCCTAGAGCAAAAGGATCTTCAGACCAACGGGTCACTAAATAATATACTGGGTCGGGAATTTTACGACCTGATACTTCAGAATCAGGTTTGTATTTTCCACCGTACATTAAGTCTAATAAATCTAATATTATATCAACAATTTCTTTATCCGATCGATTAGCTGAATTGAGACCAGATCCTCCCCATAAATGAGCGCATAAAACACCCGGTTTGCCTGATAATTGAATAAATTGGATAATACTTATTTGCAAATAAAAATATCTAGTATTCTTAAAAATTAGTATGATGTATATGAAAGTTTATTTAGTCATATATATTATCGACTCAAGCATGAAAAATGTGAGCTACTGAGTTTGTAATCAGTAGTCCTAAGGCAACGTGTTTACTATGTGACCTGGCTTCAACCTGTAGCTGGTATTGCGTGTACACCGTTAAGTCTTGGAATAGGAAACAGCTGTCCATTTCTCCCTGTTTTCCAATAGTTACCTAACCGAAACCAAGTTATCGTAGAAAACATATATTTTGAAGACCAACCCATTTTGTCTAAGAACTGTTCTAAGAGGGGGGCGCTCGAACTTAGGATCCAGTTGAATGCAATAACCCCTAGACTCCGATACTACTTGCTTCAGTATAAGTAGATGAACACAAGACGTACGAATCAAAGTCCATTGCATGATGCCCCTAGACAAGTTAGGTCCGTGTTACCACCATAACCATAAGGTAATATGGCATATAATCGCCTCTAACTTTTTTAAATGTATACAACTAACATTTTGCTGAGATAACACTCATAAATGAGACATTAACCAAGCACGGATTGATGTACTTGGCTTTGAGTTGAATTCTGGTGATGCTACCTGGTTACCTAAACTGAAGTAGGTAAGGTGGTGTTCGAAAGTCAAACGCATTCATCATTGAGTCACAGCTCCACTGACTAGAATGTTAAGAGAAAATAATTCGATTCTCTAAGACAACACACCCCGGTAATGAACAACACATCAAGTAAAATTACCTAACAATTGCCAACAACTATCTGACATCGAGAATAAAGTGTAAGAAAATCTCAGCATATTGAACTTCATGAACTTATTAACCTTATTGATAGTGTATGGTCATAACAGGATCGTGTAACATGACTTTGGCTAGTAACCCAGTGACTAGTTTATATAGACAATACATTAATGTATAGTAATGACGACATGATTAAAACATGGAACATCTACTGTTCAATTAGCTATCTATCATAGATATCGAGTAGAAAATTTTCACCTTTTTGAAAATACAAGGGAGAAATAAGAATGAATACAAATTAGTCGATTCTGATATCAATAATCTTTTCGATCGCCTAGAATGTTACAAACAAAAGACATTGATAACAATAGATAAATAAAATTTAAAGACCAATACAAATTGACTGACCGAAATGTTTACTTACCATAACGATGTAAATTTAGAATATGCAAACGAGGATCAGGACATTTGAGATGAGCTGCACCAGTATCCCAGAACACATGTTCAGGATATTTAAAGCGTAGAATTACTTTTTCATGTGTAGCCGAACCTTGACTAGGCATACCCAAACGTTCAATAGCTTTACGTTTATTCAATGGTAATTCCGGATAGAAAGTGATTGTTGAAGACGGACTAAGACCTACAAGACAATAAGAAAGTTCCGAAGCAAAAATAGTGAACTAATAAAAGTAATTATAAGAAAGGGGTTTTGTGGAGATTGTAGTAATTTAACAGTTGAATTCATGAGTTAATTTAAGCTAGGCCACCATGGAAAACCTGGAAGTACTGGACGGCTTCAAGAGGCATTTCATGAAGTTCTAGTGAGAAGCTGTGACCAGCGGAGTTCAACCGAGTCTGTTGTGAAATAGTAACACAGTGAACACAATGGTGGACTGTGGTGCGATTTCGTGGATTGGTTGATGTTAGACATTTAACACTGTTGGATGCAGGCTCAGTGGTCTAGACGCTAAGAGTTAGCGCGCGAGGCCGAAGGTCCTGGGTTCGAGTCATGTTCGCGGAACCATGGATGGGCACCGATGAGGTGTCTCATACGAAACAGCCGTCCAGTGTCTCCAGGTTTTCTATGTTGGTCTAGCTTTAATTGACTCATGAATTCAATTATTATTGAATAAGAGTAATTATTATCATGATTATTATAAATGCATAACATCACGACGCAGTGAATATTTAAGTCAAACAGAAATAATTCCATGACAGCATTAAGCTCACAGAATACGAACAGGTAGTTTCGATCATTTTAATGAAAACGAGAGAAATGTTTATATTTCTTAAACAAACTAGCAGTTTACAATAATAATAATAATAATAATAATAATAATAATAATAATAATAATAATAATAATAATAATAATAATAATAATAATAATAACAATAATAATAATATACACAAAATCCCCAAGCTGGACAGAAAAGGATAGATTCAAGAGAGATGCTGCTGTATTCGGATCACGAAGAAGAAAATGCTCCATATACTCAAAGAGTTTCTCTGATGCTGTCCAAAGAAGCACAAAAAGAAATTATAAAGTGGGAATCTCATGGATCCAGAATCATCAAAGCATCTTTCAAAAAAAGAAGGGAATCACAATAAATGTTATCCAAAGTTACGAACCAACCAACGACAGTAACGTCAATCACTCAGTCAGCTACAACGTAGGACCAGGCACATATATGCATCAGTCCAAGTTGCCATACCTCATTGGCAGAGCAAGATGAACACCGGATTCATAAATGTAGTTAATTCAGAGGTGATAATATATAAAAGAAAGATTGCATATAAGGATATAGAACAGGAAAAAAGAATTAGTTCATAGAAAGAAAGATATGAAGCGATTTGAATCTCTTAGTTTAAGGGAAGATATAGAGTGTATACATCGACTGAAACATTTCACCCAGAGTCTCCTGAGAAAATTGTCAACATTATACGGAACTCATACGACGGACTTACAGTGCAAAGTCATGCATGGAGGACAGCTGACAGATGCATTCCAAGTGAAGAACGGAGTCAGGCAAGGCTGTCTACTCTCCTCCTTCCTCTTTCTTCTGGTGGTCGACTGGATTATGAACACCTCGACATCTGAGGAGAAGCACGGAATACAATGGACAGGTTGGATGCAATTAGACGATTAGAACCTCGTAGATGACCTGGCTCTTTTATCCGATACACACTAACAAATGCAGGTAAAGACAACCAATGTGGCAGAAGCCTCTGCGTCAGTAGACCTCAAGATACACAAGTTAAAAGGCAAAGTCCTCAAATGCAACACAGAGAACACAAGCCCAATCACACTTGATGGAGAAGCTCCGGAACAGGTGGAAGCTTTTACGTACTTGAGAAGCAATATCGGTGAACGACGAGGAACAGATGCAGATGTAAAGGCGAAGATTTGCAAAGCAAGGACATATTCCTAAAGTTGAAGAATATGTGGAGCTGAAACTTGGAGAATTACCACAACCATTGTCAAAGAAGCGCAAGTATTTATAAATAATTGTTTATGCACGATACCCAATGTCCGTTAGTTGGATACCGCCAGCAACATCCTGCTGTGGGACGGAACAAACCAGATTCCAGATGAGGAAATTGGGAAAAGACGATGGAAATAAATAGGACATACATTACGCAAATCATCAAACTGCATCACAAGGCAAGTGCTAACTTGGAATACTTAAAGGAAACGGAAAAGAGGAAGGCTGAAGAACACAGTACGTCGGGAATTAAAAGCAGACATCAAAAGAATGAATAACAACTGGACAAGATTGCCCAGGACAGAGTTGGATGATGAATGCCGGTGGGAGACCTATGCTCCTCTACGAGGGGTAGTAGGTGTAAGTAAGTATACACGAAATCAGTTGCTAAATAGTAAATAGTAGCAACCCATATGAAGTGCCTTGGTTATCGAAACTTTAGTTGTCAAAGTGAACTACTTAACCAAGTACAACAACATATGAATACCATATTTGATGTAGAATGAATACAGGCAGTTGTAAGCTGAGAACAGATTTCACATTCAGTGACACATAACAAAAAGATAGGTAGAAAAAAATTATACAAAACCTGGTTCGATTTGGCATCCATTCAAACAATCACACTTTAAATCAAAAGTGCACTAAGAAGGAATCAGTGAGATGAGACACTAGAGAAAATAATAGATATTTTGTATCTGTAATAAGATGTGCGAGTTGCTAATGCACCATAGTTGATAAAACTACCAAGATACAAGAAATTGGCATGAGACATTAAACTGATTTACTTCTCATTTTTAAATTGAACACCGAAGAAGCATATGAAATTCGAAAGAGATCTAATGCATTCTAAACATTTTTGAAACACCATTTATGGTTTTATGAACTCTGTATAATGTCGGAATTCACACGAAACAGAACCACGTTGCTTATATAACGTAATTTGTCCAGAAAATTCCCGAATGAGAGGTTACTATCTGAGAAATGAAAAGATGTTACCTCGAAGACCATATCTATAAGCAATATTAATGAAGACAGACAACTCCAACGGATAACACTTGGCATAGTTGATCGAAACAACATTTTGCCATCAGGTTTTAATTCAGAGCACTTAGTAGTCTAACGGACGTATTTAGTATGAGCTCTAGTAGGAATTATCGATTCATGCTTAACAATATACCTTCAATTCAACAAACGCAAGGAACAACAACGTGATCACCAATACTAGGACTTATTGTAGAAGTGATTCTGAAACTGGGAGCCTCGATTTTACTAGTGATTAAGCCAAAAATGTGGATTCCATACTCATTTTTACTTGAATTCTGTGCTGATGATGTTGATCAGAAGAATGATGAAAGCTCCATGACCAAACCTTGCAGCTCAGAAAACGAAACTCCTCCAAAACTATGGTGTATAACTAGAGTACCTGCAGATCAGTTGAACTGTTCGTTAAAGTGTCTAACTAACCGCTCTATTCATCTGGCTCTACAAGTAGAAACCACTGATCAATCATTTTCTACGACAGTCTCACTAACTGTTAATAAATGTGAACACAGCCTTTTCGATCTTTAGACTAAGAAACAAAATTACTAAATAAAGAGCCTACGCAATAATGATGATCAGTAGTGGGCAATAGTCAGTTTGAGTTTCCAAGTATTCATTAGTTTTTTCGAAGTTATCGAAATTGATTGGTGTTTTTTTTAACTTCCTAATGATATCTAATAATAACCTCACCCACTGTAGAGTGGGATGAAGATTACACCAGGTTATCTTAAGATGGATATCACTGTTATGCTCTATTTAGTGTCTAGATAGTTCCATTTGAGGCACAACGCCAAAACTGCAGTCTTTTAATTAAGTTTGAATTGATCTTCCAGTTGTAAGTTCTTCAAATCCAACGATGTATATGCAATTCATGTTAGGCTCTTCATACAGAAGTGACGATATTGCTTGTAGACTCATTTACGATGGATTTGTATATTCAGCTGATGAAATGAAACCTGTGTACTAAATTCCAAGCACCGAGCTGATCATAAATGATCAACTTACAAGGTGTTCATTTATACCCGATTTACTACTGACAGTATTAGACTGAAAGTTTGGATCTCTTATTGCATATAAGTCATCACTAGTCGCTACACCCACAGTGATTTTTTCATTTGCTTTTGGTATCAAAAAAAGTTTGTTAAAATACGGCACAATACAATCGGAGCATTTTAGTTCTTGAAGGTTAACGACATCATTTGGGGCACCTCCTAACTCGTTTGTTATGTTTTGATGTGTTTTTTTTTTAAAAAAAAGGTGATTAACATTGAGTGAAAAATAAGATATTATTTAAGAAAAAAACAAACGAGCATTTCGAAGTACTTAGTGCTATTTATATGTAAAATAAAACACAACTAACCTTTTAGCACACCAACTGGAACAGTAATAATACAATGTTTGGCTTCATATATCTGCTCTTCATACGAATCCTGTGTCAAATTATCATCATCACCATTCTGAGTTAAATGGGATTGCCGTTTCACTCTTGCCTTTATTAATATTCTATTATGGTGTGTATCATTATTATTAATACTATTGTTATCATTATTATTGATATTATTACCAGCTCTACTCCAATCAATTTCCGTAACTACAGCATTGTAGATTATATTTACACATTTAAGCAATGGATTCAATAGGTCACTAAATCGACTAGTCACTAGGCGATCCTCCCAGCTAACACATACGCATTTAGCAATCGATGGTAAGGAGGACTTATCATTATTTTCTAAAGCGTCTAATTTACGTTCTGCCCAAGCATGATAAGCTTTACGTTGATCAAATGTAGGATAGGATTGTACGAGTTGAGCCAGTAAAGATGATTGATTTAAACCATGTTGTCCAGTATTTATGCCAGATTTTCCACCGATAATATTTGATTGCCATTTCGAGTCGGCCACTTCACATAGATCATCTAAAACGCATAATGGCAAGCGTTCTATAGGATTTACATATGCTAAATAACGGCTAACTATAGATAAGAATATGCCTTCTTCAATATGATCGCGAAAATTAGCAGAAGGACGAATTCCGAATTGAGCTTCAGTGTCAAATATGTCTTGTAAAGCTTTATCAAAAAGTTCCTAGATTGAATAGAGAAACAGAAAGCATTATACGTATATATAAATATATAACCTCACAGAAAATAGCAAACAAATGGATGAAAAATGAAAAACCAATGTTGAAATAGTCAACAAACATTTTAGTAGAGTAAGGTCGGGTTAATATTGTTGGTTTCGAACGTTAGCATATGATTATGTTCTATCATTGAGTGCACCACTTACTTATTTACGCCTGTTACTCATCGTGGAAGGGCATAGGCCGCTCACCAACACTCTCCATTCAACCCTGTCCTAGACAATCCCTTCAAGCTCCTTTCAGTTGTTATTCATCCTTTTCATGTCTGATTCTATTTCCTGACATAATGTGTTCTTCAGCCTTCCTCTTTTCCGCTTCCCTTCAGGATTCTAAGTTAGGGCTTGCCTCGTGATGCAGTTTTATCATTTGCGTAATGTGTGTCCTATTTATTTTCATCGTCTTTTCCTAATTTCCTCCTCAGCTGGAAGCTGGTTTGCTCTCTGTCACAGTAGGCTGTTGCTGATGGTATCCCGTCAACAATGGATATTGAGTATCATGTGTAGACAACTATTTATAAATACTTGTACTATTTTGATGATGATTGTGATAGTTCTCGAAGTTTTAGATCTGTATAATAGAACTGCCTTCACGTTCGTATTGAAGATTGTGACTTTGATATTGATTGACAGACAGTTGTTTTGAGCTGCACATGTTCTTCAACTGTAGGAATGTGACCCTTGCTTTGCCAATCCTCGCCTTTACGTACGCATCTAATCCTGCTTATTTATTAATGATGCTTCCAAGGTACGTGAAGGATTCCACATCTTCCAGAGTTTCGTCATTAAGTGTGATTGGGTTAGTATTCTCTGTGTTATATTTGAGAATCTTGATCTTTCCTTTATGTATGTTGAGGCCCACTGATGCAAAGGCTGTTTCTACACTAGTTGTCTTCATCTGTCTTTGTTCGTGTGTATGGGATGGGAGGGCTAGGTCATCTGCAAAGTCTAAATCGTCCAAATTGGTTCTGAGCTATCCATTGTATTCCGTGTTTTCCCTCAGATGTTAAGGTCTTCATAATCCAGTCGACCACCAGAAGAAAGGGGAAGGAGAGTAGAAAGCCTCGTCTGACACATTGTGACAACGTAAAATGAAAAAGCATCAAACAATGAAAGGAGATTGATCAATGATTTTACATCCTCATCAAATAATATCTACAAAATTAATCAGACACTAAAATTGAGTGACAAAATACATGATTCTAACACTAACTATCCAAAGTTAAAAGTACATATCATAATTCTGTAAAAATGTTTAGTTATCTAGTTTTCAATGCCTTTTATCGAAAAAAAAGAAAATCTTAATTCTTGAATTTTAAGCTCAAGCATTATTTATTAATTATTTATTTGAAGGCATAAATACTGGTACAAGGGGGCACCAGATATATATGCCCCACACCATATTCGTGTGTGGGGGGTGATACTGCCCGGGTGCCCAAACCGAAGCAGGTGGTTTTGGGGGGGTTACACCCGGAGCCTTCGACCTAAAGGTCTGGTCCACAAGGCAGTGGAGCATCGTAAGGAGATGCAGTCCCATGGTATCTGGTGACCAACGATTGGTTCATACGCCGTTTGTTCCCTCAGAGTACTGGAGCGCATGTGCACCATTGGTTTGGAATCAGGGTTTTCCAGTACTCATAAATGGACTTTCCGTGTCGACCAACCGGTTAAAGAGTTGGAAAATTTGCTTTTCGTCCTCTCAATTTCGTAAACAACAGTAATGCCACGAGAAGGCAGTGAGTAGGACTTCCGTGGCAGAGGCTATATACACGTGGCCATGTGAGAGCACTTGGAAAGAGAGGGTGGTTTCTCTCCACTCTTGGCAGTACCAGAGCATTTGTATTTGACACATTCAAATTTATATGGTAGATACGCCAATAAATAAATAAATAGCCCCCAAATGCCCTGGTATGGCCGAGAGTCGAGTGGGCCCACCTTCCCTCTCGAAATCCTCTCACATGGCCACGCGTATACAACCCCTGCCAGGGAAGTTCTACTCACTGCCTTCTCGTGGCGGATGTGTTGTTTACGAAAATGAGAGGACGAATAGCGAATGTCCGGCGCTTTAACCGGATCTCAAACCGATGGTGCACATGGGCTCCAGTATCCTGAGGGAACGAATGGCGCATGAACCAATTGTTGGTCACCGGCTACCATGGGACTGCATCTCCTCACGATGCTCCACTGCCTTGTGGATCAGACCTTTAGGTCGAAGGCTCCGGATGTGGCCCTCTAAAAAAACCGCCTGCTTCGATCTGGGCACTCGGGCAGGATCACAGTCCACACACAAATACGGTGTGGCGCATATATATTTGGTGCCCTCTTGTACCAATATTTATGTTGAAATAATAAATAAAATAGTTATTTTAAAAAAAGTGCCTCCTTGTTTCACAATTCATGGTATAAGTTAGAGAATTGGAGATAGTGTCAAATTACTTGTTACATACAATCTGTAGAGATGGAATTAGGCATTTGATGTGATGAATATTATCCTTTTTTACTGTGGTGACATAAACTAATTTTCCACCATTATTTTAAACATTTTGAGTAGTATAAAATGGCATTTCGGATACTCGTTGTGCATGATATTTTAATTTCGTACAAAGACCTAAAAACTGCGTTCTGAATTCTGATTGACTCATTCCTAATGTATACTTCCACTGTAAGGAACGTATTCGAGAAATAAGAAGGATATAGTAACTTTAAAACTGAAAATTGAAGAAAAAAATAATGAATACATCTACTCCACCGTGATCGATTCTAATCTATGCTATGTGAAGGAAATATATATAAAAGTAGCGGAGTACAAACATAAGATATGATTAGGACATTAGATAGCAATGCTCAATAATTAAATATTAGTTGCGTTTTTTTTTTCAATTATCCATACATTAGATATGATTCACTGCTTTTACATAAAGATATAACCGGTTGATCTCATTAATACGTCATATTATCGACATGTCAAATAACAATCTATCATAGGTTATAGTGGTTAAATTATTACCCGGTTCCGATTCGTGTAATTGGAAGCCAATTACACTATATGTATGAAGGTAAGTGATACTATTCAGCTGCCACAACCCTAACAGGAATAAAAGCCTGCATCTCACTACCAACAAAAGCTGTGATTCACTAATTAGGGCGTTTGACTTCCAGCCACTAATTACCAGGTTCAAACCTCGCTTCATCTACTTCGGCTTAGCCAAGGAGGTCGCATCACTTACTCTCACACTTAGGCGGCTCAAAGCCAAAAACATGAATCTGTACTTGGCAACGAGTTAATAATAATAATAGACAATCCATGATAGAGTTCATCAAATAACTTAATATATGTTCAACCAATCATTATATTGCTAAACAATGGGTAGAACATGCATGATGAACGAACCAATCCAAAATGTTGTTACGACTGTATTTTTTCGATGATTAGTGCATAATTATTTGTATTTAAATACTTACTTTGACTGTAGTGTCAGAATGACTATATTGTGTTTTAGATTTTGTTTTCATATAACGATCAACAGTAAGATGAATAACCTTATCAAACAAAAATACACCATCAGCAACTTGATCAGGAGTTATCGGCGAGTTAGGAGTAAAATGATTAAGCCATTTGGCTATTTCTACACATTCCCAACCGCGATATTTTTTGCACAAATCACCAGCAGTAACAGCTGTAGGAATTCGTAGCATACGAGCTAGATGAAATAATGGTTGGTCAGCTTGTCGATTTGAACAACCAATTAAATAGTTTGCACCAAGATCAACATCAATCGGACCAGAATAATCCGAATTAATTTCATCATTTAATTGACGATCAAATGATTGGTGGGCAGAAGGAGGAGAACGAGATGACATGGAACTATCAGAATCGGATGATTCATGCACTGACGTATTAGGTTTTTGTTCGTCAATATGGAAATGATAAGTACTGAGGTTATCATGATTGATATTTGATTGGGCATTAGAAACAGGTGCTAGGGATCGAGGAGAAAAAACACCAGAAGTGTACAAAACCTTGAAGAGTAACTAATTCGAAATTGAGTATTAGTTAACATACACTGCAACAGTAAAAACAGTAGAGATCAATACTGATAGGAATACATGAGCAATAAAATAGTAATAATGCTGAATGGAATAATGTCTCAGTAGCTTTTAGGATTTCACCACTCATCTCTATAAGCATTTGCAGCTGGGATGATCTCAGGTGCTGTTAGAGCTTAAACGTAGACTGAAAAAGGCCTACCCAATGATTGTAAGCAGTGGTGTGTAACGCAAGCAGAACAGTTGGAAAAGGCAGTAGTGATATGTGACAGTAGACAACTGTCCACTTATCAAGGAAACAGGTAATAAAATTACTACTGTTAAAGAGACTGTCCCGAGAGAAAAAACAGGACCACTAATCATTCACAATCCAGGAGATTTGACCTACGTGAAGAATACTCTAGAGAACAGTCCAACTGGCCTTAAGTTACCCATTATTTCAAATGACCTAGATGGCGAATTGATGTAAGTTTTCTAACCATTATTGAGGTTGAGGCAATAAGCAATCTAAAGTAAAGGAGAGTAGCAGGGCACGACAGATTAACTCCTGAGAATTTTAAGGATGGTGCTCCAGGTTTAGCGGTTAGATTGGCAAACATCTTAGCTAGAATTTTGGAATCGGATGTAATCCTATCTGACTGGTCTTGATCGCTGGTTGTTCCAATTTGTAAGAAAGGGTAAATATCCTCTTGTGACAATCGCAAAGGAACTTTTAGAACACCTTGAACCAGTATTTACGAATTTGAGGTTGTCAATCCAGACATATACGAACATATTAGAACAAATTGAAAATTTATGATACAACTTCAGCACCTACCGAGTGGAAACGATAACTTTAAGATAAGTGTGAACCTAAAACTTATCTGATTATAAAAAGTGAACTAGTTGAGCAACTGAAGTTCGCCTGCCTGAGTAACTGTATTAATCCTAGTGGAGTAAACTCAGCGAAATTATAGCAGGGAAACATTTCGTTGATACCCTATAAAAAGCATTAGCAATAAGAACGGTGAAGAACCGGACCCCTCATCATTGGTCGAATTTAGATGCTGTTGAGGCTGAAATTAACTCTCAAAATAAGATAAATCGTATGGTAAAACTATAAGCACATATCGCATGAGCAGGTAGATGACAGACAAACCTAAAACTCAGAAGAAAACTTATAAGCCTAGATTAAACGGTTAGGACATGTATTCTGTATTCTTTACTTGACAAGTTTGAGCAAATGTGAGATATACAGAGTATTAGAATCGATTGTCTGAGACAAAACAGTAGTACATGCAATCACTTGAAGGAAACTATCGGCTTTTACGCTGAAAACATTGGTTAAGATGACACTAAATAACTTTAAAATTCACCTGGATGCCATGTATACGGTTAGTCTATAGCCCAAACTGGGATGGTTTAGTGGTTAGAGAACTTGGCTACTAATCATGAGGTAGCAGGTTCGAGCATTCGCTTGACTTGCTTCGTTTTTAGTAACCAGTTGGTATGACTACGCTTCAAAGAGTGTAGCTGAAGTTGAGAATCTAAAATCCGGGATTTTAACTCACGTAATAAATTCATAGAAATATCAACCGTAGCCAGTAAACGTAAGCTACGATCTTACGGTAAAAGCCTATTATTAAAAAGCTACTTTTTGTAATGTTTTTGAACCGTCGATAATGTTTTCATTAAAAATAATAAAATTAACATGCTTATTACAAGTAGTGCAAGTAAAAACAGACACTGAAAACAGGTATGGATTGTCAATAAAAGAGTAATAGAAGTAGAAGTAGAGCCAACCTACAACACCTGTTACTTAACTGGTGGATGTCAATTGATACAACTATTTAAATGCGCATATGTTTTAGTAGTTTGCTGTAGAAAGTATTAATATTAACTGGCTAACAATAAAAGAACTACATTGGGTTTTTTATCTTGTAAACTTGTAACTGACTTGAGTGCATAGACAACTGGGTCACGTTGCACTGTGGTAGTACACTTAATACTAAATAACTAAAGTATTTGGTTCGATTGAACATACCAGGGACGAACCCGTTATATATTAGATGTTAACCACATTTGTTTTGCGAAAGCTCCCTATATGAATCAGTAATTTAGGGGATAATAAACCAGTTTTAACTGATACTATCATGGTTGCATGATGTGTTGGTAAAGCTTCGATGACTTTGAAGATTGGTAACCTGCAGTGAACGCAAAAATTTCACGGAAAACAATCCCAAGTTGTAGATAAAGCCGGGCTGATGAATTTTGTTAACCTAAGCACATCATGAATAATCATTAGTAGGGTTTTTACTTGCTGTACTACACAGATTATACATCAGTACGCTATCTGACTTTTAAAAAGTATAGCTATTAATTGGATGCACCATGCTTCCCAATCTTAGCCACAATTACCTGTAGATATCCATAGATGTCAAAAAAGCCGGTCTGTACGTAGGTTTGTAGGACGTTATGAAACCAAACTAGTGGACATCAGGAAAATGAATACATCATAGTGCAATCTAAACACGAGTCTTCAGTTCTAAAACCTAATGCAGTTGTTCCATGTCCAAATACGCAAACATTGTCAATTGAATTTTTAGACTTACACATAACAGAAAATTATCACGCTAATTTGATGAGGTCAGATGGCTGATGAAATTAAATCTCAAGTAAAACAATTCAAATCTCCAGCTAGAGATTCCATGTTTTGGATAATTAAACATTGTGTGATTTCGGGAGAGTAAATTTACCTTAGTCAGGTTTAAAGAGTGGGTGGAGTTGAAGGTCTAGAGAAAAAGCTAAAACTGTGTGGAATGAAAGGAATGTAGACAAATGCAGGGAGAACGAAGAGCAATAATAACGACAAATTCTAATATGCATGCAAAAACTAACTGAAGAGAACAGTGACCGTCTACCTAACACTCGCATAACAAACAGGATGATCTTATAAATTTAACTCACCAAGCATAGGTTTATTTACTTGAAAGTTAGTAATGCCGCTCAGTTTTCCTAACAAAGGTAGGTAGGAAAGGGCGTATAAACTATTCTTTCAGGAATAAACGGAGACCTTACAGTCTAACTCCGGTACCAAAATGACTGTAACCCTAGTTGGTTTAGTACGAGTATCTTAAAAATATTTATTTTAACGCCTTCGTTTTTCCTTTAAACTAAGATAAGTCATTTGCGACAAACCATAGATAAAGCATAATGTCTATTTTCTGAAGAAACGTTCTCCAACCATTTATTTGTCAGTAAAAATACTGATGACAGTAATAATACAAATATTGGCAATGTAACTGGGGAAAAAACGCATATTGGTTAAGCCATGCTTGCATTTACTCATGAAGCCTCTACTAGTAGGTTAGCTAACTTGCTGAATGATGATATTCTCCTCTTCAAGTTAATACTATCTAAAAAAGAATGAATTGTAAAACTAAGAGAGGTTACAGTATGGAAATGATTTTATTTAAGACCATACCCACCCTTATTAGCTAATCAAAAGAACTTTTACATTTAGTAGTGGAATAAAAAGAGAACAAGATCGCAATTTTGAGACGAACATCTAACTTCGCATGGTTACATTCAAAATTATAAATATTACACTTAAAAGACGAACAATTAAGTTAGTTAATGCATCGTTTACTAAGAAAATACGTGGTATATGTCGAAGTATCCCGAAGTACTACAATCGTCTACTGAGATCCATGGCTAAAATGCAATTAGCAAACCAGAAGTGACAGTTACTAAGGTCATTGATGTAGAATAAATAACTGCTACTTGACTGATTTTGGTTAGGCGCATATGTTTGTGCAACGACATACCAAAATATGTGATCCTTTTATGTTGCTGCTTAGTCGAGTTTTTTGATAAATTTATTACGAGAAGAAATTCTCTTTACACACGTATGAAGTGTCAAACAATGTATAAATTACATACGTATTTCTAAAAAAGTTTAATTTTTATTTTTGATTACTGGGGCCTGAACCTCAGTTTAAAATTAGATTTAAGTGTAATCAGTAAGACTGTTATTTATTACAACTGCAAGTATTCTGGATTCTATCTACGATGATCTAACAACTAAAGTTCCTGATCGTTTAATAATTATAATTAATTAACCAAATTCTTATTTATATTGTGAAAATAGAATTTTGTAAATGCAAGAAAACTTAATTTTAAGGTATTAATTAATCTTTAATTATGCAATGTTAACAAAACGAGAAAACTTACTTGATAATGAGGGTAGGCGCACGCTATGTATTCGGCCACCTGGACGATTACGCGCCTCCAACACTAGAACATTATATGATTCACGAGTGAGTAGGTGAGCAGCTCCCAGTCCAGATATACCTGCACCGATAACAACCACATCGAACATGCTTGTACTAACGGTTAGTCAACCAATCAAACGAAGACCAGTGACTTACTAGGCCCCACTGACACGGGGAGCAGGTGCGCGACAAATTCAATTTTGAATTGAGCTAGCACGAACCATTATGCTACTAGCTGTTGACCAATAAGCCACATGGAGTAGACTTCTTCGACTGTTCTTATGTATTGAGGAATGTTAATGTGCAAGATTAAATGAACCTTGAATGTATTTTTCACCGTGTTCCGAAGATATTGGCAGGAATTGTGTGTACCAACCAAATCAAAAGAATAACTGGCTGTAGCGAAGTAAAACCATAAGTTAAAGTGAGTCACGAATATTTATGATGCTTCACTGCCAGTATCACTATTGTGAAAACTGCCACTCTCAAATGACTGAATTGTTAATGATGTTCATAATTATAAGTGGTAATATAATTTACATAAAAAATTAAATGTCTTTAAAGTTGGGTTTTTCCTCATGTCTAGTGCAATGAATGAAGTCGCGGTATTTCAACTGTGAGACTACGTTACTAAATCAACTCTCTGCACTTTTGGTGATATATGTGAACAGTAAGGTGCAAGTCCGAAGGTCTTCATCACATACAATTTGTCAGCTCCTAAACATTTTTTTGAAAATAGAACACGACGTTGTGTATGATAGTACTTAAAATTTTCAAAACTTAGGACCTCGAATCAATGAGATGACACTTATCTAGTCGCCAGGCCTATAAGTACGGAGGAACTTCGGGTTAGTTAGTCTGCATGTCAAGTAGAGCACAGTGTCCAAGAGCTCCAACCTCAACAACCCTACATAAATTCTTTCAATCGTGTGGCAACAAATAAATCCATTAATTTACTGACGACTAGCCTGATCGAATTTCAACGTGAGGTTACATCCTTGTTAGTTTTAGTGAGCTAGCTCACATCATAGTGACTGCTAACAGTCCCTTCACATCCATATGTCTAAGTAGGTAGTCTTAACTACTGTAGTTTTCAGTCCAAAATCTACTCTGTGAAGCAAGTTGTATCGAAAGTGTTCTCGAAACAGGGCAAATTTAGTTAGGCTTCCTATAACAATAAGTTAATTCAATGTTGTACTACTTTAATGAATCCTCACTGTATATTAATTTGCATAATAGGTTCACCCTTGTCCCAAACTTCGAAAATAATACATTGACGTTTATGTATCAAAATAATATCTGAAAGATTGAACATTTTCAATCACCAAATAAGAAGACATCTCTGGGTGACGTCGGTGTGATCTGTAAACGTTTCGTTCCGGAGCTTCTGAAGCCATTGTATGAAAGATTAGTTCATAATCAACGTTCATGAACACACTTTAAACATACATAAAATAATTCAACACATTTTGTTGGGACGCAATTCTGAGCTTAACTGATACGAACTATCTGGTTCTGAAGTATGACCTAGATAGTTATTATTTTGGTAATTTCGCAAGTTTGGGGATACTAACTTCTGCCGAGTTCACAACAGATGTGAAAAAGTGGTAATCATCCATAGGCATCATGAAAACATATCTTTGACAGCAATGGTTTCAGATGATTTTGAAATATCAGTAAATGAAATCAAGCGAGTTATCACGAAACAAGATTTTTTTGATTAGTGGAAATACTTTACGGACGGACAAAAGGAGTCCAGGTTATGAAACAAAACAGTCGTTTTTTGAAGACATTAGGTTTTCGTGTTGAACTCTTAAAATAAATGAAACAACTCTGAATCTAATCTAAACGCTTATCAAGTGAACGTACCCCTCCCTAAAAGAGTGATGACAGCAGTGATTAATTAATGAAAGGTATAAAAATCATGTGCGACTAACATGATCTAACCAATGCACATCGTGGGACTGACTCATGCCCCAATCGGTCGCTTCTCGTGTAGCATGGTTTCATCCCCTTCGTATCGGAATAAATCACTTACATGGTTAGGTTCTATCGATTCTTTAGGTGAGGTATGGTAGCTAGATTCCCTGGCCTTTGGGTTAGAGTTGGCGTCATGGTATAAACTTGCGTAGCTTATATATAACTATAACTCAGTTCAACTCTGATAGATGGAGACTATTAGCCTTATGCTATAGGGAGGCGCGATGTATCAACTGCGATTCAACACCCACAATTATCTAAGACGACAGGAAGCTGTCACTTGTGGAGCTCGTAAGAAGCCGCCTGACCTACTTAAGGTGACAGAGAACCATAGGATTTAATTTTAGGTACTTTTTTGCATGTTTCTGTCTAAATTCGTCTATGTGGGCGAAAATCCTTTGATAGATACATGTGGCGTTAAGTGAATTTCCAAAATAAATAGTTCTGTAAGTTTCTGACATTGATTCTGACCACATTAGTTTTACTGAGCACACCAGCTGAAGGCTATCGACCACGAATCCTCACCAGATTACGAGTTGGTACGCCGTGCTACGCATATCTTGCAACTGATAGCCAGCTTAAACAAAATGAAGAAGCAACTAGACAATTGAATACAAACATTTTGTCGCGCAACGAACAAAGGAATGATAAATTAGTAGATAAAACTATGGCCAGCTGCTGCTATCTGAAACTTGGTTGGTATGTCTTCATAAGCACTATTTTAAAATTCCACAGTCCTAAACGTTTTAAGAACCGAAACAGGTTATTACCTTATTTGTAAACCTGTGCCTGTAAGAATTGCAAGAATTTGTTGTGTCAGGAATTATTATAAACTTGATGAATTCGTACATATGCATTCAGCTCCTGAAACGAAATAGGCAAACGTGCCATGTTTTAACATTTTTAATGAAGCAGAATTTAACTGTTGAAAGATATGAGAAAACTTCAGTTACCAAACTTGTAGTGGCATTTAGCTCTATTCACACAATCCTCAAAGCTGAACACGAGATAACTAGGAAAATAAACATTCAACATTTAAAGCGGGGAAAAGCCCAACGATAGAGAAGGCAAGAAGTATGAATTTGATTCATTCGAGTTGATCGGACGGAATGTTTCAACATTGCAGACGTAGTCACCCTTGATTGTTGTAACATAATCTTGTATCCATATAAAATATCTTATTCTATCTCCAGCCAAAATGTGTTCTTCATCATATTGATGATGTGATGAGTTGTTACAGGCAATGATATGACTTTCAAGTAAGATCTTATAGATTAGCAATTTACATTATGAAAAGTCTACAATGTTAATAAAAAGTCTATTAGTAAAGCAGCACTAATATCGAAATAGACCATAATTATACAAGCTATCTAAAATAGGCCTTTCATAGTTGTGTAGCGGTAAATAAATTACCAAGATAAATAGCTCTGTAAGTTTTCGACATTGGATGCTGACCATATGTTTTAGTGGACTCATCTAGCTGAAGGCGCTCGGTCAGGCGTCCGCACCAGATCACGTGTGGTAACGCTGTGCTCAACACCTATCGCAATCGCTAGCCAGATTAGATGAGAGAATTCCGATATATTGGTTATCGACAAATACACTCTTCCGATCTCCTCGACTCTGTCTTTTGATTTTTCTCGGTGGGAACAAATTATATTAGAAGGTGTTACAGGTAGAAGCGTTGTCAAACACTGAGTACCTGTATCATCCTCATTGGTGAGATCTGGTGTGATCCGGTATACCTAACTGCAACTGTGAGTCTGTTCCTTTTTGGGATTTTCATATATCATTGCCTTATTTTTATATTTTTTCAAACATTGTGATTTTTTTCCTGTTTTTTCTTGGATATATATATTTTTCCCCTCGTTCATTATCGTACTTCACATTTCATCATGACTGAACGGACACCCAGAGTACTCAAGCCTAAGACTTTGTCCCCGCCTTCGTTTCAACTGATGCCCTTCTGGCCCGACAATATAGAAGCCTGGTTCTGCTACGCAGAAGCTGACTTCTCCGAGCACGGCGTGATCGCAGTAGTCAAGGCACTACCGCGCGAATTCAACAGGTACGTAACACCTAGTATGTTTACTAGTGATGTTTCCGAACCTTACGAAATCCTAAAACGTTCGATTCTTAAACGAGAAGACCTAACCGATCGACAAAGGTTAGATCAACTCTTCAATAACATCGACCTGCAACACGGTTCTGCGACGGACATGTTGCAAAGAATGAGAGAAGTGATAGGTCTAATAACTTTCGACGAAGGTCTTTTCAAACATTTTTTCTTGTCTAAACTTCCTTAACAGTTGCAAGCGGTTCTGGTCTCGTTTCAGAACAACGCCTTAGACGAGCTGGATGCATCTGCCGATGGAATCTTAGAAATTACGAAATCGTCTACTACAGAGGTATTTTCAGTCAAACAAAAGCCTCAAACGACTCAGAATGACATAGCCGAGTTATGTCATACACTCACGCGTTATCTTAATCTTCGTAACGACCGTAATCGCTCACACAGCCCACGTAGAAGCATTTCACGTAAGCGATCTGTCTCTAGACCACGAGAGACGGATAACCCTGACTGGTGCTGGTATCATAACCACTATGGAAAATCTTTCAGAAATTGCAGAAAACCCTGCAATTTTCCCAACACGAAACCGGCTGACTCGAAAAACAACTCGGGAAACTTCCTAGCCGGCACGCGTTAACGGCAACCGTAGCCGGCGAACATAGCCGTCTGTTATACATCAAAGATTTGACAAAGAGAGTTCACTACCTCGTCGACACTGGCGCAGAAGTTAGCGTTCTTCCTAAAAATTCTAACGACCGGCTTCACAAATTTGTTTTAAACTTACAGGCGGCAGACGGAAAGCCTAACATCACATACGGTAAAAGATAGGTCTATCTTAACGTGGGTTTACGCAAACCCATTCACTGGATCTTTGTTGCTGCAGACGTTTCTATGCCAATCATTGGTATAGACCTGCTACAACACCACAATCTACTCATCGATACGCGCGAACGGAGGCTAATTTTCGAAAATACGAATTTGTCTGTTTGCATAGTTACTTTCTACGGGTGCAGATTATCTCCAGTCACAATTAAGCACACGATTGACTCATTCTATCAATCATTACTTGATAAGTATTCTGGGATATACCAATCGCATTCAAAATTGCCGTGTGTAGTCAGCAACGTTACACATCACATCACGAATACAGGAACACCTGTATTCTCTAAAGCACACCGACTGTCCCTCGTAAATCTAAGGTTGGCCAGGAACGAATTCGAATACATGATAGACTTGAGAATTATAAGAACGCTAAACAACACATAGTCATCTCCGTTGCACATGGTCCCTAAAAAAGGCAGCAACGTTTGGCGTCCAACTGGTGACTATCGGAGATTGAATGCAAAAACCATTCCCGATCTTTACCCGTTGCCTCACATTCACGATTTGACAGCTACCTTGAAAGGTACAACTGTTAAAGCATTAACCAAATCTTTATGGCTACTGACGACATACCGAAAACCGCCATCATTACTCCTTTCGGACTCTATGAATTTTAGCGAATGCCTTTCGGTCTAAGGAACGCTGCTCAAACATTCCAAAGATTCATAGACG